GATTTCGCTCATTTTTATTTCAAAAAATAAAAATGTGATGAAAATGACATGGATTGTGCACTTTCGGTGTTTTACAACAGCTGTTGCATTTCGTTATCATTTGTGCCAACTATTTTTTTGGTTGTTTAATGTGTCGATTCGCCGACCAGTATTTTGGAGTCATGTTAACCAGGTTCCAGATTCGGGCACATTTCTGGTGTGTCCAGTCTGAGCGACGGAGCGAGAGGCACCACTTTGGCTTCTGTCGGCAAGTAAAACACACAATCACGATATTCTAAAAATCATTTTGCTTTTCAATAGTACAGCAAAGCTTTTAAAAGTAAAATTTAATTATTCGTATTCATGTTGCAAAGAGATTTAGTTCTTCCTTCGTCTTCGACTTCCAAGAAAGATCTGTCGTAAGAAATGTGGCTGCTTCTTTGATACACTTCATTTGAGCAGTCGTTAGGTTTTTTTCCTTTCATACATATCAAGAGTCGAACTGCTCTCTCTCTTGTTTGTACACAGCGTTATTGATTCTTTAGCAATAAATATTTTTCAACTCACAATTTTATTATTCAAAGTGATTTTTAACTGATCAGCACATTCTTTTACGCTCCAGTAAACATTGATCATTTCGATCCGCAGTGATAAGAATTGAAATGTATTCGATTTTGTTCAATGTTATCAAGTAGAATCGAAGGCAAATTGTCAACCAAACGATGACTGTTGCTTTCCAAATAGAAGTGGAAAAAGAAATGCTATGTATGAAAATTTGTAAAATTTCTTGCAAAAATGAGGAACTTTGATTCATAAATCAGAATGTTAATTACAAGATCTACTCTAATTCTCACCATGGGGAACAAATTATGAACTCTTCGAATCGATCAAATGAAAAAGGTTACCGGTCACCGTCAAATTATCAATTTGTTCAAAATGAATTTCGAATCATTTTACACTTTTAATGTTCGTATCATATTTGGTGATAGTAACACCAATCCAACAAACAATTTGTGATAAAATAAATGAGCGCATAAAATATCCCATAATAAATTCTGACACAGAATTCGTCCGCTGGATATCCGGCGACGAAACACTTTACGTAATTAACAGTGTTATCATTTTGACTATTCACGATGTGATTGTTGGAGAAAAATGTTTTTTCAAACAGAAAGAAGTGCACAATCAGTTTTATGTACTTGCTGTGTGATACATGTAGTTTTTGTTTTGAAACCTCATTCCAAACTGATCAAGAAATATTGGAATCGAGAATACTTCTCCTTTAGAAGAGAACACATTGCTTAAAGCAAAACTCACCTAGATTTATTCTACACTTTATCACTCTACAAACTGAAAAAGAAAATCAAAGCCTAGATGGTAGAATGAAATGATAGAATGAAAAAATGTTTAAATTTTGCTCATTTTTATTTCAAAAAATAAAAATGTGATGAAACTGTCACAAAATGCGCATTTTCGATGTTTTATAATTTCAGTTGAGTTTCCTCGTGACCTTGTCAATTGTTGTTATTGTTTGGTTGGTTCTTTTGGCGCGTTAACGGCCAGCTCATGGACGCAACAACACCTCTCAGTTCACCAGTAGATTGCTTTGTGTATTCAGGTGTGATTACGGATACGCTCTGGCCAACTGGACGAGAAGAGCCACTTTGGCTTCGTTCTGCTGAGCAAATACACAAATATTACGATATTGAAAAAAATGACTTATGAACTGAACAAATATGTTCTAAAAATAATTTATTCAATGAAACTGTACAAAAATACTAACGTGAGTTCGTTTTGCCAAGATGATTTTGTTTGTCCATTTTCGTTGCTCTTCAAATAAAATCTGTCGTAAGACTTGACTTTGGCTTCTTCTTTTATATTGTAAGCAGACAAGAGCAGACAGTCAGACAGTCAGACAGTCAGACAGTCGATTTTTTTTTCAACGAATAAATATACAAATTTCAAAGTTTGATTACACTCTCCTTCTCTTATTGATTATTTCTTACTTTTCGCATGCACTCAGCATTTCGGATTTGAATTGCAATTTTTAAATCAAATATCTTGAGACATAAATATTTTTCATACAGCTCACATTAACATTCAAAGTGATTAAAAGTGTTCAGCACTTTGTTTTTGTTTCATTTGCAAAGCCTCTTCTTCGTATAAACTAACCGTTGCGATTGTCTGTTTGATTACTTGAAATTGGACATTCAGCGAAAACGTTCATTTGATATCACCATTTCAAAAATGTGGATAAGAAAGATAATTGGTTTGTTCAAAGCTCACGATTAAACACTCACCTTTGAATATTGATCACACTTATGAGAAAGAATACGTTACCTCAAAAAGAACATTACTTGCCTTATCAAAGAAAAAAATGATTCTTCACTTATTCACACGAACTGCTAACTGAAAACGGAAGATTTTTCAAACGAACACACAATAATAACACTGAATTTTTAGATTTCGCCCATTTTTATTTTAAAAATAAAAATGTGATAAAAATGACAAATTTTTGATTATGACATTTTCGTTGTTGGGAAGAACCCAGTCCACCGGTCAGATCACTTCTTTGGTTGGTAGCTTGGGTTGTTTGGATTCATTTGGTTTCCGTGATTATTCAAATCACTACGGGTGCCGGTGCCCGTGTAGCCGGCGTTGCGACCAGGACCCGATGAAGTGTGGGTCGGGTTGCACTGGTTGGTACGGTTTCCCTCTGAAAATATAACACAAAAATGTAAACAAAAATCATTAATAACGTTTCGTGGAATTTTTTTTAAAAAATTGTTCAATAATTGCAATTGTGAAGAAAAATGATGAAAATAACAACGAAAAATGATTGCACTTACGTTTGTCCATCTTTTTTTCACTTTTGGCTTCTTAAATTCAGAACAAGAATTTGTCGCTTTCTTTGCGTTTTGCTTTCTTTTCCGCTTGTTTTCTTCGAGAAGAATGATCTCAATTGCTCGCCGCGAACGCCTTTTATACCGCTCGTATGATGAAAAGCAACGCTCGATGGTGCAATTCGATGCGAATCCTTCGTTCTATATGTGAAACATTCTGGAACATTCGTTTACATTTTTCAATTGGTGTTGAGACAGAAAAGGGTTACACATATATAAAAAACCAAATGTACTACATTCAAAGCATTCCAACGCCGATATCCGTGTGCATGTGATCCTATTAGATGTCTGTGTTTGTGTTTAAATGTTAATACTTTAGCGAAGTATTCATACTACAGTGTATGCATACCACCGTCTGTTCGTAATCGTTATGTACAGGAAGAGTTTTTTTTGCAAATGATGTCAGTAGCAACACATCGGTATGCTTAATCTGTACAGTGCGGTGTAAGTGTATTAGATTCATCGTCGGTTGCCTCTGCGAAAAAAAGATCCTACTTCATATTTTAATTGGTAGGCTGTTCTAGACTGTATGATATATGATTCAAAAGCAAATGCAATGACGCAATATTGCGATTGGACAGAATTTTTTGGCTTTTGACAAATCTCCTGGTAATCATAATTACTTTTACATTGTATGCAGTGTGCATTCACTTATAGATATGGTGCAGTATACATTCCTCCTACTTTCTACCATTGACATCGATAAGTGACACCACTTCACTCATGCCATTAAATGATAGGAATGTTTGTTTTATACTCATTCTTGTTCTGTCTATAAAATAAACGCATCAGCTGAAGCTCATATCATATGAATCATACATCTATTGACTAGATCGAGAGGAGAGTATGTGAAAAAATTCTAATATATTTTGAAAGAGGAGAGTATGATTTCTGTTGATTCTATCTGCGTTAAAAGGAAGTATGTTGGCATACCGTCTAGCCTCCGCGGTTTTTCACGGTTTCCGCGAAACTGATAAAAGATAACAACATGATGTCTTCGGCAAAGTTGTAGTACTTGAGGTTTTCTTTAACAATGCTGAAGACATCTATCTCTTATCTCTTATCAGTTGCTCGCAAATCGCGCACATAAAAAAGCAAATTTTATATAGAAATTTTTTTTTCTTATCATTTTTCGCGCTTTTAGCGGAGCTGATAAGAGATAACTGACTTCAGCAATGTTATAGAAGACCTCAAGTGCTACAACTTTGCCGAAGACACCAAGTTGTTATCTCTTATCAGTTCCGCGGAAACCGTGGAAAACCGCGAGGACCCGCCAAAAATGAACATACTCGCCTTTTACCATTTTTGAGTCGAAAGAAACTTACTCTTCTCTTTCACAACAAAGTCAGATGAACTTACTCTCCTCTCGATCTAGTCAATAGACATGTATGATTGATGATAGCGAATTTAAGTCTGGTAAAGTCAATAAATATTGAAATCAATCTTTTATTAAATGTTTTTTCGTGCACTTTTGAACGTAAAACCGAGAAAAGAATTGAATTGATTCTATTTTTTGAAAACAAAGTTCAGCAAACAAATGGTTTCAATGAGATTTCTTTTGCAGCTCCTCATGATACGAAGTCTATTTGGAAGCGATATTTGTATTCAGCGTATTTTTTTATCCAAAATTTTGAAAGCAAAGATTTAGAAATGAAAATATAGTTCTACAGTCGTTGTCGATCACGACGACAGAATCAAATCACTTTGTTGTGATTATCGAATTAAATGCAAATAGTTTGAAATGTAAATTCAATTAGACACTGAACTGTTGCACATTCGCGAGAAGTGAAAAAATCTTAGCTGCTTTTATTCAGTTGATCACTCAAGTGAATCAGTCACACAATGCATTACCTTGATTTTCCAGAACAATCAGCTGATTTATCACAAATTAACTGAAAATTGACTATAATTTTAAAAATGAATTTCAATTTACACGAAGGAAAGACACACACACAAAATTTCTATTGATTTTGCTGAATTTTATTCAAGAAACAAAATTCTGATGAAAGTAACACTTGAGTGCATTTTCAGTGTTTTACATTTGGTCACATTTTATTTTTTGCCCTTGAATTCTTTGTTGTTGGGATTCAACTGATTTCCATGATTGTCGCGATCTTTTTGGGAACCATCGCCTTTGTAAGCGGCATCGTGACCTGGCCCAGTCGGTTTATGGTCCGGGTTGCACTGGTCTGTGCGGTTCTTTGCTTCTATGATGTATAATGAAAAATTCAGAAAAAAAAGTGAGTTAATGTTTGATACAAAACGGAGTGTAATAAAACTTTTTCACCCAATGAAGATTGAATTAGAATTTTGGTTGATGATTCTAGAGGAAAAAAAAACTAAGTAACGTGAAATGTTCAACTCAAAACTTACGTTTATCGGCATCCATTTTCGTTCGAATTGTTGCTTGGTATCGTTTTGCTTTCAGCACTGATGTTGAATGCCTTCAGCACATCTGCTTTTATACTTTCCGATCGCGTGATTTTGCGGGTTAAAAATGAACTTTTTCGCTCATTGCTTCGTATTGACGTTGTTATTATCCTGCAAATATATATTATGTACTATATATAAGATAATTGAAAGTGGACGAAAAAAATCGCTTTTGTTATCGTCGGTACGTGAACAATGCAGTCTACTCGTTTGTCATTTCATTTGAAGCATTGAAATGTAATTACTAATCAACACGTTTCCGTGTATTTGCAAAAACGGGCAGTTTTGAACGTAATATTTCTTCGCTAATAATTTCTCCATATTTCTGCAACATGAGCCGAAATAACTCTATTAAAACACGGTCACAGCTCAGGAAAAATCAGCTATGGAGCATAAAACACTTTTTTAATTATTTCAAAATGGGCCGACTAAGATAAAATGAACGAATGGAACAAACATATGATTAAATGAAGTGAGTTTGTAGGAATGCGTATAGTGAAGTAAAAAAAAAATAAGAACATAAAATAAAATACGCTCAAGCTAAATACGAATTCAAGAGAACAGACGACAATACAGTAATCCCATATTTCCTCCATCAAATTTTACTTTTATGTGCCATTATTACGCACGACTTACTCAACAAACACCATTTAAGACGATGAACAAGAATTGTACGATTATGGATTAAGTCATAGCCACAAAGTTTACTTCGAAAATGTGAACAACGATAAGTCCGCACAATGCACCTCTTTCAATTTGCTTCGCATTCGATTTGTAGTGGTCGGATTTGTTTTTGTTATTTTATGGTTGCACATTTCATGTATGGCGAAAAAAAAGAGCGATGATGTATGCCAGAGTGAGTCAAAGTGGTAAGTCGTGTAAATTTTTTCATTTTACTTACCCATAAAAAACACTCACAAATCGTAAATCTTTCCATTATCTGTAAAAAAAACAACGAAGTAACAAATCCTTGATTGCTTTTCAATGGGGTAACTTTTATTCGAAACAATCGTTTTTTGTACTGTTTTTAACTGGCAAATGTCTTATTTTTCAAAATTATTCGGAAATATTTCGATTGTATTCATTTTGATGGGTTGTGTACGCTCAGTCGATTTTCATTTTTTTTTTTCTGCTCTTTTTCATCGCCGGAATGTGTAAGTCGTCATTGGAAGTCACTGTGAAGAATTAAAAATATTTCGTTTAAAATTTGAATTGCGATCACTTTTGTTCGATTTGTTCAATAAAATGTAGAAATAAACACTTTACCATTTGGCCGAAAGATCCATTAACCCTGTTTGGATGCATAGTCCTTGCGAATCAAAATCGTGCCGTGTGCCACATTTCGTTGGACGCTTCCGTTTGCTTGGCTTGTTGTGGTCATTTTGCGCAGATCATATGGTTTTTGACGAGTACCCGGTGAAGCAGCATCGGTGCGGCAAACATACTGGTAACGAATCAAAATTGTTGTGTTTGTAACGTTGACCTTGACTTTGTCCACTGGATAATTGGCCAACGCCTCCTTGCGCAACGAATGCCAGTACTTTGGCGAGCAGTGAGAATGGAATTTCGGCTTGCACATCTTGAACCGTGAACACCGTTGACGAGAGCAGATGCTGAACCAAATCGATGTTACCTTTCACTGATGTCAACCAAATGTGATGACAATCTGCATTTGATATGCTGCATCTCCCTAGAAAACGACCGTTCGATTTGCTCACCAACTCGAAAAACCAACGGTGAATTTCATATTTTCCAAACACAAACCACCATTTCGATGAACTTTCTCCGGAAGATATGTGAGCCTTGTGAATATTTCCGTAGTTTGAATACAAAAACTACATTGTATCGACCCATTCATATATCTCCGCATGTTGCGAAATCCGCCTAAAACTGCTGACGACAACCGATTTGTAAATAAACTTATTCGAACAAAAATAAACAAATCGAAGCAAATCTTTGCATCTCACCACAGATTCGATTGAGTATGTTTTTTTCTGTATGCCCCTGCATAGCGTTCAGTTCATCGAAAATCAAAGGAAACGAATTGAGAGGAATTATCATCTGATTGTCACTATTCGTTTTGTTTTAAGAAGCGTACGAGAAAAAGAAATTCTTTGATCATATTCATTGCCCTAGAGAACTAAAAGAACAAAGGTCACTTTGATCATTTTTCAAAGCCGCCTCTGAAAAAAAAAATGAACCAAATTCATATCGAGCCAAAAATTGCGTTCAACATTATTCGTTGGCAAAATCCAGTCCGATGACGCCATCAAAAACTCATTTAAATTAGTCGCACTTTTGTTTGTCGGTGCGTCGCGTTTTTTTCTGTTTCTTTCGCCAAAGAAACAATTGGATCCATTCAAAACAATATGCTGCCGCCGTGTGTCTCGTGAATTTTGTTTTGAAATGAAATCACATCAGCATTATCCATGTTATGAAATTAAATGAACGTTGTATTTTTTTCACCATATCGAGTCTTAACTAATTGAACAGACGCTGAATATGCATGTTTACCGCTTGAGCACAATTCTGTTGCTCTTTCGTTGGTATAATAATGGCATGATCGCAATATTCTTACATAAATAACATCAATATAAACATTCGAAAGCATGCAAAAAAATTAAATGAATCGAATTCACCCGATAAATATAATGAAATTCAATATAAATATTTGTATTTTTTGAAAATGCGCAACGCATTTTTTCTCCATTGCCTGTTCTTACTGCGTTATTGTATTCATTCTATATTGGTTCGTAACCAAGGCTATTTTTAGAACTCGACTTTGGCAATAATGCCCTTTACGAATTACAATGGAAAAAATGAAAACAAAACTTCTTCTTTTCTTGACTGTAGAATTAAGAAAACGTTCTCTTAACACTATTTATTAGGCGGTATGAATGCAATGGTACAATTTAAAATTAGAGATCTTTCGCTTCTTCCACCGAATCTGGTAGTTTTTTCTCGTGTGTTTCGGGGCATAGTAGAACCAAAGTGGCAGCGAATATGGCCACGCTTCCGAACAATAAGAATGGCAAGAATGGCGTTTTTGCGATCTGAAACGGAAAATGAGAGACTTATTGGAGTGCTCCGAATTAAACAGATTTGGTTGAAAACTGTCCCGTTGACAGAAAATTTTAGACAAAAGAAGGACAAAATCAAACAGAAGAGAGAACACTTCATTTTAGTTAACATTCGAGCTTCAATAACAACTTTCAAACACAACTCACCAGTAGCGTTGTAAGTGGCGCAACCGCAGCGCCCAATCGCCCAGTCATTGAGCATGAATTCATGATTGTTGTTCTCAAGTTGGTCGGCCACAATTCAGCGGTGAAGATGTACAGTACGTTAAATGCAAAGGTAATTGATGATTTGCCAATCATGAACAAACCCAGAACGAACAGCGATTGCTCTTTTGGTATCCATGGTGCTGTCATTGACGCCAATCCACACAAAGTCAACGAACAGAATAGCAATTTCTTCCGTCCGAATCGATTGAGAAACAATGCTGGCAGTAACGCACCGGGAATTTCAACCGCTTGCACAATGATATAGCTAGTGTACCGATCGGTGCCCGGAATGTGTGTCGAAATCAAACTAAACCCATAGTAACAGAAACAACAAGTAATCCATTGATAGCAACAGTTCAACAAACGCAAACCGAGTTTTTGCGATCCAAGAACTAATTTAATTTCTTGGAATATCGACAGTTTATTTTCGTTTTTTTCTACATTTGCTGCATTGGTTTTCGCTTCGGTTGAGTATTGCAGGTGAAGCATTTCAACCGATTTATCCGACAATGTTTTCCCATTGACTTTGGCAATTCGCTTGAGAATCTTGACCGCACGATCAACACGACCAGTTATCAGCAGCCAACGAATACTTTCCGGTACCAGCCAGAAGTATAGGATGACAAACAGTCCAGGAGTGTATATAACACGAAGCAAATAACGGAAATTGTGTACGTACATCGCGACAATGCCTAACAACATTTCTCCAAACGAGAATGATGTGACAACTATCGACGCTCCTAATGCACGATACTTCGAACTGAGCCATTCCATAGCAAGCACTGTGCAAAAGAAAAGGAAGTTTTAACGCAGAACAATTTAGTGTACTCTTGAATTCAAAGAAGAGAAAAATTACCATAAATTCCACTAAAGGTACAGGTACCAGCTGATGCCTCGAAAAATTCCATCTGTATATTGGGAAAAGGAATTTTTTTTTACTCATTTCCTTATGATTAGTGCTTTTTTCAATAAAATTAAATTCATTTCAAACATTTCATAGCCTAAAGTAGCAATATCAATATAAAAATCAAAAGAAATTCTTTTCGATTCTTCTTTTAGTTCATTATTCAGCTGTTTTTTTTTTCTCACAAAAATCAAATTGCCACTCACCGTAATATACATTGAATAACTAACTGAAAATGACTTGATGATACCAAAAATACTGCAGCATAACATGCCAATGATGATGACGCGTAGTCTCCCGAATCTAAAGTATGTGCCGAAATCATTAAAAACAAACCATAATTCAATGGGAATGATTCGAGTTTTGAATTACTTGTCTGCGAGCATGCCAGTCAGCGGCAAAAGCAAAAATCGGCCGATATTGTTCACAGATCCGATCAAAGCGAGTTTATAGCTATCGTCGCAATGGATGTTGAACTGAAATAAGTAAAATCCGCATTAAGCTTATTGAGTTCATATCGAGCAACACTTGTCGAAAACAACTGTTTAGATTAGTGAATAAATAATAACCTCTGTTTGAACATTTGATTCGTCTGTAGTGTAGATGAATTCGTCACATTTGATCTGTTTTAACGAGTTGAAATTATTGATATTACATTCATGTGACGATGCTGACGAATTTATCGGTGCGTAGCGAACGCAATTCTCATAACCGTTGCTCGAATGTGGTATCGCATATTTTAACCATGGTTGATCATAGCTTATCTCACGATTATTATCACCAACATCACACTCTGGCACTTTACATCTGTAAAATGAGAAAAAAAATTACACATTTATTCCTTGTTCACGCAGCAGACGCGTTTTCTAGAGCTGATATGTTCATCAAGTGCGTTGTTCATGCGTGTTCTCACTCGATGCAGAAATATTCACATTTTGTGTGTTTTAGTTTTTATTACAATTTCTTATTTTGTACAAAAACTTTTTTTTTCGCGATTTCAAAATATTTCAAACTGACCTATGATCGAGATTATTGCTTGGGAATATATAGTTGACCATGTAAGTCGCGGATATTATATTTGGAATGCAAATCAAAATTACTGAGAGAATTTGAAAGGGACCAAAATCGCCAATTTCCTCATAAACGGTATCGATAAAATGATCAGCACCATCGATGACACCCATTGTGACACTTTTTTCTCATAAAATGCGTTCAATTCCTTGGGTTTTTTCCGTCTATTCAAAGCTGAAGTCTCTTTTCAAACTTACGAGTTGCTCTGCTAACGAATAAAGTCGAACTGGGTTTTATTGACGAAAACCAACTGTTTATATTCTATTCCAAATCTATTTTTATAGTGAACCTTTCGGTTTGTTCTAAGTTTTTTGGGGAAAATTTTTCGGCACTTTTCGAGTTCCATAAATAACGAAAATAAAATGAGCTAAGAACCAATGTACAATAGAAGTGTAAATAAAATGAACACGTGAAGTAATAATTAAAGCAAAAGTTTAATTTAAAATTTTAATGAGCTCGTAAGTCGAGCCATAGAAATTTTCCTGAATAAACAAACGTTTTTGAAGTGGAATGAATGCCACAGTGACGAATTGGATTCGGCTTATACACGAAATTCAGTGACAATATCAAATGATGGCATAGCACTCAAATGTTACGCTTCTAATTCCATCGACTACAATTGTCTCGATATGTTTTGGTGCAAGGGGTGGAGCAGTACTAGAGTAATTCTTCTAGTCCAAAATAATACTGAATTAATTCGAAGTAATTCTTCGTTCGCCACAGTAATTCTCCTGACTTATTCTGAAGTTTCTGTGTCATCATGTTTGGTAAATAATTTAGTTTCAAGTAATTGGTTAAAATGAATCAATCAAAATTACAGAAGAATTAGATATTGAACTCCCATTGCGACAAAGCGGCGATCATTTTGACAAACATGACGATACAGAAACGTCAGAACAAATCAGAAGAATTACTCTGGTACTGCTCCGCCCCTTGGTTCAGTGAAAAGATGTGTTCCGCGTGATTTTTGGAATTCTTTCCTTCCTTTTCGACAAATACATATACCACCAGTACCTATTGATTCAGTGCAGTAAATAAATTTCTTTTCATACGACTTCTTTAGGATTGTCCCTACATTCGGTGTGTTAAAAATTGTCCTTACATTTGCTGCATTGTACCTACCTATAGTCCATGATGTTCGCAGTAAACACATAATTCACGATATATGTCGACGAAATCATAGTTGGAACGCAAATCAATGCAAACGTTACGATTTGAAACAGGCCGAATTCGCCAACTTCGGCGGAAAGCACATCCAAATTGCCTTCAGCAGCAACATCAACACTCATTTTGAAATTTTGTTTACCTTCACTGTCTGCATAAAAAAGAACGACAACCACTTCTTGGCGACAAAATTTATCGTTGAGAATAGAGTAGAGTATATTTATAAATGAACAATAGGGTGGTCCAAACTGATTTATCATGGTAAAATGCTCCCAATAGCTTAAAATTAAATTGGGCTCAAAACTAGCTGATTCCTTTTTTCAGATAAAAGAAATGACATTTTTAAATGTTAAAATCTAGTGGTCGATAGAGCCATACTTAAAATGGCTGTTTTTGACTTTTTTTATTTAAGGTAATTTGAGGCGCTGAGTTCAAATTTGGTGTTAAAAATACACTTGGAACTATGTGTTTTCGCTATATGGCTGAATTTGTTTAAAAAAACCATGTTTTTGTACTAAAACTTTTTTTAAAAAGCAACATTAGCAAATTTTTGACAACGGCTTCGTGTTAAGCGTTCCAAAAAGCCCTAAAAATGATATGTCACCAGATTCGATTTGAATAACCTATGGGTTTTCTATCAATATATATGTTGAAAAATAGGTCAAAAACAGTCATTTTAAGTACGGCTTTATCGATCACTAGATTTTAACATTTTTTTGATTTGAAAATTGGAATCAGCTAGTTTTGTACCCAATTTAAATTTAAGCTATTGGGAGCATATACCTTACCATGATAAATCAGTTTGGACCACCCTAATAAACAACTAAGTCGACCGATTTTTCTCCTATAAAACACACGATATTCTGTGGGAAAAAAATTGTCAACACATTTGTTTTGTTCGGTCTTATTGGTGTGGTAGTTGTTTCACAATTGAATTATATTTTCGGTAAAATATTGCAATACATCTGAGTTCACTGATTTCAAATAACGTGCTGTATTTAGTGGTTCTCAGTACAACAGTACGAAAACCGTTTTTCAAACTTAAAGCGTCCGATGAGTAAGCCGGAAAAAAACACAAAAATGCCGGTTGGTATCGCAAGTTTAATTTTATAAATGCGCATCACCTTTGCGTTCCAGTGGAATAGTCCATTTCTTTATAAAAACAAATGTATTTGAATTGATAACAGTTCTGTGATTTTATGTCTTCGTTTAGCACGATTAATTATTGGTTCTGTGCAAGGATTCAGCTGATTATTTGTAACACTTCATTATTGCGTTTGAATACGCACATTTTACCTTTTCATTCACTTTTGAACAGTTTTTTCTTTCACACAAAAATAACAGAGAAAAATTATTTCAAAGTATTTCCATCACTGATTTTTTTTTTCAATCTAGACAAAGTCCATGCTGGAATACGACTGTCTCAAATTTTAATTGCATTTTCTGCTTATATAAAAAAATATTTTGACGTCGAAAAAATATGATTCCGATAATACTATCGGGTGTTTTATTTGATCAAACAACAAATGAGCACAGATTGTCTGACTGAATCAAGTGATAAAACGATAAAAATTGACATCTGTACAAAGAGCACCTAGTGGGATTGTAAGAGGTAACGAGAGATTAAAAATCTGTAGAAGAATCCTATTTGCGGTATTTTTTCGTCATAGCATCATAAACAATCAGCGTTGTACACTGCGTAGACATATCCAGATAGATTACACGTGCATGTCGATTGTTTGTGTCTCGATAGAAACACGTTAACCCTTCACTGAACAACAAGCTGTGTAGTCAAAACAAAAACTAGCAAGTTGAATGAGGGAAAAAGGTGTCTTGAGGTCTAACAGCTTTGTAATTTACATTTTCTATGTCATTGGCGTCATTTACCCTGAAGTTAACAGCTAACGAACTCATGAATTCTAATTCATTTGTGAATGAATTGTTCCTAGAAATACCGTGAAGTCATTATAAAGAGTTTATATGAATGTCCGAGAATGAAAACGCAACTTCTATTCACAACACATATAAGTGAAACAAAAATAAAAAATTTATTGAAATGAAACAACAAAATCGAATTTTTTCAAAGTGTAACAACAAAAAAGATTTTTTTATTTTTGTTTCACTTATATGTGTTGTGAATAGAAGTTGCGTTTTCATTCTCGGACATTCATATACATAAGTATCACACTTCGATTCGCTTCGTCTTTCAATTTAAATGATAATTTGAAAACACGAAAAAAAAACGTCTTCATTCTAATCTGAAGCTTCCCCAGCAAATGCTATAAAAACTTTACAGACACACAGCTTAACTGTCTCACGTGTGGCTCTTATCTGTTTACATTGTTTAATTTTCATTTCCTCCTCATTTTTATTTTATTATTTAGACCGATTTAGATTTTTGACATTTCCCATATGGTTTAGATATAAATTTAGATCTTCATTTTGCGTGGCATTGTTTTGATGTCAACGGTGGAAAATTGTCGCTCATGTAATTTGATAGTTCAGTGACTTTTTTCTGAAGAATCGATAATTTTCTGGGCCCGTTGATGTACATCAAATCAACGATCAGTTGAAAGAATTGATTTTCAGTGGAGGTATTGAACCACACTGAGTGCCATCTATTGAAAGTCTGCTGAAAGCTCAAAAATAAGAAGTAGAGAAACCATGAGGCGATCATTCAAATTAAAAATTCATTTTATTATGCATGATTTGTGGCTTATCTGCTGTATTTGTTGCATTTTATCAAGAAAATCTGCACTTTGCCAAGAAGTAGCTCATTTCAAAGCTGAAGAAGCACACAATAAATAAAACTAATTATAAATTAAGTGTCAAATGCTTTAAATCTAATTGGATTCAGTTGTTGTTGTTGTCATCCTCGTTGGTTCAGCGGTTGGTGGTGGTGGATACAAGCCTTTCACATTCAACGCTTTGGCAAAAAATGGCTTAAAGTATTGCACGAGCGCTGCGAAGCGACGAGCTGTATTCTGTAATCGAAAATAAATTAGAATGTATTTTCTGTAATATTTGTTTTTTTACGAACTTAAGAAGAAACATTGAAGATGTTTCAAGTTAATTTTAAATATAATTAGTTGTATACCATCATCCAACTGCCAATAATTTTCGAGGCATCTATGACTCGTGAAGCAGATGCACCAAAAAGCTTATCAGATATATCAAGCATGACCATTCCGCGATCAAAGTCTGGTGTGTCATCCGTTACACCAGGCGGAAGAACAGGAGTGGCTCGTGTGACACGAACGACCAAGACGCCGTTGAACATTTCGTTCTCATTCTGTTTTGTTGTGATGCAAAGATTAAAAAAACCATGTGAAAAAAAATCGTGAGTTAAACTCATTTAAATAAACCGTTTTCAAAAGACGAATTTAAATTTCAATTTTATTGGCAATGAAATTATGTAATCAACGAAGTCGAGCAAAAGAGAAAATCCCTTTTATTTGTTTAGCTAATTGGTTATGTATGATTGCAACGATGACATAAAAAAAAACCGACTGAATCTTATATTTCGCATTCAAGGTTGTGAGCTAATTTTTGATAATTTCGCTGTAATGACATCAAGACGTGATCCTAATGAAGATTGCATTTTTGCATTTTTTTTTCATTCGGCTTCTCTTGAAACCATCAACAACACACTTAAAAAATGATAAATGGCACAAAGTTAACATTTGAAACAAAGTAGCACATTGGCAATCGAATCTACACTCATAAATGAAATAGGAAAATGTCGAAAGTACTTACATCAGCTGGAATCTCATATTGCGATATGGGAATGGCTATGGCAAGCGAACACAGCGCAGTGACAGTCAAAGATAAGAATGATAGAGTCTGCATTTTGCTAAATTATAACAACGTTTAGGTGAAAATTCCAATTAATTCGAAAAAAAATAATAGTTATAAGAATTCTTGTGTCAATTGACACTGCGCTTGAACTATGCTGATGATTTAGAAATATTTTCTATGGAACTGAAACTATACATGAATAAAAAAAAATTTTTACCGTAAAGAATTATTTTAAGAATATGTTACAAAAAGAATGACAACACCAAATCGCAACTTCTAAAAAAAAGGTCACCAAATCGCGACTTCACTCTAATGAATGCTCTGATGTGTGTATTTCCAATCACACAACAATGCGCAACTAAAACCAACTGAACACCAGCTCAAATATCAAAGAAATGATGCCACAAGCCGCATTTCAACAACATCTCATATTCAAAGTTAATGACATCCAAGTGGTAAAATTGGCTAGACTTGACTATTGCACATTGTGACATACATAAACTATCGAGTTTGTTGATTAAAAAAACGCGATTAATATGATGATTAGAAGTGGTGGGGTAAAATTGAATGCTATAAATAAAAGTAATAGGCCTATTTAAGCTTGAATCTTCACTCATCTTTTAATTTCTTTTGCAGAAAAAACTGTCGGAAATGTGAACAATTTTCCATGTTTTGGTGTTACATATAAACGACTTTTTCAAACTGATTTCTGAGTGCAAAGAATAACAAAAACCAACGATCGATGAATTCATTTTCAGTGGAGACGCAATTCGATCAAAATAACTTTAAACCGTGCATTGAAAGTGTGCTTTCGACCATACCATGAACATGTTACACAGGGCTTTAATAGCACAAAGCTTGCAATTCAAAGCTTAAACTATCGGTGAAACTGTAAAAAAGCGATCAAGTGTATTTGAATGTGTAAAATTCAGTTGAAACTGCTGCACTTCAAAACAAACTCCAAAAAATACCGTTGTACATAGCTAATATCAACTTTATTTGAAATTTTTTGCACCATTCCAAAGAAAAAAACCTACTTAAAACTTAACAAATAAATAATCATGAAATTAAATTAAGTGGAAAATGCTTAAATGTCGTTGTCAGATGGAGCGTCCGTTGTTATTGGTGCAGCGGTTGTTTTCGGAGGTGGATATAGGCCTTTAATGGTGAGTGTTTTGCCTAGCAATGGCTTGAAGTACTGCACAAAGTTCGCGTAGCGGCGAGCTGAATTCTGTGAATGGGTAAATAAATGGCCTTAAAATGAGCTCGATTTTTAATAAAGTGGATTACAAACCATCATCAGATCGCCGAAAAGTTTCGAAATATTGGTTACCATGGTGAATGAGTTGCCAAAGAGTTCATCGGGAATATCAAGCATGACCATTTCACGATTGAAATCCGGTGTGTCATCCGTTACACCTTGCGGTAGAACTGGAGTGGCTCGCGTGACACGAACGACCCGAGCACCGTCATCCACTTCACTCTCGTCCTTTATGTGGAGAATGCAGAAAAAAATGTGTAAAAATTATGCATACAATTTTAGCTTTTTCAATTTTTACACAATTCAGTAAACTTTCAAAGCTCGTTTTCGAGGTGTAAACTATTGAATTGTTGTACAAAAGTATTATATGACTATTTCTACGATATATTTTATTATTGTTCAACAGAGAGAAGCTATACTACAGTCTGTCACATTCTAGATCCATTTAACTCACCATTTGTGTATGAATTGAAACTAAAAGAAGACAGAGAGAAAGATCCAATCACCAGGTCAGTTATGAAGCATGCAAAATGCGCATCGATTCAACGATGTCAATAACAAGTTGTTGTTATTAACAACATTACTTCAGTCTATGCTGTGTATGAAGCGTGTTTCAAAATGAACTTGATAAGAGTAGCAAGGTCAATGGGGTGTGTATTAAATGATTAGTGTAGTTAAAAGGATTTATAGGGGAGCAAACAGAGAAAATGTACAAGGGAGAGATACTAATTCTAGAAAAAGGTCAAAATAAAATTGCAAAACACAACTGTTTAGCATTTCGTCCGTCTCATCAATGTGTATGGTCCAATAGTTCCAATTTTTATTTAACACAATTTCTTTTCTTTCGTTTATAGCTTATTTACAAAATAAAAATCGTATATCTCATCAGAGGGTCAACTAATTCTTATTATATTCCGTCACAATAGTTCCTATACAGTACAAGTAAATTCTTTGCTAAGTTGAGCAGATTACAACAATCATCTACCGTTGAAATATTTTGCATTTTTTTTGTATGCTGTCATTCATTTCATTCTGAAACAGTTCCGAGATAAATTTCCTCATTGATTCGGGTGTGTGAGAGGCCTAAAGTTTATATTTAAATTAGAACTAACGCTAGACACAGATATATTTACAAATCGATTTTCAACGCGGCATACAATTTTGATCGACTTGCTTCCGAATATTTGAAATGGTTTTTTTTTTATCTCTTTTATAAATTAACATACAAAAAAATTAACGTACAAAATTTCTTTTTTTGATCAAAAAAAAAAAAAAAAACAAATGAACAAAATTTTGGCATTTCGTATTGAAATCATTCTTCCTGCTGTAGTTTTAAACAAAATACGAATCAAAAATGAGGTTTTATTCTTCATTATCGTCGACTGGAACTAATTGACCGCCCTTGGCACCGGCTGATGATGATGACAAAATTGGACCAGAGAGTTTCAAGAATGATGAAATTATGTTTCCTGAGCCACCTGAAGCAACTACAGCACCATCATCGCTCAAATCAGCATGATCATCGGTTGCATCGTCTGAGTCGGGTGATGGAACTGGTACATTACCGCCGCCGCTAGAACCTCCGCTCAATCCACCCAGACCACCGGCTGAACTGCCGCTAAGAGCGCCAAATTTCGCGGTGATGGCCGCAATTTTCGGTTGGATGACGGCTGACAACAATTGTTGAAGTGAGGTGATTGGTACTGGTGGAGTTATACCGGCTGCAGCATTTTTCGCAGCATTTGTTGCGTCAAATGCATTCAATGCTTGCGTTTTAGCGTCGAGAATACCATCGATTTTCTATAAGTTCACACATGTGCAAAACGAACAATCAAATAGAAAATGAAATTGGTTTTTTTTCCTTAATCAATATGGTTTTTGTGTGTGTGTGTGTGTTGTTGTTTGTAATTGCTATTTAAATAAATGAGTTTGAACATAAATCATGAAGCATCTCGAAATGTATGTGAAATGAAAAACACACACGTAAGGCAATCACAATTGTGTTGAATGGTTTTGAACCGTTTTTTTAATGCGAAATAAAATGTGGATAAATATGCAAAAGTTCGAATCAAACGCATAACATCGAATGGCTGTAACAAAGATGGTAAGGTTAAAGCGGTTTTCAGTAATAACAATAATGAATTGGCTTTATTCTGTTAAAGTTTCGTCATCAATCGGTTTCGGGTTTTTCTTCGAATTGTATTTTTTTTTTGCTTTCAAGCGCGTTCAACTCCAGTCAAATTGCCGATTATACTACGATGTGTGCTTGTGCTGATTTTGAATACTTTTTTGTTTGTGCTTATGTGAATTTAAATCGCAACTGCGCTACATGGCAATGAACTACGTTTTTTTTTTGCTGCAAATAATAATTTCGTTAATTGAATATGACCAAAACGTTCCTGACCGAAAGTAAACTGAAATCTATTGATTTAAACAAGTTGTGAATGCTTTTCCTACTTTTGACTTCATCTCCTATTTTTGTCTAAACCACCACCACGCTTCTTTTTTTTCAAAGCACTAATTAAAAATCAAAAATCGCTAGGACAGAAGAAATAGCAAACAAATCTCCTATTCATAGAAGGCAGATAAAGATAATTTGGATGCATTTAAAATGGCAGAAGAAAAAATTAAAATTGCAAATTTTCCTGCCATGTTAAAGGCCATTTGCATTAAATTCATGGTATTAGGCGTACATGTTATATTTGGAAGTGTTTACAACAACAATAACAACGAGCAAACGTTTTTTTTAAAATGAGCTTGTTTCGTTTTTGTTACATCGAAGTCTTCCTTCACTGCATCAATAATTAGTGGTGATTATTGTTTGTTTTAGATGCCCCCAGCGACATTAGAGTTCAAGCATACATTTTTTGAGTCATAATGTGTTTTTGTTATGATTAACACGGCCATATCGTTTGTTGTTGAAATGCGATGAATGACACTGTTATTTTAAATCTAATCAAACTAGAAAAAAAAATTCAACTTACACCAAATACGTAGCCAAGAATGGCATTTTTGATTCCGAAACCAACGTCTGGACCGAAAGCTCGCTTTGTAAGATCTTTCTCGACCTGGACGCCCTCCTGAAAAAATGATAAAAACACACAAATGCCGTGATAAGAAATGACGAAAAATGTTCCTAAATTTGAAATTCAAACGACATTTTTGAGACAGTCAAAAAGAAATTATCAGAATCTTTCCATGAACTTGATAATGAACATGAACTGACGTGTTCTAAACAACAAATCAAATCGAAATGCGACGTTAGTTCAAAGTCACCAAAGGTTCAATTTTTTTTTCGGTTGCTATTTGAGCAAATAGAGTCTTATCATCGAAATGAAATTGTAACTCGAATGATTCAAGTTGAATCTCAATTTGCTTCCAGAAGTTTCCATTCACTTGGAGTCGAAATGACTTTCTCTCTGCATTAACTGCTAGCCTTACTTTGACTGAGTATTCGTAATTTTTGAGCAAATACTTTTGCTTTCAAATGCTTCAATTCCATCTTTTTGTCCAATAACAGTAATGCAAAAAAAAACCGTAAATCACGTGGTGAATATTTTATGTGCAGTCGCACCTTTAGCATAACATGAATGGCTTTGCTTTGCATTTGGCGTAATTTTTGGCGGGGTGCTAAGCTACCAAATGATTTACGCGATTAAGTAGGCCGCCATCGACACATACTGATACCGATAATAACGCTTATTACGTTACAGACTACTAACTTCTTAGGCTTGAAAACGTTCATTTTCTACATATAAACACATATGATTGTGCTTCTCTCTCGCTCTCTCTCTCACTCTCTCCCTCTCTCTGTTGCGGTCACTCTTCGTAATTTCTTTTGTGTTCGTAAATCATTTGGAAAAGTCATTAAAACATGAACGAAATGCAAAAATCCAACGAATTGCAAATACAAAATGATGAAAAAAAGCGATTTATATGTACAATGTACATATAATACTAAACAATATGGTTGGAGTTTACATAAACGTTACCGCGCGTTTGCCGTATGTTTTTTGAAGTTTGCACAAAAATTACACCAGTAAAGCACCAGTTAGTGATTCGTTAAATAACCGTAATGTTTTGGGTCGAACATGGATTTGAAAGTGAGTTCTCAGAAGAGAATCAATTTCGAAAAGAATATTTGATGAGATGTGTTTTTTGAAGCCCCTATTCGAATTCTGTCAAGTCCTTAGACTGTCTATCGATCGCCTATCAGGCTAAAACATTCACCTAGCGACCGTTGTTGTCAAGGTCGATTGACGTCATTTGCGGCTGAAGTACATCAAAATCATTAAAATTGTCATGTGTTTTGAAATGATCGTCATGCAGCTTGAATGGCTTTCCATTGAACTGTTATGCTTCGTTCAAAAGAAATGGTAAATTTGCGAAGGTGTCATACACACACACACATACACTCACACGAAATAGAAAGAGTAAATGCATAACAAAGCAGCAGGAGCAGCCACCCAAATGGATGTGACGCTTTGTTTTTCACTTTATCCAACGTCTATAGAGTAAATGCCGTTGTCAATCGTCATGTACGTAGCTGCTGCATAAATGCCATATTGCGTAATGAACGAGATCGATTGTAAAAATCGCACCTTCCAAGAGAAGGAGAGAGAGAGAAAAGCCGTTACATTCGTCGCTTGTGCGATCGCGATCGCTCACTTACTCGCGCGCGCTCCATTCGTGTGACTTATTTGTTATGTATGATGATTACTGCATTGATGACCATGTGAGCGGCGAACTGAACGAGCGAACGCTCGCGTTGCGCTCACTTTGCCCGAAAACTGGTTCTTTTTTTTGCAAAATCGTAATTCGAAAAGTGGCTTTCCTCATCGCACCACAACCAAAGTTCGTTTCCGTTTGATAGTAAAATCATAAGTTTTCTTCTACTGTGAGAAGAGACGAAGAAGAAGAGAAAAAACACTTCAGATAACTGTAACAAATTTAGCGCAATTATTCAAAATACAGCGCGCGCGTGCGGGAGAGTGAGTTAGTGAGAGTGAAAAAATTGGCTGACATTTTGAACTCAAGGTTGTGGTTTTTTTGTTCGCGTTGATAATTTCGCTCTATCGGCCATACAAAGCCATGATTCCAATGACAATTGATACATATACGGTCTTTCACTTTCGCACAGCGGTGTTTTTTATGTTGTTGTTGTTGCTTGGTGCGGTTTTAGTTGCCTCCAACAAAAACCTGCTGCGTGCTTAAATTAAAACGACGAACACCCTTCAAAATACAGATCGCAACAATATACTCAGGAATTATTTGAGTAACAAAGACGGGCGCGCGAACTCGCACGTTATAACAAACAAATCTTCATTACTTTGTGTAGATACCCCTTCGGCAAGGTAGACCGAACAAAAAATAACGATGGAAAATGTCTCAAAAACAACAAGTCGCGAAAAGTCAAATGAAAATGGCATAAAATACTCACTAGGTCAACAACAGGATTGGGTGAATCTTCTGATTCTTGGGGCACTGGCACAGCCATAGCAAGTGAGCACAGCGCGATGGCAATTAAAGCTAAGCATTTCCACGATATGGTCTGCATTTTTGTTTATCTATATTTGTTCAGCTATATAATTTGAATATAAATCTGTAAGAGAAAAAAAAAGCAGAAAAAAGAAGAAGAAAAAACACCACACACGAAATGCGGTTAATTAACATATAAATAAACAAGAAAAAAAAGTTTAATGGATGATTAGGTCAGGCCAGCAATATGAGAGAAGTTGAAATAATATGCAAAAAAATTATAGTGGTTTAAATTTGAAAAAGAGGTAAAGTTGAATGCATCCAGTGAATGGTTTGTGCGAGAGATTTTTTACTTGTGTGCCTTGTTGGCGGCGCAACGTTTTTTTTCTGAATTTTCGTGACCCGTGAAATGATGTTCAAGTGCTCAAGCACACTGACTGACTGATTGGAACGTCAACTGAGAATGCAAATGCAAGCCGTAAAATTATGTGCTCGCCGAGAGAGCAAGAGAGAAGAATATAACAAATAGCACACACGAGAGCCAATTGCATTTTATTTATGTATGTTTTTTTTTCTCGCTACAACAAAAGAAATGCCAAGTACGATTGCATGAATACATTGATTTGTCAGTTTTACGCACGCCAAAGTTTCAGCTTTTTGAACGAACAATTTTGCACTCAACCTGCACAACTATAACATTCAACAACAATTTATGTGTGTGGCTTTGAAGAATTGCACACAAAGAAGAAGAAGAAGACGACGAAAAAAATGAACTTTTTTTACCGTAAAAATAAAAATTTGAGGAAGTCAAACGAACGAATGAAAATATAAAAATATATGTAACGAGAAATGAATTTTTCGTGGTTTGAAAATGAGTCGAATCGGCGCGTGTGCGTACATTCACACAGCGATGAGTAACGAACACTAACTGAATTCGAAAATCGAAACGCCAAGAAATGTTGCCATATACAACTGACTGACTGACTGAGAGAGAATCGGACTATGCAAGAGAGAGAGAGAGAGTTTGTGTTAACGGCGTGTTTGGTTTTGGGTTTAGCCGCGATTTTTGCAGAGCACCGCGTCAACACCATCACAATCCATATGCTTTGCATTGGCCAGGCATTCAAGACTTATGTCGGTTATTTCGACTGTGCTGTTGTCGAGTCATTGGTTTGCATGTGTATTGCATTGCACCACCGTGAAACGAGAAAAAAAAACGCACAACAACATATCAATTTTTGACGTCTGTCCGTATACAAATGAAGTTGTGGTTTTCGTGGTGTTTGTTTTTTCGGAGAGCAAAAATAAAACGACCAAAGCAACAGCAGAAGGTATTTTGAACGAATTTGGACGTTGGATTTAGTGAAATAATATAAACACACGCGATTGAGTTTGGTTGAAGTTGAAGCACACGCTCTTCTCAACGGATTGTGGTGGTTAAGTGATAACAGGTGGGGTAAAATTGAGAGTATGCACACAGGCCTGTATGAACTCGATTCTTTATGCTCATTCCTTAATTCTTCGTCGATTTTTTTCTCTCTTTTGAACGGACAAACAAACGAAACGGCCGAAAAAAAAAATCCAAACTTGAAAATAATATTTTGTCGCCTTTCACTTGAAATTCAATCTCGCCGTTCGAATTAAAATGAGTGAGTTCGTCTCTTTTTCAAGAAGTTTATTAAATTTTTCAACAAAAAAAACCACACAGCGTGTCGAGTTCTTACGTTGTCAAAATAGGTCCGAATCCGTGCAAACGATTGGGATAACTGAAACTGAAAGTATTCTTTGAGCACTTCTATAAATCGCTTGATTTCGAATCGTTTCTTCAATGCAACACACTACTTTGCTCACTCTTTCAACATGTGCCACACAATTTGGGTCAGATAAGACAATGCCGATGTGTGTGCGAGCTGCGCGATGCTCGTCTCGAGAGATCGAATTGCTGCTACTGCTGAGCTACCCATGACGAGCGATTACACATTCGATGTTGTTGTCGTTGACGTCGAACGAAGACATTCAAACGAATCGCATCTCGCATACAAGCGCCATGATCAAAAAGTCTCGTTTACAAGAGATTGTATCGGTTGGTTGTGTACCAATGGAAATACATAAGAAAATATGTATATATACGTATATGATTATTTCGAGATTTGGCCATAAATAGCAAATGCTTTTACGAAATCATCAAACCTGACTGTTGTTGCCTGCATAGATGATACTTTTTGTTTATGTTCTAACCGCAAAGCCAATTGATTACCATTGTTTACAATGTAAGAAACGTCTAATAAAACACAAACAACCGGCGTTTATCATTGCACTCACTCGCGATTGGTCAATCATTTTTAATGCGATTGGTCTAATTGAATGACCACATAAAATGCGTGTCAACCTTCAACAAATTATTAAGTTCTTGCATCTTAGTTTTTATGATGCGGTGATTTTAATCACAATTTTATTGGCATTCATGTAATGGCGTACGCATTTTCATCTGCGTGGCTTACGCATTCCATTTTTTTCTGTGGTTTTGTAGAAGCAAGAGTAGAAAAATGAAACATGATTTACGATTATTTCCACTTCTAAGCGCGCGCGCATGAGAGAGAGTGAGAGAGACGAATTTGCGCCCGAAAAATGTCGCGTAAGCCGAGGTTATCTAATGTTTTGACAGCGCAAGAAAAAGACTCTAAATAGATTAAATCAATCGCTGAAAGCATGCGTAATTTCTTTTCGTTCGCATAATAATCAGAAAACGAGTGAAGAAAAAAGGGAGAAGAAGTTTAGCAAGTTCACTGATGACTAATCATTCCATTTGGTTCATAAGTTGTTATCGCCGGTCGTGCAGCCTGTGATGCGAATTGAAGCTAAAATTAATAGCACCGTGACCCAAAATATTATAATACGACAATTTTCGTCCATTTCGTGAGATGCGTGCTCATACTCACATCCATACACATATCTATTCGGCATTAGTAAGTTACTGCTTCCATCAACAATAGAGAGAATAATTTATGAAATTTCTTCAGTTAATCGATTATGAAATCAACGACAAAAACCCGAATAAATAAGCGGTGATTGCTTCTCTACTTCTCTCTTTTTCGCTCTCCGTCGAAAAAGATTTAAATGATTATGCGATACGCTCTTTGCACCACATCTCTGATTTAACAAACAAAAAAAACTCATCGGAGAGTAAATAAGCTTTCGTTGCTTCCTCTTTCCAATTTCTCTCCATTTCTTATGTTCGCCACTTGTTGTTGATATTTTTTTTTCTCGTGTAAATCTTATTTCGGAACCATTTTTTACTCTTTCAGCTCTCGCGTAATAATGAATGTACGTTGTGCGCGCGCACTCAAACATGGCCACTCTTTTTTCGCTCTGTTTGACTTCCACACGAACAAAAAGATGTCAATAAAAATGAAATCGATTAAGAATTACATAATATTTTAATGAATTTTTTTCCTTCTTCTTCTTTTTTCTGTTGTTTTCGTTGGCGGCAGCGGCTATTCCTAGAGCCGGATGCCTGAGAGAGCAGGTTACATCTCACTCGTGATCTTTGTGCGAAGTGGTGGTCTTTGCATAATATCGATATCGTCATCAGCATCGCGCAAGTGTCATCACATTTATTATTGTCATGCACATATTCTTCGTTTTTGTCTTGCGCTGAATTCGGCCAAATTTTCTTCATGTGCAATTCAATTGCTTTGAAAGAAAGAGATAAATTCAATGGCCGACGCGACAATTATAATCGAAAAATCTGTTGGTTACACATTTCTTGCATGAAATCATGTCAATGTGACATCAAATGGTCATGGGCTTTTTTTTACGTCTGAAATTGAATAAACGTCCCCCATCTCTTGAAGATTTGATTCATTTTGACTGAAGAGCTCGACTAATTTTCAATTGCAGCCACACTCGTTACAAGGTCAAAAGGTTGAAAATCGCTGCTTCTTTCTGTACGCGCTTGCTTGATAAATGTACTTAGATAATAGTTTCATGCTCTGACCCGATGATATGTTTGACATGACAAACCGCCATCACATTACTCATCCATTTTTCGATGACGGTCGGTCAAATGCACAGCAATCAATGTTGTTTGTTGTTTCGACGTGTTGATTTCTTTCATTTTCTTTTCCACTTTGTGTCGCCTCCAAACATGTGTTTTAAGATTGCTGAGCATCTCAGCATTTCGTAAGGCACGGATATATCCGAGCATATCGACGAAGCATACAGTGGCGTGCGTTGCTACGCGCAACCGCAACGACTCGACCAGAATGTGTATGTTGTTGCTGCGTGCAGCCACATCAACTGAACACACTTCGGTCGAATCGTTGCGGCTGCACGTAGCAACACACGCCACTGTATTATACAGTATGCGTCGTCGATACGCTCGGATATATCCGTGCCTTACGAAATGCTGAGATGCTCAGCAATCTTAAAACACATGTTTGGTCGCCTCTCTTGACTCATATTCCCTCTTGTTTACCGAATGCATGCTCTTTTTTCGACATTTGAAAATGTTTGTGTATGTTAATTTTTTTTAGGCTTCATTTTTAATCTACATAATTCCAAATCTGTATCGCATCATATTCATTAGCTTGTACAATGTACACTGCCAGCGATTATGAATTTGGAATTTTTTTTCAATTTGAATACATTTTCGTTGTTTTTTTTGTATTATCTCGCTATCTCTCTGTTCGATGTGTGCAGACGAGAACAAACAAAAGCAAAAATTGAATATTTTGCAATGAAAACGTTCGTGACTCTCTGACGGATGACTTTCGCAACAGCACAACAGAAAAACGACAACAACAACAACCGCAAATGCAAGCGATAAACATAAACATAAACAAGATCAATCCTAATTGCTTAGTTCAGCTGGCTGATTGACTGACTTTTTTTTCCATTCAGCATTGCTTTGACCTGTAACTTGCTAAACAGGTGATTTTCAATATGCATTTTCATTGTTCGATGAAGCTATTTGCCATCACGTTCATTCGAGCGTACAGACTTGAGCGAATTTTGAGAGTGAAAGAGAGAAAAATGCATGCAACAAAGATCAACGGATCAATCCGTATCTATAACACGACGCGTACGCACCTCACAAAATCCGTAACAGTGACCAGCCAGCCACTTTTAAGTTGACCAAAATAATGTCAATGTCGTTTGGTTTTTTTTTCTCCGTTCATAATGTGCTCAACATTTTTTTTCCATTCGGGTGTGTGGTTTTTTATTTCATTTGCGAAATGCCAGTAGATTCTGTTTGCCATTTCCATCAGCGATTTTCGTTACAACGAAAAGAACCACTTGTAATATGCAATCACATCGTAAATGAATAATTCAATTGACAAATAGTCAAGAATGTTGAGAGAATTCCACAGATCGATGACCTGCATCCAAAAGCCGAACGCATTATCATCAGCGGAAAAATATTTAGTGATAATTTCATTTCATTTGGTATTCATTGGCTTGGAGTAGTGGAAAAATAGAGGATTCCGACAGAAGTATCATATCAAAGCAAAATATAAGGCCTGAACACATTAGACAATATCAGTGTTTGTTTATAAAAAAAAGCGAAAAAAATTGAAACTATTAAAGGTTAGGACATTGAACCGCTTTGAAATAACGAATGAATCAAAAATGCCAAAAAAAATGAATCAAAATATGAGTCTATAAATTAAAAATGTGACTTTTTCCAATTCAAAATGCATTTTCCAACAGATTCCAAAATATCATCATGTCTCACCAGTTGCAATTTGCTTCAAAATAACTTAATTAATTCTGATGTTTTTCACAAGTACAATATACACATTTCCACGTTTGTTTTCGCTTTCAAACACGCAATGGTATCGCGAGTGAGAAGTAATTGTGCTCGAGTACAACATGTTCTCGCGACGCATATCAAATGAACGGCTGCTTGCCGAATAAAAGTGCATAAATTCTAGTTGCACCATGTATAAAATGTGATTAGTCAGATTTGCTATTTGATAGATGAGAACAAAGCATACGTGTTTCTATTCAATGAGTACACGCTTTTCGTTGGCTTCGTGTAACAATTTACCGGGGCCAACACGTTACTTTTCGCAGTTTTTCCGACGAAATTCTTAAGAATATGTTATTATCATATAATGAAAGAGAAAAAAAGAATTATATTGCACCTCCCTCGATGAATTAAGTGTTTTTGCATGTATTTTCATTCGGTGGATTCTGCAATTGAGTGGTATTTTCATAAATGAAGTTATAACATGATCTTGGTGGGTATTTATTACATGAGGTAAAAATAAAACATTTGAAAGTGTTGAATCGAAGTCAAAAAATCTGTATTTGATATCCCATTCCCGTCTATTTTTAGCAATTGTTAAGTAATTTTTTATTAATCATTTGTATCCGATTTGGGTGTTATGAACGGATTTTCCCATAGCAGGTAATTAATGGCGAGCGAAACTTTCTGAACAACTTTCGTTGCCCTGATTCGAAAAAAGGACCATGACCAATTTAAACTCCGTCGAATTGATACATATTGAAGTGTTTTGGCGTCATTATAATCATATGATTCGGTTAAATTGGATCAGTACGGTGCACAGAACATACATCAGAATCGGACTGTTCAAAAGGTAACGGCTGCCAATAAGTCATTCACACTCTGCATGCGAATAAAACAAAATGCCGCAACCGAATTGCATGACCACAACAAATTATCGCCCGGCCAAATATGAAAATCACTTTGACTTTCAACGCGGCACAACAACATTTAATTTGCATTGTTTATTGCAACAGTTTTGCATAGATCTGTTTTGTTTTGTTGCTTTTCCTCTTCTGTCCGTTTCGTTTGGTTCATTATCAACGATTTTTCTGTCTTTTTGTGTCAGAATAAACGGTAACTTGCACTCGACTGATCATAGATTACAATTACTGCAATCCATATGAAGTGGACATTTAACGTGTGCAGTATTGGTGCTCATTAAATGTACAGTTATTTTTTTTTATTCCCTCTCGTTGGTTTGTTATCCAGTTTTGACCGTTAAAGTAATGCAAGAGACCTTTTAACGTCTTTTGTTTTACGACTGTCCAATTTTTACAGCTGCCAATTTTGAGTGTTGGATTGCACGCCGCGCAGGTACACACACACACAGTGTCGCCATGGCATAATGGCCAAATGAAACCCAAACGAGTATAGTCATAAATTTCGGTCAAGGAGCTTTAATTACAATTTAGCATTTCGCGTTTTTTTTTTCGAGTAAAATTGAGAAAAAAACGTCAGCTTTTGGTAGCAAATGAGATGGTAGATTTATGAGCTGCTGCTGGCTTTTGTGCTCTTATCATACACATTTATACTGATTATGTAATTGCCTCAAATAATGACTCAAATCAACGGCCGAACAAGTCAAATGTTCAAGAATATATCGACGCATTGCGTTGCGATTAACGTTGAATTTTTATGCCTCCCCCGGCACACACAATCCAATGGCATTTAGGCGTACATATATAAAGTATCTTGATTATTTCTGGTTGTAGCTTTGTCAGTGGAAAATGATGTTGAATGACTACAGAAAATTGTATGCATGCAGCAGCAGCAAAATATTCGTGAAATTCGCGTCACGCAAAGTCAAGCATGCGAACGTCGTAAGCAATTATTCTTTTGTTTAAATCTGGTGGAATAAAAGAAAACACATTTCGATTCTATTCAGCATTAACAAATCTCCGGGTTGAATGAATATGATTTTTCCGTCGCACAAATTTACATTCACGCCAAGTTCACGTTCTCCCCGTATTTCCATCTCGCTTACTCGCTCGCTCCATTCTTAAGACGTATTTAATTACTCGAGCCGCGCAAATTTTTTTCGAAGCGTTGACATTACTATAACACCCATATTGCACCGCTTATGTCATTCTCACGAAAAAGATTTTCCATATTTTTGCCTCTCGTTTCTATTTTCTTAAGCTTTGTAAGCGGCAGCTTGATTAATTACCATAATTAAACAGAAACCATAATTAAAATCAATGTAACTTCATCGACATCAACGGGCCACGACAAATTGAGACAAAAGTGAAAAACACCACCTCAAAACACCTTTTGACAGAGGTTAACATTCCGAAATGCTTCTATTAATCTCACCATTGGGTTCAGTCATTCCAAGAGGAAAATAAAAAGTGTAAAAATCTTAAGCGATGTATGACGAAATGAGGGCGAAAGTTTCCAATAAGTCATCAAAATCGGCTTTTTACACCTAATTTCCGAGCGCATGCAAATGTGATCAATATGACATTCCCAGTCGAAAATCGAAATTAACATCGTAAAACAGAGAGATGAAAAAAAACCACAACAACAACTTTTTCCCAACATTTATCGCATTCGAATAGAAAGTGACACAAACCGATCGTTAGTTGGGCAAGAAGTAGAAACATTGTTGTAATATGCTTAAAAATTCGGAAACCTTTCAAATGTTTAAGCATCAAGCTTGATCACAAAGTGGCACACAATCAAAACCGTCAGACATGTGAAAGGTATTCATCTGTCTTCTTTTGTCCAGCATGATCACCAATCACGTTTCGCGGTTGCGCGCGTGTGCGATACCCGTATAGTAACAATGTAGTATCAATTTGTGAAAAAAAAAACTCAAGATTCAACTTCATTCAACAAGATGAAGTGGCTGCTGATGCCGCTGCTGCCGCTGCTGCTGCTGCCGTTGCTGCAGCACTGTCAAGTTTTCGAATGTGAGTCGAGAGAGCTTAAAGTAGGTAAGGTTTTAGAAATGAGGCAATAATCATCGAATGGCATGTGATTGCATTGAAACTCATCGACCAAAGGAATGCAACTATGGCAACAGTGTCTCAAGAAGATTTGCCTCTTTGAATGGCAACTTGAAAGAAGAAGAAGAAAAAACATGTACAATGAGTGCACAGTATATGCCAAGCAGACAAGCACACAAATGGCTCATTTGAATGACAAAAAATGGACAGAATATAATCTAATAAATGGATGTGCTTCGGATGTGTGACGAACAGACGTTGATTGCATACGAAAGTTTATTTGTTGATGGTTTTTGTTTGGGAAAAAATCACTGTTTGCATTCAGTTGAGACTAATTGGGGAAATTCAAGTCACTTCATCTGTTTTTAAGCTTATATCCGTCATCAATTGTTGCAGTTCTTGTTTGAACAGAGCAGCAGTGCATTCATCTGCAATGTGCAGTGAAATCAAAAATGATGGCAATAAAATGGTAGAATTCACTGTTTCACCTTTATAACAGCCTAATCTCAAAAGCGGCATGGACGCACCTCATAAATTATCACTTCTTATGATGTCTTATGCAAGTGGATGATGCTTTAGAAACTTACCTTAAATATTGGCCAATGTCAACGAGAGATGAACACAATCGGAATACAAACAGCTTAATTAAAACGGATTATTCACGCAATTTGACACATTAATCAAAGAGTCACACACACACATACGCAGACTCACAAAATAAGCTCACACTTAACAACCGATTGCTCAAAAGATCATTAACTAAGTCTCTTGAAACGAACGCCGAATTGATACTATTTTCATAAGCCCGTGATGCACACACAAAACAATACCGATTCATTCGCGGCTCGAAACTTGTGAACGATTCAAATAATCCGATGCGCGACTGTCAACTATTGTCAATCAATTTGAGAGCGTTTTTTTTTTCGTCGATTTCCATTCATTTGAGTGTATAGGTAGGTATGTGTGTGTGCGGTGTGTATGTTTTATGAGTAACATACATTTCTTCTTTCTCTTTTATACCGTTCGGCCACAAAGAAACGATGGGTAAATATTTGTGGCGCGTGGAGCAATACATCCATGGAATACTGATGCGCGATTGCACACAATCAACGCATCGTTTTGTAATGCTATCAGCAATTCATCGACGTCACACCGTACACGACGTGTGTTGGGGCAATGGAAGGCAATACACAATTTCTCCGAAGCGAATACACATCAACAATGAAGAACTGACGCAAGAAATTTCTTTTCTTATTTTAATGACGTTCCAACTGCACCGTTGGATCGAATGATATGAAACGCCCCACCGGATTGACTTGTACTACATCGCAAGACATAAACAGGTGACTCAAATATTACACATCATATGTACATCATGCGTAAATTCCCAACCAAAACATGCATGAGCCATCAGATCATTGTGATTTCATGTATTCGGATCATGATTATTTGAAATGATCAATTCTTTTTTTTTTACTTACGCTTACCTATCGCATGCAACCCAGTTAATCAAACTGCATGACCATATTGTCAATTTTTAAGAATCTTCTTTTTTGCGATCATTTCAATGAAATTTCATAGATGTTGATTTAATTTGGTTTTCAATTATTTTTTTATATTTGAACTTTAATCGTTTGTACAAATGATTGTCACAACTTAAACGATGCGATTTATTCGCACTGACCTATGTATTTTTGATGTTTATCGGAGATTAAATCAGCCGTCTACATTTTTCCTTATGATGGACCGGATGATGAACCCGTTGAACCGGACGAAGAGCCGCCCGCTACACCAGTCACTCCTTGTATCGCTGCCTGTGATAAGCCGCCCGCCAAACCAATCACCCCTGATATCGCTCCTTGTGATAAGCCCGCTGATGATCCTACCAACGCCCTCGTAATTGAACTTATCAGACCGGACAATATACCATGAATAAATCCAGCTGAACCTGAACCACCTATTTTATCTGAACACTGTTTCATATCAAACAACAATCTTTAGCATTGCATTTTACTATGTGAATACGTGCATGTTTGCAGTTTGCCTAGACTACAAGCTGTACGAATAAATTACAACTGAAATATTGGACAAATAAAAGTGAAATTACATCTGGATTTTCTTCTTCTTCAGCTCGCTCGCGCTCATCTGGTTTAGCGGATCCCTTCCCAATTCCATCATAAAGATTTTCAATAAATTCAGCCGGTCGGATGGGAGCATCATCATCATCATCGGGATCCTGTTAATTTTAATTTTCATCCCCAATCAAATATTACTGCAAATGTAAACCGACATGAAAAATGTGTTTATGTACATGAGTGTGAAGTGAAAAAGGCGAAATATTGGTTTAAAGTTGAAGAGAGTTCAAAATATATATCACAGATAGATGGTTCAAATGAGCATTGCAGCCTCAACCATGAGGCCAAAAATGAAATGAAGAAAACACATGAAATTTCGTGAAAAAAATTTGTGCACCAAAATGAAATTGGTTATGAAATGAATTGGTTTTTCAACAGTTCATTTACCGCACTCAAAACCGCTATGAATTTTCCGAGGAGCTGACCCAATAATTGCCCATTGTTAGCCTAAAAATAAATATCATAAATACGTTTTTGATCGCTTAAATAAATTGAAACGCACAAAAATGTCAAAAACTAAAAATGAAAATCTTTTTAAATGCAAATTACCAACTATTTTTCCGAGAACTTTTTCAAAATTTTCGCCACCAGCGAGAAGGCTAGCCACTAAAGCCGATCCACTGGAAACGAATCCAGGAATATCCAAACCTCCAGGCTATGAAATGTCTCTATATTTACTCTTAATTCACAAGATTTATCAATACAATTACAGGTGGGCGGAGTAAGAGAGTATAATTCATACTCTTACTCCTACTCCCATACAAACGGAAAATGAGTATGTCTCGACATACTCTCGTACTCATAGATACTCTTTGAGTATGAGAGTATATACTAGCGAATTTGCCCACCTGTAAATACAATACTGTAAAAAAGTTTGACCAAGATTTAACTCACATCAAGCAAATTGGTAATGAATTGTGATAGAGCACTTAAAAAAGGCAAAGAGACAAGTGATTTAATAAAAATGTTCAATTCGAAATGAAAATTACAAAAGATCAATATGAGAAAGAAGTAACAAAAACAAGCACTTACCTAAAACTGCACCAACGTCTGATTCTCCATCACCCTAAAATATTGAATCAATGAAAATTTCGAACATTTTAAACTTTAAACTGATTAAATACTCCACTCAGGTTGGTGATCGAACCAACAAGACCACTTAAAAAGGAAACAAATTATTTTCGAAGAAATTCTTTTTTTTTTTCATTCAATCACTTTCATTGATTCCATTACCTGGCTCATCAGATGGGCTAGAACTTTCATCAAATTCCTCTTCATTTTGTTCGTTCATTTCTTTTTCGCCTTCACTTTTGCTACCATCAATTTCGTTATCTTTATCGTCATCATCTTGTCTGTCGCTCATTTTTGGGCCACCGAAACCAACATCAACATCGACCACAAAAGACATATCCTATTTTGGTTTTTATGTTACGTGAATAATTTGCATGGTGCACGGAATAAAAGATTTTGTTTGTTCCAGTGGAGTCCACTGAGTGGATGTGGATAAATATGTACAAATCGGTTGAGTTTGCAAGTTGAAGGTGCATAAAAGGTTGTAAAGCAACGAAAAAAAAAAAAAAACAAGCGAATCGACTACCGACTTACCTCATGCAAAATGTGCTGCATATCTTTCTCAAGTGCATCCAAAGTGGTTCCATTTCGAGCATACCGAAGCATACCGTTCAGTATTGAAATGGCCAAATGCGGTCTATATTACTAAGTATTTGTTTGGGAATGGAGTGACGATGGTGCCCCCTGCATAATCGAATGCGAATTCTCCATTTCTGTATGTTACACTTCAGTATGACGTTTGAGAGAACGGAGAGTTTACTTGATTGTATTGTCATTAGCCTTAAATTATACAGGTGGAGTTTGTACTCAATATCAGTTGTCAAATTCCAAGCGAATGGGCTTGGTCAAAGAACTTTTAACGAAGACTAGCTTATTTCATGACTTTATTCGAATAAGTACACTTTAACGCACCTTAATTTCTTTTTATTCACTTCAAACTAAGGGATTTATATTTTGATTCTATGTTATGATTATAAAACGAATTGCAGTGACAACATCAAACACCACCGATCGAGGAGGAAGACAAAATGTGGTTGGAATGTAAGTAAAGCGCAGAACAAGAATTTTTTTTTTTCGCAAATTCATGCGATGTATGTATATAGACATAGATACGGTCTGGTCATCGAGTTAAAGCAGAAGATATAACATTGTGCCAAAACCTATAATCAAGTCGATTGCATGGAATTGTCGACCGCCGATTCGTCAATCACGTAACAAAAAAATTTCCAAAATACTACACCACAATGAACAAAGTGTATCAAAGACGACGTATTTGTCATTTTTATGTTTGTTTACCTAATACAATCGCTGGAAGTGGTTTTTTCTCTTTCAAATTGTATCATGATTATGTAGAACGATCAATTCTGTTTTTACTTAAGCTTGCTATCACATCCAACCCAGTTAATTGAACTGCATGACCATGTTACCGATTTCTGAAAATCTTCTTTTTCGGGCGTTTCGATCATTTCAATGAAATTTCATAGATGTTGATTTAATTTAGTTTTCAATTTTTTTTATATTTGAACTTAAATCGTTTGTACAAATGATTGTCGCAACTTAAACGATGCGATTTATTCGCACTAACAATTGCTACTAAATTTTGACTTTGGAATAAAGTACTTTATGTATTTTTTTTATAGTAAAAATCACCTTGGATGATCTGATATCAGTTGTGTGAATGTGATTTTTTTTGTGGTGTGTGAATATTATGGATGATGATTATTTCAATGGCGAATTTTTTTTTTTAAATTTTGAAAAATGGTGCCAAAATTGCATTTTTTCCATTTTGATGTCTATCAGAGATTACATCAGACGTCTACCTTTTTTCTGCTGCCGCGTCGCCTTTTCCTGACGATGAACCAGATGATGAACCGGACGAACCGGACGAAGAGCCGCCCGATAAACCAGTCACTCCTTGTATTGATCCCTGTGATAAGCCTGCTGATGATCCTGCCGATGCCTTCGTAATCACATGTATCAGACCAGACAACAAACCTTGAATAAATCCAGACGAATCTGAACCACCGCCTTTATCTGCACACTGTTTCATATCAAACAACAACCTTTAGCATTGCATTTTATTATGTGAATACGTGCATGTTTGCCGTTTGCCTAGTCTACAAGCCGTGCAAATGAATTGCAACTGAAATATTGAGCAAATAAAAGTGAAATTACATCTGGATTTTCTTCTCCAGCTCCTTCGCGCTCATCTGGTTTAGCGGATCCCTTGCCAATTCCATCATAAAGATTTTCAATAAACTCAGCCGGTCGGATGGGAGCATCATCATCATCGGGATCCTGTTAATTTTAATTTTTATGCCCCATCAAATTCAATGCAAATATAAACCGACTTGAAAAATGTGTGAATGAAGTGATGTTTATATACATGAAAGTGAAGTGAAAAGAGGCAGAAGATTTTTTTAAAGTTGGAGAATGGTCAAAGATGATATATACCAGATAGGTGGTATGAATAAACATTGTGACCTCAACCATGAAGCCAAAGGAAAAAATATGAAGTTTCGTGAAACATGTACTAAAATGAAATTGTTCATGAAATGAATTGATTTTTCAAAATTGCAGACAGTTCATTTACCGCACTCAGAACCGATACGAATTTTCCGACGAACTGACCGAAAAATTGCCCATTGTTAGCCTAAAAATAAATATCACAAATACGTTTTTGATCGCTTAAATATTGAAAATTGTATTTTGATACAAATTATTTTTATTACCGCTCCACCTCCGCCGCTGAAACCATCAATAGCCAAACCTGAAAGTCGAAAAGTGTGTTCAAGTCATTGCAAAAAAAAGTCAAAAACTAAAAATGAAAATCCCTTGAAATGCAAATTACCAACTATGTTTCCGAGAACTTTTCCGAAATTTTCGTCACCAGCAAGAAGACTAGCTACTAAAGCCGATCCACTGGAAACTAATCCAGGAATATCCAAACCTCCAGGCTATGAATTTTTTCGATATTTATTCTTAATTCACAAGATATATCAATACAATACATTGAAAGAAGTTTGAGCAAAATTTAACTTACACCAAGCAAATTGGTAATGACTTGTGATAGAGCACCTAAAAAAGGCCAAGAGACAAGTGATTTTATCAAAATGTTCAATTCAAAATGAAAATTACAAAAAACCAATATGTATATGAGAATAAGTAACAAAAACAAGCACTTACCTAAAACTGCACCAACGTCTGATCCTTCATCACCCTAAAACATGATATCAATGAGAATTTTGAAGGGTTTAAACCTCAAAATGACTACATACCCCACTTAGGTTGGTGATCAAACCAACAAGACCACCTAAAAAGGAAATAAATCATTTTTTCAAAGAAATTCTTTTTTTTTCATTCAATCACTTTCATTGATTCCATTACCTGGCTCATCAGATGGGCTAGAACTTTCATCAAATTCCTCTTCATTTTGTTCGTTCATTTCTTTTTCGCCTTCACTTTTGCTACCATCAATTTCGTTATCTTTATCGTCATCATCTTGTCTGTCGTTCATTTTTGGGCCACCAAAACCAACATCAACATCGACCACAAAAGACATATCCTATTTTGGTTTTTATATTACGTGAATAAATTGCATGGTGCACAGAATAAAAGATTTTTTTTTTGGTTCAGCGGATGTGGTTAAAAATGTACAAATCGGTTGAGTTTGCAAGTTGAAGGTGTATAAAACGCTTGAGCGTGAGTAAACGGTGTATGTGTGTGTGGAATGCATCCAAGGTGCAAATAGATTTATAGGAGGAAAAAAAAACAAAATTAATTTACCGGATCACTTCGTCGGTCATGTCTTTTGAAACGATCTAATTTCGTGTTAACGAGAACGGCTTTCGGTTTCGATGTCACGACAACTAATTCTTCGCCTTTTGTGAGCCGTGCCATTTCAACAATGCGAAAAGCCTGTCCGGGCTCTTGATGATAATTCAAATCAACATCAAAATCGGATCCCGTATTTTCGGGCGATGCAATTTGATCCCAAAGTCTTCGAACAGGAATCAACGATGGATCCAATTTAACTTTTTGCTTCGTATTCGTCTGCGATAGTTTTTCATTGGTTTTTTGCATTTTTTGAACAAACTTGATGGTTTGCTTCACATTGTCCGTTACACTCGAGTGTATATTTTCAACATGATTGTCAATCATTTCCCTTACATCATACAGTTTTTCTTTGACGCTATACTTCAAATTCATTCCAGAACGAGTTATTAACTTTCCGGTCGATGCACTTTTCTGGCCATCAATTTCGTCATCTATGCCCAAAGCCAATTTTTTGCTGCGTAATCGCTTTGACGAGGCTTCATTCTGTCATTTTAGTTTTTGAAATTAGTTATCGAAACCACTTTGCTTTCGTAAAGCAACGAAATGAAAAAAAAGAGAAGCAAATGGTTTACTGACTTACCTCATGCAAAATGTGGTGCATATCTTTCTCAAGAGCATTCAAAGTGGTTCCATTTCGAGCATACCGAAGCATACCGTTCAGTATTGAAATGGCCGATTTATCACGGTTTATCGTCTCTTCAATGGCCAACAGTTTGTGCATATTCTCTTTGGGCGTTGACTTGTTGAACGTATCCAGTAAATCATCCGTCATGTGATAGAGATTCTCACGCATCGCTTCTTCAGCGTGCAATGCACCCGCCAATAATCCAATTGTACCAACGATTCGCACCTCTTCAGGCGAATGATTGCGACGTAGACTTTTGAAAAGTTTGGGAAAATCAACATTTTTCACTAATTGCCGCGCATCTTTCAACGGCTCCGCTTTTCTTACATTTCTAACACTGGCCGCCACCGTTTTGTCCACTTCGTATGAAATTGGCGAGAAAATTTTCGCACCCGTCGATATTATTATTGAGATTAAAATCAACAGTTCCTTTTTGTAAATCATTTTAACGCACAAATGAAATTGAAATCCGCTTTTTAATCGATAAATCTCTTTTGGAGTTGAATATTAACTTCCCTTTTTATTGGTAAAAACCAATTTTAATTAAGAGAAAACTTGGGTCAAAGAATTTTCAAGAAGACTAGCTTATTTCATGACCATATTCAAATAAATGCACTTTAATTCCTTTTGATTCACTTCGAACTAAATCCGTTGACAATTGTCGATAGTTCGCATCGAATGTTTTGATTTGAACTGAAAGTGAAACCGTTCAATCGATGTGTTTTTATTTTGATTCTATGTTACGATTATAAAACGAAGCGCAAAACAAAAGAAAAAAAAATTGTCGCAAATTCATGCCATCTATATATAGACATTAGATACGGTCTGGTCATCGAGTTGAAGCAGAAGATATAACATTGTGCCAAAACCTATAATCAAGTCGATCGCATAAAATTGTCGACCGCCGATCCATCAATCGCGTAACGAAAAACAAAACCTCCAACATACTACACCACAATGAACAAAGTGTATCGAAGACAACATATTTGTCATTTTTATGTTTGTTTACCCAATACAATCGCTGGCAGTGGTTTTTTCTCTCTTTCAATCTATTCTGTCTTTGCAAAACTATTTCACATCTCTATTGCTTGAAGAAAAAAAAATCATTTTTCACATTTTGAACCGAACAAACGACATTTCCAGCCATTTAATCGTCATTATTCCGTGAAGACGCCGTTTAATATGGATGCAAGAGATGTAGACTTCTGCAAGCACATTATTTAGATTATATAAAACAAACAAAATAAGAGCACCATCGATAGATATATATGTAATAACTGTCTGTCTGCTCGTCGACGATCTCGTAACCAAATACTTTTGTTCAGTATGGCAAGTCAAACTTTGACAGAATATTCATTTCAATGGAATGCAGTGTTGTGCATGTGCTTGATTTTCGATTGACCAACTCATATTTTTCGAAAATTTGCAAGTTGAAACGAGCGAAAATTCTTTTCGAAAGTGGAAAACGCTTGAGGTGCTTGAAATTATAGATTTGGCCACCTCTAATTGGTTCGGCAATCTTCAAGAATGTGAAAGTAATTACCACTGAAAGTAATCCATATTTTCAGTTTTGATTGCCTTTTTGACTTTTGTGGCTTTTCTTCACTACTTTTCAAGTTGAAAGTATCAACGCTTTGGAATGAAAATTCGACATTTTAGATTCATTCATCAGCTAACGCTGACATAAAATTAATTTTATCTAATCAGATGATTCACAATAATCAATTGATGAATCACAATTCTGAAAATTATCATATCTTCATACAGATCCTGTTTTAAAGGAAACCTTTGAACGATTCTATCCAAATGATGGCCAATTAAAAAGTCATTATTACCTCAAAGCAGAAAAAAAGCCCATTAAAGGGCAACAGCTGTGAAAAAATCAGCTGCATTGTAATTGGTGTATTTATGACTGGTTACTCATTTACAGAGTAATTAATTAGTAAATCAGTAGGTAAATAGGAAAAAGATCGACTTCCCTTTGTTGAACATGTTGAATGAAACCGTGGCGAATCGCCATATGTATATCCCACAGATCGAAAATCTTTTTTGTTAGTTTTTTTTCTATTCATTCATTCATTGATTATTCCAAATAGCCTTTCATTCGGTATTTACTGTAGGTAGTGAATGGTTACTGAGGTGGAACCAAAACTGTATTTCTTCTTCGTTTTATTTTCTATTTTGTTCATGAATTTATGTTTCGTTTTTTTTTGCTCGTTTTTATGTGTATGAAATTTCAAAGATGCAAAATGGTCGATGAAGTAATTTAAGCATTAAAACCGTTGGATAACAATGTGTAACACAAATGTACTGACAGAAGAAGGTAATCTAAAGCATCTAACCGATGGAATTGAGGTCGTCCAAATGGTCATTGATAATAACACTTGCTGCTGTTGCAATGACACTTGGCTTTGCTAAAAATATATCAGAATATCGCATGCGTTCGATCTAATCACATTCCATGAACCATATTCCAATTGCACGTAATTAAAGAACAACTTATTTAACAAATCAATCGTTAATTGGCTTCTAGATGAGCATCGACGTAATTCCTGGTAGAAAACCTGTCATATTTGTGGTATGACTATTGAGGACACTCACAATTGATTGACAGTAATTGTAGCAAAATACTCGCGTACGATTTCCTTGAATAAAAAAAAAAATTCTATGCACTTTTACTGATGATTATTCAATCTCGTCGAATGGAATTATCTTTGTCGAGAGTCTCGACTCGAGACGCCAATTAGATTTTGAGCGCACGAGAAATGTATTGAATTTTCCGTAGTTTTTTTGGCAGAAGTCTATGCAGCGCGAAAAATTCATATATTTTTTTCTTTCGTAATTAGAATAATTACATGCGGTATGCGTAGAAATTCATTGAAATGTTCGAAATTGGCCTGGCAGAGAAGAAAATGATTTCTGGTAATCAATTGTAATGCCTCAATCTCGATCGCTCGCAGTATGTGTGTGTGCGATTTGTTTTGTTGTTGATTTAACAGTTGATTCGAAAATAACCAATCTGTAAAATTGCACAATGGCCGATCGACACACACATGCGCACCACCGGTTCAAGTAAATATTGCATACGGTGCAATTGATAAAATAATGTTTGCCCATTTTGCAACAAAAAAACAACAACTGTACAAACTACACAGAAGATAATGATAGTAAAATTCAGTTTTGAAGCATTCAAAGCCTTGCTCCGTTGAGCAAGTAAAACACACACATTTCAAATGCAAATTGGCATTAATGAAATAATCCAAAAGCGCCAATCGGGGCTACAATGTAGCCTCCTTTTCATGTTGATTAACGATTCAAACGTAGAATTGACTTGTTGATTTGACTCGTTGTGTGTCTTGATTTGGTGTTTGGCTCGTTGTTGTTTTTCTTTCTTCTTTTTTTTTGAAGAAATTGCCATTATTTTGCTTTTCTCCATCAATAAAAAATGCCAATGAATCCAAATTGAACGCAAAACTTCATACGTAAATGAAAACACAATGAAAGTGATGATCGTTTGATGAAGCTGCATAAATGTGACGCTACAAACAGTTTTCTGCTTGATGCGCACGATCTTTAGCCTAATAAGAGACAACGGTGATTATCGTCTTTCTCTCTTGTAATGATTATGTCATAACTTTCTCGCCCCGGTAAAATTAAACGCGAGTATTGTGCAATTGCTGAACAATATCGGATAATTGAAACTCTTCATTTTTCGATGCAAAATCTTCCGTCGAACATATCGCTAGCTCTCCATTCACTTGATACAACTAACAAAATCAACTCAACTCTCAGTATTTTTTTTCACAACGATGGTTTTTGTCATCTTGATCGTATCGTTTATGGTTGAACGTCTTCATGGGCGCACACGCTGCTTAAAAACGAGCACAATTATTAACACCTTTTTGGCATGGCTTTTTTTATATTACTTTTCGAAGTCATGAGCATTTTGTCATTGTAACCTTAAAAAAAGAGCAACATTTTTTATCCGCACTATGTGTGTGTGTGTGTGTTGCGATAACAGTTCAAGATAAAATGCCAAAACATCATTTTAATTTTGCGTTTTCCATTTCAAATGAGCGCAATAAACAAATGGAAGCAGCAAAATGTTTTTAAAAAGGGGAAGAAGTGTGCACGACACGCACAAGTAAATAGGAAATAGCAGCATTTAAACGTGCGCATAGATCTCAGATCAGATCATCATCATCATCAACATTTGTTTTTCCTATCGTAAAGCTGGTGAACGATTTTTTTACGGAGTAATTTACATAAATTTTTTAAATGATGAACGAGGAAATTAGCAACTCACTTGTAGAGTTTATGGAGTGTGCTCTTTTCGCACGGCTACGTCACGACGCACAAAAACAATTTGCAAGCAAAACACACAAAAATGTATTCATTTGCAAGATCAAATGCAAACGTTCACCTTGGTAAATAAAAACTATTCAATCACTACGCTTTGAAAATTTCTCAATTTTAATTGGCAACCTGACGAATCTCGGTTATTTCCTTTGATTTTGATATACCGTACTCTACATAATCCGGAAATGATGACGTTATCAACAGCATCGACACATTTTTATTACATCGTCGATGAGTTCATGTGTTTTTTTCCACCATCCAAAATCACCATCCATAATTTTTAATTGAAATCCAATAAAAAAAAAGCCAAACGAATTACGGGTTCGTGTGCAACCGCAAAATTTCATTTAATTTATTTATATTCAAATCAAATTCAATTATTCACTAGATTCAATTTACACCAATCAGACAGTGCACGAACTATCAATTTTCAACTACTGTCGAGTGAACTTTCATACGATGGCTTCTGTATCGATGAAAATGAATAGATTTGATTTGTTTGCTGATAAGATTTAGGATTTAGTGAGGCAAAACGTGCCATATTAATTTGCCACACAAACCACTCAATTGCCAACCGGTCAGTTTTTTTCTTTATCAAGAAATGCATCTAAGCCGCAGTTAGATTGAATCCCCTGAACACGCATTCGGCTCGGGCAATCAAATGATAATTGGTATTTACAGTGCAGTTTAATTTCTGGTTTGAATCTAATAATAAGAGCGGAAAAAATTGCAATAAAAACACGTATTCTCCGAATCGATAAGTAGACGGCAATTGATTGGTGGTATTTGTAACGTATTCTGTGTCAACGTTGATTTAAATTATAAAAATATCTCTGGTTGCCGTTGTTGCTGTGATGAATCGATAAAATGAAACACACAGCATGTGTGCCCTTGAACCTCGAAGAAATATTGATATTTTTTGAATTTGCATCAAATTTGGATTGATCACATGGAGTTGTTGTTTTTTTCATTTTTTTTTTCTAAATAAAAGAAACCCTAAATTAAGCCACAAACTGAATAACCTCTAAATAATATTTTATTTGGAAATCCATAACGTTTTAATGATGAACTTTTTTCCTTCGTCTTCGTATCGTTCGTCCATGCGAAAAAAAAACTATGAATTATGAAATATACATTTTGGAGTGCGAAAGCGATGAATGCGGAGGGAGAGAGGGAGAGAGAGAGAGAAGGAAAAAAATGCCAATTAAAATATTTGCTAAAAGGCGATTTTGTAATGTTAAAAATATTAACATTTTTGCTCTGAGCTCAAAATAAATGTGATGTCTCTTTATTTTCCGTCGATACATTTTTTTTCTCCATTGAAATTGGTTTGAAGTTTGACTCGATTTTTTATGAGCTATTCGAATGGATTGTAACAAGGCAGTAAAACTCAAAAAGAAATATGAAACGACGTTGAAAAATGAAAACAAAAATTTTTCGACCAGAGGGTCAAATGGCTATAGCTCATTCATTTTCGGCGAATAGATGCGGTTTTCGCGCGAAATTACTCGCTTGATAATTACATCATTGTAATAAAGTCGGCATTTGGCCGTGAGCAACGTCTTCATCGGGAAAACGGAACAAGACAAGAAGAAAATGGACATTTCGCGCGAGTCATTCCAATGAAGTAATAAAACAGTTTGTTAAATAAGTTCACCAAAAACCATGCCAAAAACCAACTCAATTAAATTGACCAGTGACAGAGTGAGAGTGAATGAGAGATCCGCTTTTGTGGTGTAAAAAATGTTATAAACGGCACCTGATTCATGTTACAAAGCCATTAGGCCATCTATAGGCTTCGGCATTTTCATTATTACATCTTTATTACAATTTTCAATTACACGGCCATTTGTTACATTGATATCCACTCGTCTCTTGTTGTTTGTTTGTTGTTAATGTCAATTCTTGTAATTGCTTGTAGATCATTGAATGTTTTTCATGCACATTTCGTAAATGCATATCATTTTTTTCTCGTCGGCGCTATTGTTATTTGCTTTATGGTTTAATATTTGGTCATTTCTGCTGTTAGATCGTAGGCCAACACAACAAATTGAGTGAGTCATAAACAAATCTGTAATTATACGGCTCTCGTGTGATGGTCACCGTCTTGTTGCATAACTATTTTAATTGTAGACATTTTTTGATGAACTCAAAGTGTCCATTGGAATCAACGGATTCGGTATTTATTTTGAATGTATTTTGTTTACTTTTCAGACCATAATAAACCATAACGCGAGATGTAATCCTCTTCATTGACTAAAATTCGTAGTAAACTCCGTTTAAATACTTTATGGTTGATGCTCAATATTTCATGCCTGATACTTGATGTTTTCTTTTATAATAAATCAAAAACCTCAATGAATTTTTAATCGATCGATCTGAAATGAATAGCTTCGTTTCGCCGCATGGTGGAATTGAATTGAAATTCTAAGTGATTGTAGCTGAAAATAAGTTTCAATTTGAGTTCCAGAAACTTGAAAAGCATCGCTTTTTTGCGTGATTTCGCCCTTGTAAAACATTAATATTCAAGGTATTGATTGATGCAGATTTGCTTTTATTTCTTCCACATTCTTTTTTTCTTTGGATTTTTGCGTAAAAAACACGAGCAAATGGTGAAGGCGTACTTTATCACGTGCCTGCTCTTTGGTCATCGATTAGCATTTTCCTCCACTTCACAACCCTGAAACCATTTTATTTCTTTATCGACGGTTTTTTTTTGTGATTGACATTTCTCAAACGTCGCCGTTTTTTTCCGTTTTCCGTTTGTTTTTTCTGTTGCTTCTTTCCGTTTTTAATGGTCTCATTTTATGGAGTGAAAAGTGAATTTAAGCAAATGAATGTATGTTTCCATGCAAAAATGGTGCATAATCGATCGCAACAAGTATGAAAAAAGAGCCATGAGCCGATTGATAAGTTTTATTAATGTGATCGCTACATAATGATGGAATCAATGATGTAAAATTAAGAGCAACGAATCATCGGTATCGATCGTTACGTCAACGCCAAACGAAAGCCAATTCATTAACGAATTACTCAAGTAATCGTATCATAAATTTTCGAATTTTTCGCTAAGCGCGCAGCGCGTGCGTGTGTATGTATATGCATTTCTGTGTGTGTTTGTATGCGTGTTGAGATTTGCTTTTTGGCGGGCTATCATATTTTCCCACCTCGACCGCCATCGTTGTCGTCGTCATCACAGGCGTCGATGTGTTTGAGAGCTGCAAGAGAGTGATGCTGAGCCAATAGACTCGTACTAGGGGCCGAATGAGGAGAAAATGTGGAGAGCGCACGCGAAAAAAAGCGCAAGAGAGTGAGAGAGTATTATGATCGCTTTGTCCGAAATATGAGCTTTGCCTGTTGTTTCACTTCCTCTGTTTATTTAATAAATGGCAACGCTGAGAGTAAACTCTCACGTGCGACATGCTCATGCTTTTTTAAGCACCAAGTCGTCGGTTGCATGGTGTTGGTCTATCGTAACGAGAAAAAAAAAACAACCAATCGTATGTATACTATACATTGTCTGAGAAAATCAACACAAGCACACATACAGAGCAGAGCGCGTTGAGAGTGCAGTGCAACAGTAAGTCGTCCGCGTTGGTAGTAGGCATAAGCGTGTAACTCACACACAAATGGACTTTTATTAATAAAGCAACGAAAAAAAACGGCACACAAACACCGTCTGCAAGCAGCCAGCCAAAGTGTATGATCGACCGCATATATTTAATAATCGTCGAGGTTTACTCGTTGTTAACACAAATTAACATTACCATTTTAAATTCTGGTGTTGTAGCGTGAACGCGTTTCTCTGACGAAACGTACAATTATCGTTTTTTTCTTTTTTACTCTTCATCAATTTTACCGAACCGAAAATTTTCTATCGATATCTGTTTTTTTCTTCCCATTGTTGTTGCGATACATTTCGAATTTGACAAAAAAAAAACCATCGGAGATATTCGCATGTAGAGATTGTTTGATTTGTATTTATTGCATGTGATTTCATAGTTTGGCTTCTAAAAGATCGGCGACCGTTGAACGTTGAGGATACAATAGAATTTGTGGTGTGTGTTCTAATTAGATAAAAAAAAAATTTATATCTATTTTCCACAGCTGTGGAATAAATGGCATCTTTTTGCGTTTTGAATTCACATTTCAAAGAAGGAAAAAAATAACCCAGTGGCCAGTGTGCATAAAATTTTGTGTGCAAAGAAAAAATAAAAGAAAAAAAAATTATTATTACTTCAAAATAAATGGAATGTCAAATGCTATATGCGAGATGACAAACGGTAGAAAAGAAAAAAAATAGCAAACAAAAAACACAAAATTGAAACAAACGGCTCGTTAAAAGAGCTGCAGAAGAGAAGAGAATCACAACCATTGAATGATATTTCCGATTGCATTTATCTTATGTGTCTATGTGCTCATACACAAGTGTGCATTTTAATGTTAAGCAAAGTGTCGCGCTCGTTTCTCTAGCCACAGAGCCAAAGATGATAAAAGACAAGCACAACGGATAGTTTTTTTTCTTCTTCTTCTCTTCTCTCTTTATATATAGATTTATATTTAATTTTTTTTTTCTGTTTTTGTTTATAAGCAAAAGTGAAAATTTTTCAAGTGCCGCGTACAAAAACCATTTCCATAAATGCATCACGCTCGCTCACTATTTACTCTCTTCGACGAACAACAACAACAGCGAACAAAAAAGCAGCACCGCCAATAAATCCAATAGAAAAAATCCAGCAAGTTGCAACGGAAAATATGTAGAAAATTGCAACAGTGAACGAAACAATGCAAAGAAAGTATAGACATACGTATAAAAAAAAACCGCACAAACCAAAACGATAAGCAAAAACGCAAAGTAATACGGAAATCGTTAATGAACAACTCCTATTTTGAACGATCAAATTGTAAAACCGATTTAATTTTACTACGCCGCGATAGTTTGCCTTCTGTTAATTGTTTCTTTTTTTTCTTCTACAAACGGTAGACGTATGACAGAAATTAATATTCGACAATTTGACGTGCGCGTACATGCGCACAAACTCACTTTTGATTTGTTGTTGGTACTGACATTTTTTTTTCTTGTTTTCTTTTGGAAGAAGAAATTTTTTTCGTCGCCAATACGCGAGCCGAATTGCAAATGAGCAAAAAAAAAATCGGTTCAATGGAAAATATGCATAAGTTATGGATCACGATGGAATCATGAAATCATTCAAATCGGTGAATTTGATGAAAAAAAAAAACGAATTAGAGAATAAGTGTTGCGAAATCGAGCATTCGATTCAAGTTTTTTCTATTGACATCGATCCAATACCAAGTTTTTTTCGTCGTTGGAATTGATCCAAAAAAACGAAATGTCAATATTTAACCGACATCGAGCGCGGTTTATGCAAATATTTAAAAAAAAAACATCTCATCAAATTGGAATGTACCGATGAATTGATATCGATTTTTTTTTCTCTCTCGAAATATTCAAGGGACTTTAATCATATTTATTCAAATTTTCCAGTTTATTTTTGTACCGACCTACAAATTAATTTCCAAATCGCCTCTGTTTCGGAAATTGTATTTTAATTTTTTGAAATCTTCCTTCGACCGTATCATTATAGCCAGTTGATGCAATATTTTCTAATGATTCCTTGAATGAATGTCAAATTCTGGTGTTGTAGAGTGTACATCTCTTTGAACTTTTGATAAGAATGAAATCCAAAGTAAAGAAAAGTCTGAAGAACATCCGGTAAACGTCAAAAAAAGATAAAAAGTCATGTGGTTTGGGGTCTTTGGCGGTAAAGAAAGTGTTGAACGCCATTCAAAGCCACCACAAATTTCGGTCTAAATTCAAACTTTAAAGTAGTCGACAGAAATGTGGTTGAGAAATTTAACCAAGTCAATTTTTGGCTCAATTAAAAGCGAAGAACTGACAATCAACGAAAAAAAAACTTCGTTATGTTTTACGAGCTTTTTCTTTTCATTTTTTTTTTTATTGTTGTTGTTCGAATTCGTTGGTTTTTTTTCACTCTCTTTGTCTTTCGTATGATCGTATGAATCGGCTGGTTATTTGGTTGAACGAGGAGATTGCATAATGTGTTGATATGCGTGTATGTTCAGCACCAAATTCAAATGCACGCAGCATATATGCCAATGAGAAAGTGTTGATAGTGTGAGTTCTTCGCATCGAACACAATTTTGATTTCAGCAATGCTGTTGCCATTCGCCGCGATCTGTTGCTGTGGTGGTGTTGATGACACGCTACAGTCGCCGTGGCCGTATTAACACAAGCAGTCTTGAAAATTTGCCGTATTTCTTGAATAAAACTGTCACTTGATACTATGTGAGTCGATGGTCGATAAAAATAATCGTTGATAGAGAGACTTGTTATGTTTCTTTTTTCTCGGCTTCTTCTCTTCTGGCCTGTTACTACAGCTGCTTTTTATTGGCGTTGCCATTTTGTGTCCATTCACTTGAATTACGACTGAAAAATCGCCGTACATATATTACGGGCCGATTGTAGTGTGAGCGCCAGCTGCTGCTGTTGCTCCGATTGCCGTGGTGTTGGAGCACTTGCATGTGATATGTGTGCTTTTGCAGCGCTCTTTTTTTTACATAATAATAATAATAATAAAATTTTAATTATTGCACGTATGGGTTGTTTTCTGTTGATCACAGTGTGTGCGCGAGCGCTCGTGGATTGTACGCACGCGCACCACGCTCGCCTCCGTTTTCCATAAAACACATATACGCGAAAACACATATACATTTGCGCGAAGACATTAAAATGCGTTCGGAACCATTTTTTTTTGCATGGCATTTAAATGCATGTTCACAGTGCCGAGAGAAAAAAGTGGAACAAATGGAAAGGAGATCAGATCATATCGCTCAAAAGCCAAAAACCCATCAGATTTTCCGCCAATTTTTCACAATAACGAATCAATTGCCCTTTCGCCGCATTTCTTTTTGCTCGACTCGATACGGCATATGAAATTTCATATTCTTATGAAAGAAATGAGTAATTTGTGTCTGCCTACACGGCATATTCCAGCTTTTATTTATCATTTTATGGCTTTTTTGTGCCGTTGAAAATCACTCACAAACTCAACCGGTCCAGCGAATTGCTTCGCTAAAGTGTTGGCTTATACAAACAAATATACCATTTCTTTGATTCCCCATCGAATTTGGTTGAGAAAGCGAGATGCTTCCGTGTTATACTTGAGCCACGTATTCGTTAATTAATTGCATTAGTTGACGAAGGACGCAATCAAAACCGAATTCATTCTCTCATTTGCATCCTTTTACGTAAGTGCAGTGTGCTTGTTATCAAAACTTGACTCCGAGCACAAGGTGAGTGAAGAAATCCATTCATCACTTTCATAAGCCCAGGAAATCGAAGGCCGATTGATGCTCGCGTAAAATACGCACTTCACCGCAACTAGTGAACTAATCTACCGGATTTTGACCGCTTTTGAAATGTCAATTTCGTCCAAAGTTCACAGTTTAATCTATTTTTTTTTCATGAAAAAGGAGTTGAATTTTCTACGAAGTGGGTCACGAGTCGGTCATTGTTTTATCTACAAAAAAAAATGAATAAAACTCATAAATATTTATGCATTCTCAGCTGGAAGATGGTTTCACAAAGGCCTCTATCAAAAATGCATACATTTGTTCGATGAATGTCGCCATAAATTTCAAACCGAAAAATTGATCGACTCTCGCATTAGGCTCAGTTACACATACATTTTTTTTTTGGTTTTCCATTCGTTTAAAATTGCTGGGCGGCACTCTGATCTATGGAAGGAGTTGAAGCCATTCTGTTTACTTTTCATTTATATCCCATTCAACGAGAGCTTGATCTCGCAAAACAAGTTTTAACTTCTCGAAGGTGGAAAACTAAACTTATGCATTATCGCTGCACTCATATCATATGGCTACGGCGTTTTTTTTTCGTCGTTGTTAAAAATAATTATAAAGCAGTCTAAAAGCTTTGACCAGTAAAAACGCTGTCTTGAAACGAAACATTCTTTATGTAGCTCAAAACTTACGTATGTGAAACAAATATCATACAGAGAAAAATTACTTTTTGACGCAAGTCTGGCCATTTTTCTGTGGTACAATTCCTAATTAAGTCAAAACATGGCTTGGAATGGCATAGATTGGAACAATTCACCAAGATAAAAAAAAAGTGCCATACAACATAATCAGCCAGTAAACGTGCTAGACCAGTTCAACTGTCGCGATAAGGTGAATTTAAAAATTATCGCCGGTGTCAATGATTCGGTTCATTGAAGCAGCAGCTGCTAGTACAGACTTGCATTCACACTTTTATTCGGTGCTGATAAAATGGCCAGAGGTCATATGGAATTGTCACAGTGAAAGAACTTGAAATTCAAACACAAATCACCTTATTTACAATCAGATACATTTCCATTGGATTTTGCAGAATTTTGATTCGGTTCGTGCCCGAAATCACGTATAGAAGACGAAATACGAATGTTTCCATTTCTTTCTGGAAGAATTTGAAGTGGTTTTATTTTGTTGAAATTTTGATATTGAGTCTAACACTTCAAGTGCCGAGTTAGAAATATATATATATATTCATTGTTTATTTCATTCACTTGTGCTGTGACTGAACTCCCACTTGTGAATATGCGTTCATCAAATTCTGTCGATTAATAAAGAGGTCATTGAATTGATTTAAGGTTGTTTGACATCACAATATGAATTCTAATTCAGTGTTTACGGGTCAAAATCGATGAAAATAAATTGCGATCATACGCATTGTTTCACAACAGTGAACAAAATCGTCATTTTTTCCATCGATTCGTCAGTGGCACTCAAAAATCGTATTAAACATAACTCGCATAATTTATTCAATGTCAATCGAATTTAAATACGATTTTGTCGTTTGATTCATTTGAATGAGACAAAGAACTAATTGGATATTGGTCCCATTTTATTCCATGACACCGTGTAAAATTAAAATCGATTTTTGGACCAAATGATATGACTTTTCGATTAATTGTGGTTGCAGAAAAAACCACTCATAAACCTTGTGACCGATCTTGTTATCACTATGAAATGCGATCAAAAACTATGAACATTTTGAAAACGAATCCACTTCGATGTAAATTTTCGAAGATCAATATGTTTATTTTTTCGTCACAAAAATTTACACAATATTGACCTGAAATCGTTTTAAATTCGAGTAGCACATACTCGAATAAACACACTTTTCACTGGATACTGTTCGTTTCGACTCTTCTTAACATCAGCGGCGTGCTCATTATCTTCCACGTGATTCATTTAAATAACTTCCAGTGATCCCGTCTGAATTCTGTGTACAGAATAGGCTAGACTCATCATAATAGCCGCTATATTTAGTAGTGCAAATAATGTGTATTCAATCTCATTGCGATTGGTTTGATGCAAATTTGTCTGGGAAGCGCGCCGGTGACAACGGGTTTGTTGTTTCGATGGAATCTTTTGTTGGAGTTTTATGTTTGCACCCCGACAAATCGCACAGATTGTCGTTGTCGTGCGATGGCAGCGATGAAATGTCATTGAGACGTGATACTTTAGCGAGCAGCGTGATAATTTATAAAAATGCGTTTGTACATGGATGGCAAATAACGTAGAAAAGGAACGATCAAGAGAGTAAGAGAGTGAGGAGGAGAGAGATTGCTTGGAGTAAATTGAAACTTGGCAAAATATTAACAGCGCGTCAACGATCTCAAAACGCAAACAGATGCCATTTCTCCACTAAATGAGTCATAAAAATGCGTATGGTGTAATAATGGTTTTTCTTCCCATTTCAGATTTAACCTCTAAGTCTTAGGTGTAGAAATCGAAGCCGTATAAGGATTTAGACCAAAAAAAAACAAAACTAAACTCAACGACCCACAAAAAAAAAGCCTGAAAAATCGCAACGAAATAATCAAACCAACCAGCAACGACAACAACAAAAAAAACACATAGCAAATATGAAGAATTTACTAATAGTAGCAACAAGTGCGCTGTGTGTATTACTAGCAGTTGCAGTTCCGTTGCCCGAACAAGATGTGCAACTCGTACAGATTCCGTTAGAAGGAAATAAGGTAAGCGGTATTTCTTTTTGTGCTAAATCAACGCCGATACTATACATAAGAGTGTGTTGCTTTTTTTTCGGTAAATGACTAGCCGATTTGGTGTGTCGCGTAATCGTCATCGTATTCGGAATTAAAAACGACAGAAAAAAACAAATTTCCTCTTCTGGCATGTGTCGAATTACGGCACCGCCGTCGTCACGTGTTGACAACAAAATCAGTTTTGTTTCATGTAATTTTTACATTGAATGTCGTCGTCGTTGTCGTCTACTATATGAGGCGCATATTTTCCATCGTGGAAACAATTACACGATTCAATTTATTGTGTTTATGTTTTCTGTTGTTGTTGTTGTTACTGTAAGAAGCCGAATCAAATTCCATAGCAACAAATCGTTGTCGAATCAGACCGAATGTACAAACAACAACGTATACGGCGCAAAGGTGTGGACCGAATGGAAGAATGTCATATATGAACATTGTCAGCGTACACAAATTACTTTCACTTGAAATGCTTTCGTTGCGTGTAAGTGAGTTGTTGGAGAGATGCGTGGTGCGCGGCCTAGCGCACAGGTTTAACAGTTGATTGTTACGTGCCAGATAATTTGCGATAAGTTGGTGTAGACTGTAGAGCCAGAGTTACAATCGTCTTAAGTAATACCAAGCAACAACAACATAGATTCAAGCACATACACACACACACTGTGTCTGACGACAGTGACCACAAAAACACATGGTGCGCTACATCGAATCGAAATCACATATCAGACATTGATAAGATAAAGTGATAGAGAGAGAGAGATACTCTTCGTTTGTGTGGTGTGGTTGAATTGTTATCATTACCTTAATGTTTGCTGTACACTTGAGAATCCATCGAGAGATCGTGATTCACTCTCGAATATCGAGTTTTTATGTTTAAGTAATTTTATTCACTAACTGATTTCTACTTGGCCTTTATGTTTCCATCTGATGTGGTGCTGGCCATTTTTCATAGATTTCAACAGAAACGGGCAATCGCGAGTGCGATATCATGTTTTCCTTCGCAATACGGAAGAAAAGTGACGCGTTTTTGTTCACGTGAGCGCACGAATGAAGGTTTTTCGAATGTCCGCCGCTTATGCAATTGAAAGTCTGATTGAAGCACGCGCAAGAGCAATAAACGCATTTGACGAGAAACTGCATTCGACTCGGAAATGCCATTATCACGTCGATCGAGAGAGAGAGAGAGAGAGAGAGAGAGAGAGAACTGAAAGAAATGCCTGTGAACACAGATCATATGATGTAGATCAAGGCCTTGGCTCTCCATGCAAACAATTGACAAAAAAAAAACCACAAATATGGCATCGAAATTGAGAGCACCGAACAAAACAAGATACAACATATGATTTATCGCTCTTGTCAATTTTATGCTGTCAATTATGCGGCAAAACGTCTCAAAAACCCAAACGAAACAAAAATAAACGACGATACAACGTATAGCCATATGCACAGTTGAAAACCGAAATGATCGCAACAAAAGTGAGAGTGAAAAGTTAAATATTTTTTTCAACTTTCCATTTTATTCAAGAGTCAAGGTATTGCGTCAACGAAAATGCAACGGCAAACTTTTGTCTTTTTGTCGATGCTCTCCATATGTGCGGTTGGCCGTTGTTATTGCTGCTGCTGCTGCTATTTTGCTTTTGTTTTTCGTGTGTTTCGAGCCAAAAACATCAGCGGAAACATTGTGCATACAGATCGTTCGGGTTACGTGACTTGAAAGAGAAACACAATACCGAAATACACATAAAATCCGAATGGAACGTACAAAAACCAAATGTCGAGGTTGATTTTTCTTTATCTCTCTCGCGTTTTCAGCCATTTTTTTAAGTAAATTCAAAGTTAAAAAACGGCCCCCCAAATCAATTGGTAAATTGCCTGTCGATCTTTTTTTTCTCTTTTTTTCTTCTTCGCCTGCTGGCGTGTGCGGTTCGGAAATCAATTAAGAATGAAAGTAAAGATGACGTCGATCATTTCAGCCGATTGAAATCATGGTTTATGTTTGATTCATTGAAATGGAAATGAGTTTTGACTGGAAAATTGCGGAACGTTTTATTTTCGATAAAGTATGCCGTTTTAATGCTCAATTTCCTTGAGTTTATAACAAAAAACTAGCGCCGATTTTATTCATCACAATCAGTTTCAATGTGCAATTACCGCAAATATTTGCGTTATAGTTCGGCACGAAAAACACACCCGACAATAATTTTGTGAATTTTTGGGAAGAAAAAGTGCGGTTTCTGCTTCAATTCAAATGACTTATGTGTTAAAGTGCAATTTCGTTGTGAATCACAAGTTGATGACCTTCTTCGTGGCGGTTTTATTCAACACTTCAATCTCTTCAACTCTAATTGCATCTTTAAGATTTCTCGAGGCAACCGCACACATTTTCACTAGTTCAGTTTTCAGGAGTGAATTCATTGTCATAGCCACAAACACACAGAAAGATAGATAGACAGACAATCGTTTAGTATCGAAAACGTTTAATTATGTGTTTAATCACTGTTGCTCGTCTCTGAAGAGAGTACGTCGACACGGCGCCACGAAGGTTGCCACAAACGATCGAAGAGATCAATGAATCATGCGACTGGATTAGAATTTATCATACGGCACACGGTGATTGTAAAACGACTTAATAACACGTTATCACACATCGTGATTTGTTGTTTTTTTTGGCTATCCTTGATTTTTGGAACACATTATGAGATATATTTTCCGCTCTTTATCATATGACAATTTTCGTTTGTTGTCACTTTTCAAGGCGACATTTTCTGTCTATAAAATCATTAACTCGTTCGTTTAAACAAAAACCAAGATAAAAAGAATTATTGACCGCACAGAGCATTAAAAGTTGTAAACTTTGTTTTGACAAGGAAAAATGCGCGTGTGACGCAACCGGCGTGTGGAAAAACGAACAATTTTTCTCATTTTCAAAAAATGAAAACCTTCAGCTTGCCCAAGAGGAAGTTATCAGTGTAAATTGTCATTAAATCATGTCTCACTTGAAAAATACCAAATTGCTATCGCTTCGCATCAACTTCCGAACGCTCAATTCACTTCATGCAAAAATGACAGTTCGATTTCAAACAAGCAGGCAATCGTGGAAAAAAAATGTCGTCAAGATATCATCAATTTGCACTCACTTGAATTAAACCTAAATCTTTTAATCACAATTAACAGACTGTGCGATATTGCTGCTGCTGCTGCTGCTGCTGTTTTTTTTTTCAAACGAGAGACAAAATCGTTAAAATGTCACTTCAAGCCACTTAAATTGAAGGCGACACAGATTCGTCTTAGTAATTTCCAATAGTTAATTTTTTATAAGAAGAAAAAAGTTGACAGAGGAAAAAAAACGCGGCGTTGCATATTTCAAAATGAAAATGACTGCATTTTTAAAGAGCTGGATAAAGTGGAATCGAGAGATTATATTTGCAATATGATCAAAAACGTGTATGTACATTTATTGCATGCGTGTAATCATATTCAGCGAATGGTCAAGTGAGCTTGCCCCAAGGACAAGCTTACCCACTTTAGATAGTTGTTACATTGAGTTCTCGCTGTAAGATTGGAACTCTGCTATACAAACAGAGACTGAGATAGAGAGAAAAAAAGGTGACATTTTGGGGTGGGAATGACCGTAAAAAAGGTTCATTTGAATAATGCCACGAAACAACCATTTCTCTCTACGCAGCAAATGCTGACACTCCTTAAACCCCCAAAGCGTACAATTAAAGTGATTTTAAGTGATTAGTTAATTGATTTAGGTTACGAATTTCAGAAATGTCAACTTCAAACCAAGTTTTTCTATTTGCTCTGTCACCAGACACACACGCCGATACATCGAACAAAATCCAAATAATTTTTTTTTATTGAATTCAAAGAAATGCACATCACCAGCGAATATTGGTGTGTCTGTCATAATACATTGGAATTCGAAATCGGATGAACTTTGATTTTGTACGATACTCACGTAAATTGCAAACGAATTCACGTTCAGCCAATCGATAAAAAGTAATTGACCCATTTAACGACCGATTGTAATCACTATTCAAATACTACTTGACATCGCAACACATGAAGACGCAAATTCATACAGCGGCAACGATGGCGAATATCGATCACGATTACACCGCTGAAATTAACAAAAGAAAAACAACACATCGTGCATACAAATACAGACAAAGAAAACCATTTTACATTTTATTAACATTGTTTTCTTGTGTTTTTTTCGTTTATTTTGTAGGAATTAGATATTTTATCACTGCCCGAAAACAGTCAAGGTGAACTTACAGAACGAAACAAGCGAACGATCGGAGTGCTACGTCAACTATTTCCCGAACTATCAAAGGTATGTAACGATCTCTCCTTGGCAGCCGTTTTAAAATTCAGAAAAGCAGAGACATAACACGCATTCTAAATCCCCTCAGAAAAAAAAACAATACAAAATCAACGACAGTATTTAAGGCATTTTTATGATTTATACACTCATTCTATCGTGTACAAGATACTACTAGACTCCATAGAACATTTGTCTGAACGATACGAAACCCAACGCAAGTTATCGCGATGAATTTGAAAGAAAAAAAACACACGAAGACCCACAATGACATAAATCTGTCACCAGAAGTGCTTTTACTGATCTCAATGCAATTATGCAACAAAACACTTTGCACAAATTGAGAGTTACGGCAATCATTTTTGTGATGTGTTAACAAGATTTTGTACTCAACACTCATGATAGACAGTCAAGATTTAAAATTGATTTAGTGCTCATCGCGTAATGTTTCGACTGATCAGAATCAGAGCGATTTTGTAAGCACTAGACGATTTCAGTTTGTTAGAAAACGACTTATAGAAACATGAAGTTGCAAAATGTTCGCATCGTCTCACCCGTCGGTTCATGCACACACAAAACTAACACCGAGTACAGAGAGAGTGAGAACGAAAAGCACGGTTCTCGGTACACACACTGACTCAGCACGAATGGCATGTGATTGTGTTGCGTACATCACGTATTTACCATTAATACACAGTGTACAGTAGTATAACGTCTTCTCTTTCTTCGCTTGCGCTCGCACAATTCCGTTTATCATTATGAGAATCTATGCTTTGATTTTCATCAAAACAAAACCGAGAGAGAAAAAAAATCAAATACGGTAGCGGTTGAATGAAAATTCAATTGTCGAATTATGATAATTTGCTTTGCAGTGCCCTCCGACGGTAATTGATGAAAAAAAGCATTAATTGCACACGATTGTTATCCATACTAATTTTAACATTATTACGCCTGAATTCAACTACACTTGAATCCTTGTCAAACAATTAAATTTTAATTAACGATACCGTCTTCAGAGTAAACTAAAATGCAATTCGACGCCCCATACACCCATAGTAATAAAACGAGCAAGTTTTGAAATTCGAAAATGATGATTGTTGCAAAGTTACGTAGCAATTTTGAATGCTCGTTTTTAGTCGCTTGAATGGTTTGAATAAAGTTGTCTGTATGTGTTTGTGTGTGTGTGTTGTGACCAGCAGTAGCCCGAGTAAATCATCGAATTCAAAGGTCAACCAATTACAAATGATCCTCAATTGTGTGCGGCGTGCGCACAACTGAACATTGGATCGCGCAAGTGCACGTTGAAATCAGATCATACAAATGAGTAAATTGTATTCATTGTCAGTTGCAGTTCATTTGTTTGTGTTTCGGTGGAACCCCTCGATTTGAATGGGCAACAACCACGACAATCTGACCGAATACACACGCCATTCAACCTTCCAAAGCAGCCGCCGTTTTTTTTCTTCTTTGTTTGTTTATATATAGGATTTGGTTGTTTTTCAGTTGGTCGTCAATTTTTCAGTAAACAATAATTATGATTACGTTTCTGTGATGTATGAAACAAGTGCGGCGTGTGTAAAAATCGTACACGATATTGGCACATTGAACAAAAGAACAACTTGTACAGTGTACACCTGGCCTATGTTATTAGGCAAGTGAATATGAGAGAACGGTGCCGAATGCGTGCGCACACAAACCATATGCCAAATATGTACTATTTAGACTTCGGCACCAGCACCAGCTCAGGCGCTGGTAATTATATTGTGGATAAAAATGTGTTCACCGTTGAAAGCTTGTATAATGTGATTAATTACGAATAATTTGCAGTCGAATGCAAACAAATACAAAACAAACACCATCCAAGCGAAGAGCCATCGACGAATTTCGTTTGAATAACAAATACGTTGCCATCAATTTCAATCGGCAAATGCGTCAATTGAGCTAGTCTGCGATGGGAAAAATTACACGAACCAATTATTTAATGCGAAAATGAAGGAGAATAAGAAAGAAACTGCATTCACAATGCAACGGCATCGTCTCATCTTCATTATGACGTGAAAGAGATAATGCATGATTTAATTCGCGTTTCAACAAAAGCTGTCTGATCTGGAAAATTGAAATGAACGGTACTGTTTCTCTTTCGCTTTCATTTTCATTCTTCAACTGTTGTAATACGTTGATTGTGTAAGCGGTCCCGTTTATAATTTCGATTATCTTCAATTAATGTTAAATGCCAAAGCACGCAGTTCTCTCTTGCGCGCGTATGTGCAAAGCAATCGCTTGTATTTATGTGTGAATCATTTTCCAACTCGTTTTTCACAAATGTTTGTTCCATTAACGCGAAATTTATGATCACCTCATCAACGAACTGGTATCCGTACTGTTATAATGACAATTTCGCGTAAAACACACACACACACACACATAAAATTGCGGAAAATAAACAACAACCGACATTAACGTCAAAACGTGCGCATTTGATCGCATCTGTATGACTGGCTGTAATTTTTTGACCCGTCTCAATTACTCAATATTCCGTGCTGTTGATGATGCAGTTCACGGGCTAGTACACATTGTTCAAGCCATTTTTATCATCGTCATAATGAATGCGGTGAGACATTCGGAACTTTTATTGCGAGTCGTTATCAGATGTGGATCCGTGTTGACCCTTCTCCGAAACCGACCTTTAATTATTCTCAAGTCTTACCTAATCGTCGCGGAAATCAAACGGTGAACTGTGACAAATTTTCCCCGATGCCACGTACGCAAACAACAGAATAATAAATGTTGTTTATTTTAAAATGAACAAATAACGAATGATGATGAACGAAGATTGAGGGTATTTTCAGAGTTCCAATGACAATTCTAATGACTGTTGACACAACACGCTAAAACATTTCTACGTCTGTTTGTCAAACACATGCCGCAAATATTCAATAAATGTGTGTTACTATTTCAAGTGACATCCAACCGAAAACTGTAGTTGAATGGAATTTCGTGCGCGAAGTTCAAATATTTCACACATTTAATATGTGCTACTAGTTTCTATTGGTGCGAATTACCGAAGAAATATACCGTAGATTACCAGGTCAAATAAGACACTTTCCATTTTGTTGAAATCCATTTGAGATTTGCATATGAAAATCGCAGAGTATTTTTTGAAAAATTCTGTTTAGTTTTAAAATAGTACCTTTTCTGTAAAATTTTTCAAGCTTGTGACAATTAATCTGTGAGTTAATGTTACGATGAATGCGAAAAACGGAACAACACAAAAATCGACATAATTTTGATAAGCCAATGGAATATGGCTGGTTCACTCGTTAAAATTTTGAATTCGAATTGAATTCCAAAAGCTCAATTACCTTGATAAAATGAAACACGAAACGTGGCACCTGTGTTGATGATGATCAATACATACACATCTCTGGGATCAAATACGAGAAAAAGAACCATGACCTGCGAATGCAAATGTGATGATGATACCCACGAATTTGCCGTTGAATACATAAAAAAGTGCACACGAACGCAAAAAAAAAACAAAAATAAACATGAGAGATTGAGTTAAAAATCCTACACGAAACGGCATCAATGAAACCATCCAAAAATAGCAACGGAATCGTCTTACATTGGGCTGATTATGATGTTTCGAAAGGAAAAACGAGCAGATTTTTTTTCATGCATAATTGACTTAATAAATTTGAACCGATTGTACTTTACGAGCAAGTGATTTTTGCTTGAATGAGTCAATTGATTGAAAAAGTGTTAGAACTTTTTTGTTTGTGTGTTTGGGTAAAAGTCAATTTGCCATTTCAATTATATGCTGCTCATGTCGATTATATCATTTGAAGTGAAGCAAACACTGATTAAGTTACCTTCAACGGCGTTTATTAGCACATTCAGTGGAACGTCACATTTTGTGTGATGGTGGACGTGCCAAATTCACCACCTAAAGCAATGCGAATGGTATCACCGAACGGCACCGAGTGTGCGTAAATGGCTCCAATTTGGTGCAAGCATTTTCATGCCTCTATCGAATATCGTCAAAGCAGCGAAGAAAACAAAAAGCAACACATAGTGCGGAGCATCTAAAAGCGGCTTATATGTAATATTACGTGGGCATCGGCACGGAGTGTGTGTCTCGCATATAATGTAATGTGCTCCGCTATACTTCGCAACTGGATTCACATAACTTTTATCGACAAATTTGCTAAACCGGCTTTTACTTTCAATTTCATTTACAACTGGCCAAAGCCAACGAAACAAAAACAAAACACAGTTGTTTCGACCGACCGACAACCGCATATTCGTAGAGAGAAAAAACAGAAACAGACAGAGAACAACGGAAAAAAAAATTGTAAACAAAAGCGAACGAAAGAAAGGGAGAGCAAAAATCGATGTGATTGAAATCGAAACTAGGAAAAAAAATACGAAAAAAATAGCAGTACAGCAAAACAAGCATAGATATTGACGATGGTAGCTATTGCGTGAGAAAAAGCATATAAGTGGTGAGACTTCGACACATCGACATCGCCGTCGATGTACTTGTAAATATATGTATATATTGTGTAAAGAGGAAGAAATGCAAAGGAAAAATCAGGGTCAAAACCAAGCTTTTATTTTTATTTTCGTCTTTCCTTTGAAAAATCTGATTTGTATTAATGATGATGATGATGATGATGATGATGATGATGATAATTTCACGCATTTTATGCGTTCAGGATCAATCGGCGTGTTTCAACATATATGTGAACATGATTCATATATGAATATGAAACTGCAATAAGGAAAACATGTATAATCCCCTCAGATGTCAATGTGTTTCACTTGGATTTACTTGCACACAAAATATGACGAATTTCCACTGATTTTACACAAAAGAGACGAAAACAACAGAAAACATTCATTTCCCAATAGTATGACCGAAATAAAAGACACATTTACAGACACAGATTGATTGAATCGAATGGCGTTTTGTTTATTCGCTGACAAATCTGTGGCTCAATTTCAACTCTTTCTTTTTTCACTATAAAACAACGTACAAATATAGAGAGAGAAAAAAGCGCAAAACAATCGATTAGGTAATCCAATATTAATTTGCGATATTATTACAGAAAATAGACTAATAGCGACTTAATATGGTTAACGAATATGATGAATAAAAGAAAGAAATTCATTATGAAATTGATTTTTGCATACAGTTTCTTTTTTTGTGTTGTATTATTATGGATATTTAATGCGCACACGCGCATCGTGAGAGATCTGTTCGGCGCGTAGTCTAAATGCAGGCGTTTCCTTTACTTCTCTCACATACACACACACACTCTCTCTCTCCCCCACTTTGAACGGCAACGATAAACGGACTTACGAGACACTTTTCATTGTCATTTCGTTCTGAGCTCGCTCATCATCCGATCAGATCACAAAACACACATCCTCAGTCGACTGTCGACTGCATCAAAACAATCACACTCCACTCGCAAAGAGTATTTAAACAAAAAATAATGAAATTTTCAATATTTTATAGAAAACAGAACAAGTTATTGAGGAAACGGTTCAATTAATTCTGCCGATAATATTGCGGAATGTCGGACCACTTTTGTTGCGTGGTGGTTTGGGCGGATTAAGTGGTGGTGGCGGTGCAGCCACAAACAATGACGACGATGATGATGATTTTGATGAAGATGAAACCGAAGTAGCAAACAGGAGTGGCGGTGCAACGAGCACACGCCAAGGATCAGGCGGTCGAAAAGTATCAATTTCATTGCCAACATTCCCACCAGATACAGAAGATGAAGAAGAAGAAGAAGAAGAAAATAACGCCAATGATGAATCTAACACAATCAAGACGAATGAGGAAGTGAGCACGAGTGTTTCAAGTAGCAGCAGCAGCAGCAGCAGCAGCACGAGTACGAGTACGGAAACCGCATCACAAGTAAGTAGTCAAAAACCAAATGAGACCGAAAACCCAATTCAAACGGTTACCAAACCAACAGTAACAACAACAACAACAACAACAAAAACAACCACCACCGTCATCGAGACAATAACGTTCGAGCTAGATACAACGCAGCCTCCTCCATTCTCATCAACAGCACCACCTTTATTAAGACCATCGATCGAAACAACCACACCACTCATTAATGATATTGAAACAACAACAACAACGATTCCTTCGTCATCTGTTCCATCGCTCCATAGCGATCAAGATCAAGCGACTGAAAATTTGTCCGACAGAAGCGGAGGAAGTAGTGAAAGCGTTGCAACAACAATTCATACGCCAAAAATTAATGACGGTCCGTTAACGTTCCCCGAATCAAGCACAGACAGCGATAATTCGGTTGAAACAACAACAGGACCCGATGACTTTAGCGGGCGAATCGACATTCGAAGCCCCGACTTAGAGTCAGACACCGCACAGACTGATTCTGCGAATGTTGAAACAACCACAACGACAACAATTTCGCCCGCAAACACTTCCGCTGACTCGAGCAATGAAAATATTGCGAGTACCAGCACACCAAATGAAGCAACGACTTTCCTTCCAATTTCGCAAAATTTGGTACGTCGACGCAAATCAGTTGTAATCAAACGCCGGCACATACATAATGAATGAAAAAAAAAACAATCAAACCACATAAACACACACACACACCTATTTTGCATCGCATTTCGTTAGCTGTATCATTCGAACAGCGTGTTGTTTTACACACATCGAGAATCATTTTGTTTTTATGTTTACAACTATTCCTGCTCCTATTTGAATTCTATTCTTTGCAAACAGTTTCAATGTAGTTAGTTTAACCGTTTTCTATTTCGTTTAGATTATTACTATATACTTTATGCCGTAGAAAACAGAGGAAAAAAAACAACAACAACCAAATCAATTTGCAAAACATTCATATTCCATAATTCGTAATCTGTTGGTCGCTCTCTTTTCGCTCTAGCTGTCTCTTTCTCTCTTCTTTTCGCCTCTTTAATGCAAAATCGCATATTTCGAAACCGCTTTTTTCGCTCGCCGTATCGCAAAATGCAAGTAAAACTCAGCCAAAGTCATCATCTCATCATCACACAAACAAAAAAAAACAGTATGAACTGCAGATTTATTTTTGGTATTTGTTTGGGAAAAAAAATACAAATTTTTTTCTATGTTGCAGTGCAGTTTTTTTCTTAACGTCATTTCCTATATTTTCGGCTTTTCCTATATCTAATTTAGCTAAAAAAAATTAATTTCTGTTCTGAATAATTGGACGTAATACAAATCAAAATCAAATCAAGTAGTTTAAAATAAAGCATATAAATCACATCAATGCAATCAGAACAATATCAAACCATATGTTATTTTGGTCTGTATGGGTCTTGGGGGTTGCGACTACTATATATTTGCTCAGCATCATGTAACCAGCTCCATTGTCAAACATTGCGTTGGTCGTACACACTATAATTGAATTTCTTTTTTTTTCTATTAACTTAGATAACGTTATCATGTGCCTAGAAATCGTCTCTTTGTCTGCCGAAACGTTTTTTTTTTCTTGTTTCGAATTTCTGCTGTCGTAGCTTTTGCATTCATTAAAACAATTTCGTAATTTTCTTAAATTTGTGTTTCTGTAGACGTAGTTAAAAGGTGGGAAATCGTTTGCCAGATTTGGTGACGTATTGCCACACATAAACACATATATACACACACACGCATATATATCGATGAACCCAATTCATGATCAGTGTTTTAGCAAAATCAATTCATTCGTAGAAACACTTTCTATGACACATTTTGACTTTCGTACAAGTTGTGAGAGTAACAAACAAAACTAAATAAAATCTTGAAACTTTTTTCTCTCTCTTTAATGTTTTGTAGTCAATTCTTGACGCTTGAGTATCAACATGAAAGCCTTTAAATGCTCGATTAACGATATTCGTCAAGATTCTGTTTACCACCATCTGTGAATCAAACTCTTTGTTACCTGTGTTGTTAAAATCATTTAATATTTTTGTTGATTTTTTTTTTCGTAGCCTATCCTTTTCGTAGATTTTGAGAATAAAACCAACCATTTCTATCCTATTCAAAAAAAAAAAATGATCTAATAATTTATTTTCTCTATTCACCATTCAAACGAAAAAAAACAATTGTGTCTACTCATTGAACACCACACATTCAACACCGATCGCTTTTCCTATATCAAAACATCATCATTTCTCTCTGATCATCCAAAAAAAAAAATCAAAACAAAAATCGTTTGCACGAAAACATCCATTTGCAAAACCAAACAAATCAATCAAACACCATGATTAACAATGCACCAACGTGTGATCAGATGACAAACCAAGATGGAAATGGTGACGTCGATTTAGTCGCATTATCTGAACGATTGGAGTCATTCAATCGCGTCGTTCGAAATACAGCGGCACAGGCAAAAGAACAACCAGCCGCAGAAAGCAAGTCCGATAAAGTTGATGCAACCGATGCAAACACGATTGCAACAGCCGCCAACAAAGAAGATAACACCGTAGCCGGATCCGATAACACTGATTCCAAAGCGCCGGGCATCGATGAACTCACACTCGACGATGAACCAGCTAACGATGAAGATCGCAACAAACGGTAAAACGAAATGAAAGCTTAAACAGCTACCACTTTTTTATGATCTGAAAGAGAACGAAATCTTTTTATTCAAGAACAAAGTTTAATTTTTACACTTATTATAATTACTAAAGCCTTTTAGCAATAATCGAAAGAAATTTTGTTTAGAACGAGACATTTTCTGACATTTCTATGACTTTTCATTCCATAAACACAGATTCTTGAGCTTTGGATTCGGTGGATCTGGTTCAAATGGTTCCGGTGGTTCTGGCAACTTCCTCTTCGATATCATCCGTGTAAGTATCACCCGACATGTATCCATTTGATTGCTTCTAGACTGTATGGTTTAGATAAATTTTGGTTTGTCACTGTGTATTTTCAATGCGAATTCTCGCAAAAACACCGCGTATACCGTTTACACCACTAAATATTTAGTTATTCTGTTGCATATTCAAATGTTTTTATATTTGCCCAACAACAACAAAAACACAACCAATTTTTCTTTTCACCATCTTGCATTCAGACGTTACAAGAGATCACTTTACTACTTTTGTTTTTGTTTACTATATTATTTGTTTCACATAAAACACTAAATTAGACATGCAACCAAAAGAGCCAAAACACACCACGCATATTTTACTTGTTTTTAAGTCAATTTACCGTTTAGTAGCTTACTAAAACCACTTTGGAGATATTGTTGTTGTTATTTTTTTTTTAAATTCGTTTTAAGTTGAACAATGGATTAACATGCAATCGACTATCATTGCAATTCACAATTTTGGAGTTTTGAGAATAACACAACCAGCAAAAAGAAAAAAAAACACAAACACAAATTTCAATATGAATACCAATACAAAATGCAAGACGCCAAATTCGGTCCATTGTGGGACAATCTCTCTCTCTCTCTTTCTCTTTTCCGCTTATAACACGATTTACCTTTCTACTAAACGATTTCAATCCATTTGTTACGACCAAAAAAATGGAGCGTTTTTTTACGTAATCTCTGATTATTATTAATCAATAAAAAAAAATGGAAAACTAGATGATTTTTTGAAGCTTGCCTCTTCAACTTCTCTCTCTCTCTCTCTCTATCTCTCTGTCTATCAATTTCCCTCGTGAAATTATGTTGAATGTCGTTTCGACAATATAAAAACACCCCAAACAAAATGCCTCTATTGTTATTGATTGAATGATATCAAAACAAACAGCGTACAGCTGATCGAGCTGCTAGAGCAGCAGGAACAATATATCGTGTAGCAGCCGGCACCGAATCGTTTGACCTAGATATCAACAAACAGGCGACAAGTTCAACAGATGATGACACGGACTTTGACCACAACAATGACGACAACGACTCCACGTCGCGCAAATTAAGCGCCGGAAATGATAACGGGGTAATGCAATTCCCCCTCATTCTAATTTTCAATTTTTGTTTTAGTTGTTTTTCATTATGTTTTTTTTTTGTTTTGTTTTTGTTTTGAGTTTGCATTAGTTTAAAACATTTTTTCGTTGTGTGACTACATGTTTTATTCCTATTAAATATTGTAGTTTTCCATTTGCTCATAAATTTTTTTCTAAATTCAAATTAACCATGTTTCAAATTTTTTCCGTTGTACATCCTTTTATGTGTATTAATTTATTTCTTTTTTTTCCGTTCATTGGCCAGCGTGTTCTTCCCCCATTATTTGTTCTCTAGCATCCTTTACTGACCTTTTTTTTTCTTCTATTTACTATTTCTCGCTCTCTTCTTCTCCCGATCACTTCAGTACATAAATATCAAAAATATTCTTTTCTGTACATTTTTCTCTTGTCAAGTCTCGTGATTATACTCTTTCATATCGCCTGTATTGATTCCAACGGCTTGCTGTTCCAAACCAATAGAAATTGTTCGTATTTACCATTTTAAACCAAAAAAAAAAACAAACAAACAAACCCAATTAATCTCCATTATCAATTTAGACAAATAAGTGGATTGAAATTTACCTTAATTTTCTTCCTATTCTGTTTTGCCTTTTTATTCGCCTGCATGCACACTGCACACACAAATTGTTCACTCTTAATTTAATTTGATCACTATTATTAACCAACAAGTAATTTTTAAGTACACAGCATGTGATTAACCATATATAGTTTTGGGCCGTGGAATTTGGTGTATTAGCTTAAGTCCTACGGTTGTAGTAAGTAAGTTTGAGAACTTCGGCTTTCAAAGTGGATCACCCTATATCACAAATACGGTTAATTTTTCTCTATCAATTATTATTTCGTTTTTTATTTTATTTGTTTCATTGAAACTTTCTTGTATATTTTGAATTTGCACTGTACAAAAGGAAAAAAGTACACCAATTTTATCGCATTCTTCATTATTCCCGAAAACAGTTAGTAGGCGGTTCAGCTGGTACGGAACAAACTGATGAAAGAGAAAATGCACCGGAAGGTGAAGCCACTGTTGCCAAGAGCGCCGATGGATACACAGAAGGTATCCCAGGCCCAGTCACACGTCTCTTTGTATTGGCCAATCGAGGACTTGCCAATCTCATTCAAGATTTGATTCTGGTGAGTTTCATCCTTGAAATGATTTCAATGCAATCATCTGTCATCCACCATGTCATTTATATCGAATTAAGTTGAGATCATTTTTGATACTATTTCAAACTTAAGATAAAGACTGATACTATACACAGTTAAATTTGGGTCATTCATTCAAATCCATTCATTGAAATCAGCACACTTTCTAATGGGACACAAATTAATAAAGTTTTTTTCTTTGTTTTTCCCCTTTTTAGCGAATCGCTCAAACAAGTGAACGAGTTGTGAACTTCAAGGCTCGACTAATAACATCATTGATCTAAGCAAACTGCCAAATAAACAATGACGCCGTAACACCGACATACACGACGAATTTATTTTCATGGATCACCATAACGAAATTCAACCAATGAGAACAGAATCTAGAGAAGAAAAAAAAAACAAAAAACAGAACAAAAGAAAACTTACGAACGCCACACGCAAAAATTCGTTCCAAATGATCAAATGCGCATGAACATCACAAGATCATACTTTTCTATGGAACGAACAAAAGAACTATCCACGCGAAGATTTTTTGTTAAGACATTTCATAATTTATTGAATATTTAAAGAAAAAAATTGCAAAAAAAAACGAGGAAAAAATTTTCAGCTGTTCTATCGAATCGAACACGTTTTGGTTTCGCTTGCTATCTCGAAATTCTTCAATTTAATTTATTTCAACTGTCATGCTTTTCTGCTCTCTTCACTTCGAATTGCTTTTTTATTACTATCAAACATGCAACAAATGCGATCACCATGCGGAAAATCAATCTGAATAATCAACAATTTGGCGAACAAATTGATGCAAAATTCAATCCAAGACAATCAAAATTCCCGTTAGGTGGTCGCATTTTATTTTGGCTATCAACAACAAAAGCAAAACGCTGGAATATTTTTTCCACTCAAAATGTTCATAAACCCCCTTCTTTGTGACTAACGACGCTATCTTCTTTCTTCACACGTATCTATATCTATCGCAGAATTTCCACTATTTTCTACTAATTTGAAGTAAAATTTGAAGGCAGACACAATTTTAGATTCGAATTTGGATATTATCGAAAACCACAATAGTAAAAAAGAAGAAGTAATTTGTGTGTTCTTTCTTTAACATTAGCTCTAAATAAATGCCTATCATTTGACTGTGTTTTGTAAGTTTGTTTATGTGATTAGAGACATATGGATTGAAAAGTTTAATATATTTTATTAGTTGGAACAGAATTGTTTTTGAAATGACCGTAATTTTTTTTTTAGATAGTTAAATGTGGTTTGGGTAGCGAAAATATTTCATTAAAAAAAGAAAAGAATTACCTCGGATTTGCTTCGAGAATGCCGAGGCAGAAACACTTCGTCAAATTCGATTTGATGCGATGATTTGCCGGCGACTCGAAGCGCATTTTTCTACATTTCAATTATAAACACAGAACACATATCTTTGTCTAATCACTATTACGAGCGTCCAATTAGGTATCGTCATTTCGGTTGGCTGATAAAACAGAAATATCATGAAAGCGGTGAAACAAACAAACGTTCATTTATGCCATCAAAATCGCGAATTTGCAAGGCGAGAATCCGAATAGAAGCAAGGCAATGTAAATTGTGTATCGATATAGAAACTTATATTGTTTAAGTTTTTTATTTGCTGTATAGAGATAAATTGGAATAACGATGCGAAATTGTTTACCATTATTTTTTAAAAAACTTTTATTTAGCGACAAAAACCACCGAATGCTAAAGATTGCCGATTAGAATTCGGTTTGTAATAGATTTGATTCGAAAGAAATTCGCCCAACACTATCATTATTCAGAGGAACCAGAAAAAAATTAAATTTAAATCAAATTAACTTTAATATTGGATTATTTACAACAAGCAAAAAAAAAATTGTTCTTGGAAAAACAACAACCACATACAAAAGTAAATTGTCAAAAGTAGTTGAACTTCATCTCAAGTCGGGATAAAATATACGTTTGAATGGTGTTGACATATACAAGTGCGATGAAATTTATCCCGAAAGTGGATGTCAGCACCTATAAATGTATGGTTTATCCTGACTTGCGATAAAGTTTAACTACTTGCTTTTGTGTGTGCAACAAAAAAAAAGCATGAGAAGGAATCTGTTAGGACTGTAAAGTTGCTGCGCAAATGAAAATAAAAAAAAAACAGAAGAGAATTAGGACATTCGATCATCCAATCTTATATAATTTAATTTCGAATTATGATCTTTTTGTAAATACAAAGTCTTTTCTATTTCTTCTTTCTATTGTAATTAGAGAATTATGTAAAACATCGAACAAAAAATAAAATGAAAGGAATCAATAAAAAAATATAAAGAAACGGCATTTATTTATTTCTATTTTCTTTGTCTATCCATTCGCAGTCAAAAGTGAGTACACAATTGCTGATATCTATAAATTAGGCGCGATTGTAATCGTACATGATCTTTTTCGGGATCATTCGTGACATTTGAAATACAACAGACGGCTATTGAAGTCAAATACTGTTAACTATTTTGTTAGCTAGCCGAAAGCCACCAGTAAATAGCTAGCCAAAAGGTCCAAAATTGATCGACTCAGGTAAAATATTGACTGGGGTTGGCATTATTTTTGTTTCGTCACTAACAATTTTATCAATGATTATTCTATGTGACCATTCGAGTTGACTCTTTGATGGATTTTTTCGGTAATATTTGGAAAAATTTGGGAAATTTCACAATTTAACATAACTTTTGCTATAAAAAGATCGATTCCCAAAGATGTATTTTGGATATGTAGATATTTTTGGGTATTACCGAACCAATTTTGTACTTTAAACCAATTTGACAAAATTCATTAAAATCGAGGGCATTCATTCAATCAACTACAACGAAAAAGGTTGACGAAATGTGTTGAAACCAATAAAAAATCAAAAACTGGTTCTTAATCAGGTGAGTCATTCTAGTGCATTCATTCTTTTCAATCAAATTGTGATATCAAAGTTTAACAGCATTTTTTCAGCTCAGTTCATTGGAATGGGACATTTGAGGGGGTTTTAAACCAAATCAAAGCCGAACCGTATGAGTGCAGCTAAATGCATTCAATTTTTTACTGTATTTCCTATATTGATAAGGTCTATTGTCGTTTGCTGCTTTTCGGCGATCGTTTCAACGATTTTTATTTTTAGTTACATTTTTATTTATCTTTCTGGAAATAAATCGTAATGAAATTTTTACTTTTACGAAGAAATTCCAATGTTTTTTTCATCTGGCAGAAATTCATTCTGGTTTATTTGTAAAATGTGCTCTGCATTGACTCAAAACATTCTGAAACATGATCACTTCCAAAAAAAAACACTGCAACAGAAAATTCCAGCCCGTTTCCAGTGTATTTCCAAATTGTGTTGTTTTTGACACGATTCTCATCGTTTGCTTTGCTATCCATGCATTGAAATTAGTTGGTCGTCAACATTTGATCGATGAAGTAGTGTGATCGGGTATCGCAGAATTGTGTGTGCAAAGTAAACGCCAAGAATAACTCGTTTGCATTTTGACTGAGGTAAATTGGATTTACATTTGGATATAAATTTGAGTTGAACGGTTTGCTGTAGTTCCGAGAAAATATTAATTACATTCCAAATATTGAATTTTTACCTGTTTCTTAAGTGCTGTTTGCCAAAATAGACCAATAGCGGAAAAGAATAGTGACTAGAGAATAGTGTAGTGCTATGAGTTGTTAATTTGATTATGGAATGTGTTGAAAAATTGCTTAAGCAAATATCTCCATTGACGGCTAGGTTGATGTGAAACAAGTTGCATTGCTGAAGTTGCAGCAAAAGAACTGGCTCAAATCGAATTATGCCAATTAGAGAAAGAGTTGCATTTGGGTTTCCGTAAATACGCGTTCAATTTGGAAGCGAGTGAGCTCGAAACGCATTCAAAACTGAGTGAACACCACCACCATACCACCGACACTAAAAACTTTGCGTAATAAAATTTAGGTCATACACATAATGAAATGTGTACGAGTCCGAGTCCAAGTCCATACACATTGTGTACCGCGAGAGGTACCGAGAGAGCATGATATTTTGCAAACGGCCATTTTAACTGAAAGTGTGTTGTGTGTCTGTGAGGTGCCTCACATCGAACAGAACACATAAGACGGAAGAAAAAAAAAAAGCGAAAGACTGACCAAAAACTACGGCACCAACAATGCTTCAGTAATGAAAAAGAATGAGCGTGCTGTTTATATTTAGCATGTTGTGTTTTTTGTTGCTTTTCTTTTTTGAACTCCTTTTGTGCCCGCCATTCCATTAAGAAAAGCTTGTGCTTGTTGTAGGCTCATTCACATTGAATAAATTTGCGCTCATCGATCGAACGTACGACGGAAGACGGAATCTCTCCATACCGTTCTTTTCCATTTCTTCGTCTTGGTTATGTATTGAAAATGATAATGCGACCACCACCACCGTTTGAATGATAATAATTTATTTAGCTGTTAATACTCTTACCAACAAGATCACAATCATAATAAATGCCGTTTTTTATTCTAAACAGATAGATTGAGCTGATCGGACACCATGCAGACAAAACACATCTAAGAAATCAGATTGAAGTCGAACGCACACACACACACACAGAGAGAGAGAGAGAGAGAGAGAGAAAGAGAGAGAAAGACAGAAATTGAGAGAAGGAGGACTTGATGAAAAGACATGACATTTTTCTTCTTCTTCTTCGTCTTCGGGTCAGCGTTCACTTTACCATATACATTTTCTCACACCAACTCACAAACACACATACAGCTAAGGCTCAATGAACAAGTCAACTGTACAACGTAAAGATCAATAAGACGGTTGCGGCATCGTTCTACTTGGCTTACTTATTTTCGTCATCATCGGTACCATCATCGGCAGCAGTAGTACTAGTAACAGCATATTTTTTTCGTCTGATTCTCAAGAACAACAACTCACAGCGCGCGCGCGCACACACACGTTCGTCTCGATCGTTGCGTCGCTAGTTCCAACCAAAAACGTACTCAATGAAAGACAGAGAACAACATGTATTCAGCACGAGCATCCAACGAGATAGAAGCACTGATTCAGTGCCGCAAGTGTCTGCTTAGTTGGATCATCTCGGTTGCTGCCTCATGAACAAAACGCACAAAAAAGTGAATAACAACAACAACAACAACAACAAACACGAAAATTAAAATCGTACGCAGAAAGAATTGAAATAAACGCCGTTGATCGAACTGCGTATTCATACGCGCATTCATAAAAAGAAGAAGAAATATAATCATTTAATTAATTCAAGTTAGTGTATACGTGTGCTCTCCATTCTACAAATCGTCAGTTCATTATTGTCTTGTGTTGTGTGTTGGTGCAAGGTATACACGTGAAACGTGGGAAAAATACTCAATTCAATTTTAATCATCGAACCGTGGTAAAAGTGATACAAATCCTATGCATGTGCATTTAAATTGACTGATTTTGTGCTGTTTTCGTAATACGTTTTTGATGGTGATGAACTCGATTTTCTTGTTTGAACAAAAAAGAAAAGAAAAACAAAAACAAAATAAAGAATAAAGTGTCTGCTCGCATTGATAGACTGGAAAGTGTTTTGTAAAAAACGTGAGACTTTATTGCGATCAATTAATATGTTAATTTTCGGTCAAAGCCAATGCTAATGATTGAATGGTATCAAGATTACATGGGATTTATCGACACGAACTCTTTATAGCCGTTCAAAAGTTGCTTTCAACAAAGCCATTCCCTTAAAGAACGAATTATAAATCATCCCGCGCGTGCGCGTGCGCGTAAAATACTTTGTAAAACACAATAGTTTTTTTCTTCTTCATACAATATTGCCGCTACCCATCGTCATGTCCACTTCGACCAGTAAAAGTTCAGCCATCCCAAAAGTAGATAATGTCCCATCCACAAGCAAACAATCAATTCCACTGCCAATCAGTTCCAAACACAGTCAACAGAACCCATCACAGATTCCAAGCCATTTGCCATTACATCACCAAAACGTTCAAAAATCGCACGGTATTCCATCGATAATACCACAGCCACAAAAGCATTTAGCTGGACCACCTCGTTATCAGGTAAATTTCGATAAAAAAAAATATTTTCCTAGAAAAAAACAACCAGAATAACCGACCAAAATCGTTAAATTATAGCCACCCCCACCGCCTGGAAGCATTCTGAAGAATATTTCGCCACAACGATCCGGAATTCCGACACCACAATTTCACCATTCATCACATTCAAACGACACAAACGCACATTTAAACCTGAAATTTCCACAAGAAGTACCGAAATTAACAACTGTTTATATACCAGATCGAAATACAGCAACTTCGTCTCGTATTGGCACAGCGAGATCGTTGCAACCATCACGTCAATCAATTAATAGTGTTCAGTCGCAACCATCACCACATTTATCGACCACCGACGACGAACAACAGTCCACTTCGAGTAGGAATCAACAACAAGAAATGCTCAAATTCGTTCGAAAAAGTGACACCGACTCCGTTTCTGCACATTCACCAAATCCAAATGCAATTCCGCCGGCCAACAATCTCATTCGCATGAATGCCAACGAACAAAGTCGACACCTTCAGGTGAGTCAGAAGAAATAAGATGATTAAAATATTTTAATTTGCTTAAGATGATTGAAAAATCTGCTCAATCTTTAGTTTGTATTCAGTAATTTTCTTATCTCTGAATTCTTGCTAATTATCATTATGTCTTTCTGAAGCAAAATCGAAAAATAAACACATTATAATGACATTTATGTTTTTTTCAGTCACTTCTCGCTGATTTACGATCACTGAAAGAACAAAATCAACGATTGAATGATGATAATCAAGAATTGAGAGATCTTTGCTGCTTTTTGGATGACGATCGACAAAAAGGACGGAAATTAGCACGAGAATGGCAACGATTTGGACGCTACACAGCAAGCGTTATGCGGCAAGAGGTGTCTGCTTATCAGGTAATGATGATTTTTGAATCTTTAGAAATTGAATTTGGATTGAGCTCCGAAAAAATTGGTTTTTACTCATAAAAATAATATTCAACGAAATAAAATTCATCGTTAATGTCATTGCGAATCGCTTGAATCTCACAGAATTTGAAACCGAATCAATCAAAACTGTAATTTATATTTTCAGACCAAACTCCGCCAGCTCGACGACAAACAGCAAGAGTTGATCCGTGACAATTTAGAGCTAAAAGAGTTGTGTTTGTATTTGGATGAAGAGCGAGCAAATGTGAGTGCAACAATTCCATCGTCTTGTTCGAGTTGTGGTGCGGCGATTCGACCGTCAACATCAACCAACACATCAAATGCAATGCGAGATGATGGTGATGGCAGTAGTTCCAGTACGAACGACGAACCGATGCCATCTGCGCGTCAATTTGATCATATTGTTACGGTAATTTGAGCATTCTTTTCTCGTATAACATTCAACCTACCTTCCATATTTTTATGTTACCTCTGGAATAATTCGATATAAATTTCAATTGCATTTTAGGAACAACAGTCGCGTTCAGCGCTGAATGATCAAACGCTTCAATACGTGCGTTCGTTAGAACGGCGTCTTTTGGAGCATGAACTAGCCAATACGAACAATAATCTTGAGAATAGTGCCAATCTTGCCGCATCAAAAGCCAATAAAAACTCAAATCCCCCAGCGAATGTGAGCAAAAGTGCCGAAGCCCCAAATTCGAATCTGCATGCACACGCAAATGATGTATTGTCGGGCCGTCCAGAAGCAGTTGTGCGCGCGCTACAGATATTAGAAGTGAAGGAACAGTTGGAGCGTGACCGTGCCGGCAATGTGTCGATTTCGCCAGAACATCATATGGACGATGGCGAAAAAGCATTGCTTCGAGAAATGTGTAACGTTGTATGGCGTAAACTCGAAGACAATTCAAATAATCAAGATGTTTAAGAAAAAAGAAAACACAATTAGAAGTACAATATTCCGCATTCGGCGCAGAGTGAAAAATGTGCATTTTAAATGTACGACACAACCTACAAAATTTATTTAAGATATCGATTACACAGCAGAATATTCTTTATTTTTACGTTGTTCATGACAATTCGATATTTATTTTTCTTTATGTATTTTTTTTTCGTATCTGAATGGTTTTGAGGAATTTTTTTTACATTCATACTTATTTGCTCAATGTTTACTTTTCAATGTTTCTACTATTACTCATTAATCCCGCGAAAATATTATGTACTTTGTTATTTTTAGCTTATAATAGAAATTATTATTTGTTAATTTTTCACGTATATATTCAAATGGCAATAAAGTGAAGCTCTTTTTTTTCTTTTGAATATGCCCATAAATCGTCGTATGGTTTTTATTTCATATCTTCTTCATTGAGAACTCTACTAATTTGAAGGTGGTCGCGTAGTTGATGCATGATTATTGTGTTACTTTGTGGCTAGCCAATTATGGCATGGGTATCTGAGATAGGAAACTCAGCTAAAGACAACACTATACAAAATGCATTTCGCAATCTTTGTATGATTTATGCTAGGGGAATTTAACTCTTACGAGTTCAGCATGTTTTTTGCCAGTTTGCTTGATTCGCGGGAGTTCGACGCGTTCCTTGTACGTACTGACGCGCACGGTCACAAGTTTACACAAGTTTGTTTATGGTTTTGCGCGTTTTTCAAGTTGTTATTTGACAATTAAAACGCGTTTCAAGCTAAAAATCGGTTGTTTACGTGTATAAAGATTTTTCACATCCTTTCCAAAAGTTCAAAGATTTTTATAATTATAAAATGGACAAAGGAAATATTTTTAAAGAGCTGGAGAAAGTGTTGAAGAAAAAGTTAATCCAGATATAATAAATGGAACGACTGATGTGTGCGCGTCGTCCAGCTACAAGTTTGCACACGAACTCGCGCGCGTTCGCGCATGTTGTTTTTATACGGAACTTGTCAACTGAGTGGAATCATGCAAGTTCTCTGGTGAATGTAACAATTTCGTGCGCGTTTATATCATTTTTTTACAAGTTTTCACGTAGTTAAATCCCCCTAGGATTTATGTTGCAAATAATGTAGCCGTATATCAATTTAACGTCAAATTTTATTCAAAATTCTTAACTAATAAATAGATGTCCATCCAATAATAGATTAATTTCTACCCACTCGCCATTCGCTTTTAGGATATTTTCCGAAAAATCAATTTTGCCTTAAAACTGAAAATTCCAAAATTCTTGTTGTATCTAGCTACGGCCACAACTGATTCACTGCTTTTCACATAGCTATTCGATTTGTCCATTTTATATTTAAATTGGGCGAGATTTTCACTATATTTCAACTTATTTTTAATTTCACGTGATAAGCAATTTAAACCTAGCTCCACATGGATCGTCTTCAAAGCAGTTTGAGTCTTTACCAACTTCGTTAGTAATTTCTCATTAACATTAATCCTGCTACTGGAAGTCTTAATTACCAAATGTTTGAGTGTTTTCAATGTCGATAAGTTATTGCTTGAATCGGACCTTGTATCTATATCGATAGACAACTTTTCAATCGGTACATCATTTTCTGCAAACATATTAATTACCATTTCCAATGAAATCGAAGGATTTGACACATGCAATTTGAAACTTTTCAACTTTGACAACTTTGAACAATGCATTATGTTTTCATGTATTCCACGCTCATTATAACTGCAATCGGACAAGGTAAACTCAAGGAGATTTGGTGCACTCGTAGCAATATCTTCAAAAATCGATGTTGGCATTTGTTCACAGCCTGATAATTCTAGTCCTTGTAATTGTGGATTTAATTCCAAAAACTCGGTCAAAGTATCTTTCGTCAACTTCAACTCTTGAACACCGCGGAATGAAACACGTTCTAGTGATGGCATTTTCTGTATATACCACGGATACCTTATTTTTCTCACATACCCTGTTTCTCCAAAACTTGGTAATTCGTATTCTTGAATAGTTAGACATTTCAATGATGAATTTGATCTGAAGTTCTTCGGCGAACAGCTATAGAAATGCAGTTTTTCTAGGGCTTCGAATTGTGTTTGATCAAAATCTGGCTGGCTATATTTAAGTTCTAAATCCTTTAATGTTTTTCCACAGAACATGGCGATCGATTTGAATATGTAATCATCAGCATCGAAATGGTATGAGGATTTGAATGAAAGCGAGTTTATCAAAGGCCCAAATACATTCAAAGACTCCTCTGCTCGTTTTGATTTCCAAAATTTGCGACTGCATTCTTTGTCTTCATTGATTTCAACGCTTCTGAACTTGATCTGAATACACCTCATTGCACTTTCTTGGAATCGCTGGCACACCAAACCCATGGACAGAACATCTTCTACGTTCGAGAATTTCCAGGTGATTTCGTCGATGCAATCGTTGTCGAGAACATTGAGAATGTTTTGTGGTGAATCGGGAGCTGGCGGTACTTCAAACATACCAATTAACCATTTGATCAGGTTCTTAAACATTTCCATTATGCTAAACGGTCCAAACATTTTGAAATATAAACACGTTGATTTTTTTCCGAATCTCTTTCTGAAAATAGATGCAGTTTTTGTGTACAGAAAATTGATTGAAACTGTGAATTTTGCCCAAGAAATTCAAATAGTTTTGATATATTTGGTTGAAGTCTTTTTTTTATGGAGAATAAATTTATTTTTCTATTTTATCAATTTCTTTCAAGATGTATAACTTTTTTGATGTGAACACATTGAATATCAAAACTTGACTGACTTTCTCCTTTACGACATACTCTCAATTGTTGTTTGTGCGTTAGAAAGAAGGAAACCGACAAAATGGATCGTTTTTATGTTGACCTGGATACATCATTAGGGATGCATTTTAAATGGCACTAATTATGCCTCTGCAGTAAGTCTGATGCGCTGTAAACGTATACCAGAGTATGTGTAGTCGAATAAATATGCAAAATTAAACAGACGAAGTAACAAAAAATATGGTACATTAACGACGACGTACAAAATAAGATGATTATTTTGTGTCTCATTATATGACTGTCAGTATGTGTCAAATGTTTAGAAAAATTTGTTCATAGAAACACGATCAAGTTCAGATTGACTACAGATTACCGTTTAGAAGATTCTCCAATGGATATTTCATAAGTAAAAAACGATTCTAATATGTTGCTCTAATGTACATACATAGTCAATTGCTTCAATTCTAAGCTACACAAACCCATTCGGTATAGTCTACATAGAAAATGAAAAGAATGCTGAAAAAGATGGGCTGGAAAACAACATATACAATAATAACAAACATGATGCAGACAGTTCAAAAAGCAAATCACACTATTTATTATGTTATCGATTACACAGCAGAATATTTTTCATGACAATTATTATTTATTTTTCTTTATGTATTTTCTTCGTATTTGAATGGTTTTGAGGAAACTTTTTACATTCATACTTATTTGCTCAATGTTTATTTTTCAATGTTTTTACTATTATTCATTAATCCTGTGACAATATTATGTACTTTGTAGCATATAACAGGAAACTATTTGCTGATTCTTCCCGTATATATTCAAAATGGCAATAAAGTGAAGCTCTATCTTTTTATTTCATATTTTCTTCATAATTTGATGTTTTCCATAATCTCTATCTACTTTTTTCGTTGTCACACATTGATATGAGATGGTATCACACTTTAAAGACCAATACGGGACGGTGTACGTTTAGGTGTATCGCCACCGGGCGTTAAGATCTCTTGTTTCGTTTGAAGTGCTTGTTGGCGTTGTTCGGCTTGTATTTTATCTTCTTCCATTTGTTTTTGTGCCTGCAGCATCTGATCTTCCATTTCTTGTAGGTGTTCAGCGGCTTGTTTCTTCTTCTCTTTGCCACTGCGACCGGACTCTTTCACCGAGAAGAACATCGGACCCAATTCAGCCAACCAGTAACCATCGACTGATGTCGTACATTGCATATACTCTTTAGCTGTCATAATCAATTCGTGGTAAACAACATAATCAGGTGTTGTACCCAGACCGTACAAGGCTGATGTTGGATGCAAATGACATGGCATTCCGGTTCGCAAATTAACGTATTCTCCGATACCTTTGAGACGGGCTGCTTGATAGAAATAAGCCGAACAGATACACTTTCGGATGATATCCCAATCGGTGCCGCACGATATAACCGGCAACTTCTGTTGAACAAGAATGTCCTTCAATTGTTGCCGTACTTCGCGCACCTTTCGCATCGCCTTGATGTGAATGAAGTGCTCGTTTGCCCACGTTGACGAGTAGCTACAAAAGACAAGCAAATATGACAAATTAGTAAGAATGTGTTGATGAAATATTTAGAACGTCAATTTTAAAGCAATTAATAAACATGTTCTTGGAAATATGATTATGCGGTTTCGTGAAATAGTACAGTCACACACATTCATACTCAAGACGTGACTTTACATCAATTTTGTTAATAAACAATGAGCGTTACTCACTTATTCTGTTTCCATTGCATGTAAACATTCAAGTATGTCAAGTGATCCGATTCAGGCACTTGGAATTTCTCACGAACACCGTCCGCCTCTTCTTCACGGCCCTTTGGACGATAGAATATCGATGGTACCGACAGCATTGATACTGAAAAAAAAAACACAGAGAAAAGAAATACGCAATTAATTTTTCAGTGGCGTTCTGCATTCCAAGTGGAGATGGTTTGTGTCTGTGGTAAAATGTTTCCACAGAAAATAGCATATGTCGTCACTCGTATGATGTGATGTCATTGGTAAATGAAATTGTTTATTATTTTGTTTCTTAAACAAAATTGTTCATAATTTTGTACGAGGTCAGATTTAAAGCTATTTCATACATACCAATGATGAGAACTTCGGCACTGCATCCCATTTTGCATGAAACGATAAGCATTTGGCACTGCGGTGGATCCAATGGAAATTCAGCCATTTGTCTGCCCAATGGAGTCAATCCTCCCGTGTGATCCAACGCGCCCAAAATCCACAGTTGATACAGTGAATTCAGGATATTGTCTTGTGGTGGTGGATCCATGAAGTGAAACTGTAGCAAATCAACAACGCCAAGTGATTTCAACAGCAGTACTGTGTTTGCCAAATTGGTTCGTTGAATTTCTGGAACAGTCAATGCCAACAATTCATCTTTATACTGTCGCTCAGTGTACAATCGAAAAGCTTGACCTGGTCCCGTTCTGCCCGCACGGCCCGACCGTTGATTGGCATTGGCCTGTGAAATTGGATAAATTTGCAGTGCATCCATACCGATACGTGGATTATATACTTTCAACTTGCAATAGCCCGAATCGATGACATATATAATACCGTCGACGGTGAGCGAGGTTTCAGCAATATTTGTGGCAACGACGCATTTTCGTACGTCGTCTTCGGACTTTTGAAAGATTTTCGCTTGCAAATCGGACGGTAATTGTGAATAAATGGGCAGAATGGACAGTTGTGGGGCTGCATCGATTTCGCCTAATCGTTCGGTAAGCACCTCGCACGTGACTTCAATGTCTTCTTGACCGGGCATAAAAATGAGCATGTCACCAGGCGTTGGTTGCAGATGAATTTGTAGCGCCTGCTTAACCGCCGCCTCGACATAATCCTCAACGGCATTTTTGCTAAACATCAAATCGACCGGATACGTACGACCGGGTATGGTGAATGTTGGCACATTGCCGAAAAATGACGCAAATTTGGTGGCATCCATCGTAGCTGATGTAACAATCAACTTCAAGTCCCGACGTCTGGCAACAATCTGTGAATGAAAAAGAGCAAATGTTGTTAATACGATTGGATAACACACAAATGGTATGCTCTACGCTCTCTCTAGAGATTTTCTTATCACACACACAACAACTAAACATCACGTGGTTGCTACAAGTGTCTTATTGCAAAAGTTCAGAAAAAAGAAGAAGAAGAAGCATGTCGGTTAAAGTCTCGCAAAATAAAACGTGATTCAGCAAACATTTAAAATCGCAATTAATAATGGGTTGATATTTCTATTTTAAAATTAGCACCATATCGATAAAAAATCATCATCAACGAAATTTTCCATTCAAAAGTTTTTATGAATGTCGTAAGCGATAAACGTTTGTAATCAACTCTCAAGGTACAATTTGATCCAAGCAGAATAGAGATATGTGCAAAATTCCAGCAATTGTGCTCGTGAAATAGATTTCTATCGAGTGTGTCGTTAAACCGTAGCGTTTTGGTTTTTTCATTCTTTCGTTTTTTCCAGTGTTCAAGTACGTTCGTCAACAAGGTTTTTTTCCCCCTAAACGGAACATTTTTGGTGATTCATGCTAAGAAGATTAAGTACTTTCTATTGATTCAATGGAATCGGAAGCCAAAAATCATCGTGGACATGTGGATAGGTGTCACGTACAATTTGTAAATTTTCAATTTGATAAATTTTTAAATGAATGAAGTTTATTCGAACAACAGAGTTGTTTATCATTCCAGCGAACAATTTGATTTATTAGTGTTTGCGCTCAATTGATTTATTCCAATGGTAATATAACAAGCTTACATTGCATGTAAATATTTCAGCTGGAATTATGTATTTTGTATGATATATACAGTGCACAGTGCACAGCGCGCGCACACATGGTTTGAAGGCATGAGAGAGTCACAGGAAAATGAATTTTATTTAATTTCCCACGAAATTTGTTTACAACGATAGAATTAAATGACAATAAATTGCTTTCCTGACTCATAAACCACGTAATCCATGACAATCACAACTCAGCTCAAGTGGTCGATCTTAAAAAAAAAAAAATATAATAAACGCGCCGGTCCGGAGACGATCAAAAATATCTGTTAACATTTTTTTCGGTTTTTGCTTCCATAGATATGATAGCTGGTGTTTAATGAGCTCCCGGTGCTACTGCGTATTATTTTACGATCATCATTTATGTGAAATGATGTATATATATATCGCTCAATGACAATGTGTATGAGTGAGAGTGGAACCAAAATAGAATTTGTCACGAGATTTTGTTGTTGTTGCCGAATACTTGATGGTTTTCAGTGTATATAACAATGGCAAATGTTGGTAAAGCCTAAATCCTACCTCAACATATTCCCGGTTATGTATATATGCATATCGAGTATATCCGTACCAAACATAAAATGAATCGATAGAAGCGGAGCAGGAAAAACTATGAGAGGCTTGGTTTTTTTTGGTAACTATAGTATATATAGTAAGCAATAGATGGGCTCTCGTTGCCAAAACGCATTGCTATGACTGACGCTTGGCTTACGTGATTCGCGTCTTGTGTGTTTGGTTTTTGTTCGTTCTAATTCGTCTTCGGTATACACGCACACACCGTGTTGAGTGTACGGTCTACGTGAACGCGCTCCCGAATCACCATCCAAATCCATGACGTACATCTAAGCTACATTTGCTTCCACGCATGTAATAAGATAAACCACTTTAGCATACATCGGGAATAAATCAAGTAGAATTTTTTTTTTATAATTTTGCATTTAAAATGTTTACAATTCTTATCAACATCGACACGCAATATTGCCGCTCAGAATAATACATTATTTATTATTAGAGCAAATGTTCAACTTGACTTGCTATCGCTGCTCATAGAGAAGAAAAAAAAACTGAAAGATAAACTGAAACCTATGAAATAAATACATTTATTTATTTACTAGTCCGGTTTGTTTTGCGGTCATTCGTTTTGGCTCATTCAGTTTTGAAATGGGTTATCAATTGCTATGTGTATTTTATGTATGTTTAAGCGGTGACATGCACCAAATTCGTTATCGATTTTCAGAATCCCAGGCATCGCTGTCAACGGCTAAATAACGGTTTTTTTTTAGATAGGCACGAGTTAATGAACGGCATTCAACAATTGGTCGTTTTCACTTTTCTCTAGCCCTACTATGGCACGGGTGAAACGCCAAGAAACTTGCAAATCAATTATTTGAAGCGAAAGTAAAATTAAATTAGAGTTTAAAAAAACAGACACACTATGACGACATCATCGTCGTCCCCTCAGTGGCTCCAGCCACTTTAATGACCGCATTGATGTTTCGCGAACCATTTTTAATTGGTTTTAATTTTAGAATGATGGTGCCTCATGTGCGTCGAAATTATGTCATTGTTGTTTGGCAAAACTTCTATGATCAATCATACGTGCCTGGATCAATAATCGGTGCCGTTGTTATTATTTTTCGATCGAAGCCAAGTCAATTTTTCACGCGTATCGGCACACAACAAGTCATCGCGTCAGCATGATTATCGTTACCCTCTCTCTCTCTCTCTCTCTCTCTCTGTTGAACATGATAAAAACGGAGTCGATGTTTTTATGATAATAAATAACTTTCATTCCGGGAAAAAGTTACCAAGGCCCACACGCTTTGAACGGAGTTTGCCGCCATGACACCTTCAACACTTTCAGTTCACTTTATTTCAATCAGTTTGTTCAACGCTGGCTGTTTCGTTGACGATAATAACACTGGTCGTTGGATGGAGTTATAATAAAAATAACGATTTTCCATCAGATGATTTGCTACGTAATCCGCCAACTAATCGCCGATTAATTATATTATCCACTGGTAAACTTTCATTCGGAGGAACTCATGTGAGAAATTTGACAAATTGAGTTCAATACGTTTTTTTTCTCGCGTGGAGTGTGTTGTTCGCACGTTTTTTTTGCTATCATATTATGGAGAAAGACACAAAGAGAGAGAGAGAGAGAGAGAGGAGAAAAGAAGAGGAGAACGAAGAGAAAAAAGTCGTAAAGCAGATGACGCAAAAACATTGCGAAAAAAAGTATCGAACCAAATACCGTGATAAAGGTCAAGAAGCTTCGCTTTGTGAATCTTTTAATATTTATTAGTATCAATGAAAAAAAAATCCCCAGCTCTAGGGCTAAAAAGATCTATTTCGAGGAAGTTGATAATGTCTATAAAAGTTTGTTATTGAGCAGCTACAAAAATTATAAGTGACTCGAAGATAATGATGATAAATAATAATAATCGATGAATCATTTGCAAAGGAAATGGCATTATCTTTTAATACTTGAGACTCCAGAAAAAAAAATGAACGAAACATAAAATGCTTTTTTAATTGCAACTCTTGATGAGTTGGCCAAATTCATATTTGTAAACAAAACCGACGACAGTGGTATTGCGACCAAAGACGCGAGCAACACTCATGCATTTAAATAATTATAAACAAACAAAAGACATATGAACACAAAATTTGATCATATGACGCATACAAACCACCGCTGTAGACAAGAGAGACAAACCGCTGCGATTTCGATGCGCGATCAAGGACCAGACCGCCAGATAGTAAATAGCAAAAACTTTTGCTCTATGTCTCTTCACTTCGACAAATTCTTTCTTTTCTCATATCGAGTGTACAATCGTCAGAAATGCTAGCGCTAAGGAAACGAAATTTGGCAAACCCAATCATTAAACACATAAATGAATGGTAATCGGTAGCAATTGTGTATTATTTTATCTTATCAACAATAATATACGATTTAAACAATCATTTTTATACACACACATTTCATCATTCGACAAAAATTTGCTTACGATCGCTAGCAAATGCTATTTTTGGCACAACTACGGTCATAGGAATGCATGAATTTCGCAATCAAAACAAATCAGGAGACAGAATTCACAACAAAAAGAATTGTTGGTATTAATTTGAAATGAAATACCGAGCGTCGCCGGTGTCAATTCCACCTACAGACCTACACTAACATGCATCCGGTGCAAATAAACAAAACGTTTTTTTGTTGTTCGTTTGTTTGTATATATGTAATGAATAAACGTTGTGTGTGTGTGTGCTGTGTTTAACTGAACATTTTCATTCGAAATCACATTCTTCATCTTAAACACGCAAACGGCAATGCTCATCATCGAATACAAAACGGAATGAAACTGGTTTTGTTGTTGTGCTGTACAGATTTGGTAACGGATTTCGCTTGTAGATTCGAGTCTCGGTCGCTCATCTAATGACCAATTCATTAACCAAACACATATTTTGGCATTTCAAATGAGAAAGCAAGATATTTGTGTTGCACGCAAACACCACTTTGTCCGCATGGTTTGTGGTTGGATCGTCGTGTTGTTTCCAACGGTTGGGTGCGAAATTGAATTGTTCAAAGTGTCGATGTGCAAAACGATGTGAAATTGCCAATCGAAAATTCACATCTAGAATGTTTCGAGCTCATGTTTAATTTATAAAGGTATAGATTACAAAGAGAGCCGTCGCACGATAGCCGTCGTTGTTGGAAGGAATTTCCAAAATGTTCTGAATGTGTTACTATCGCATTTACAACGGAGCTCAAGGTCAAACAGACAAACAAACAAAAAGTGCTTTCATATGGGAATAATTACGGTGACTTTCGAAATAATGTGCCATTTGTGTTGACAGTGGTTGGACCGCGACATGAATCGACATACATAAATCTGAATCCATACTACGTTGTGACTGAAATTTGAGTTATGACTTCCTAATTTCTTGTGTTATTTAAATTCCGATCGTCGATCTGTTTCCGTAGTCTAACTGAATAAAATTTTCTCGATACGACCGAAATGTACAGGCGACTTAATAAAATTAAACGCTTGGATGCTGAAGACGGCAACAAAAACGTCGACGACGACGACGACAACGACAACGACGACAACGACGACGACGAGCGGGAACGATGCGAAAGTAGGCACGTAAATAATTTCTGCCAACAACGGATTGTTTTGTCAATTTATTATGGCAGAGCGAGCACGTTGTGTGTATCGGCTGCTACACACAAAATGTAGATGCTTCATTGTAATAAATGTTGCGCTAGCCCACTATGTACACCACATGAATCAAGCGCCGAGATATGCCCTTCGTTGTTCGGTGTTTTGCGCTTTCAACGGTGCTATTGCTATACATAATGTAACAATATGCTAGGCATCTATGTCGTTTGTTCCACCGCTATATTTTATATAGTAAATAAACACAGAAAATGTCTGTTTATAGGCAGTGCGCGTCGCTGAATCAATTGCGATGTAATGTGTGCGATGCGAAGCTAAACGCAAGCTATTCGCTCTTTATTGCGTATCCATTGCCGTATTGTTTGCTACTTGTATGCTCACGAAGAGAATGGTGCGCGGTGCCGACGTGGAAACCGAAACAAAACTGCCATCGCTTCGTCACTGAACAGCAATCGCTAGTGAGTCTTGTCAGAGATAACTTCGTAACGCTACGATTTTTGAAATACACAATTGTGTATTACACAAAATTAATTTTTTTCCAATAACAAAAAGAAATATCTCAGAAAATACCAAACGAAAGTTTTTAATTCGATCAACAATTTTTAAATCATCAACGTAAACGAAATTGCATCATCGTTTGGAATCCCAACAGAAATAATATTCCGAACAAAGTCACGAATTTTTCTTCTTTAAATAAAAGACATTTACGAAACATTTTATAGCTCGTAACCTGTTTCGTTCGGGTAAACATTTGTCTGCCACCTGGAGACCTTATGCACATTTTCCTACAGAATTTTGCCATTTTTATCCAATCAACTCAGACAACATCACGGAAATCATCCAATTGTTCGTTATTCTCATTAAGAGTTTAAAAAAAAGACGAATTATATCTGGATTTTGACATCTGCACAAACGAAAACTGACCAACACACTCTTCTCGAAAGTTCTAAATGTTAAGAGCCACGACGTGCATGAAACAGCTTGAACAGAGAGAAAACCAACGAGTTGAGCACAGAGGCATTCACGACTAAAAAACCGTCGAATATATATATATATGTGTATTTCACAATATATTTATATATGCGTTGAAGAAAGAAGCGAGTGAAGCGTGCAAACAAAGCCACACAATTCTCTTGTGCACACAAACCACCACCAACTGCCGAATTCGTCGTCAATTTTGAATTAAATTAAAATCGTGTGTGAATATATTCTAGTGTTTTGATTCGCGAATCATTTTTTTTTCTGTCTGTCAAACGCAAGCCAACTGCACCGCATCAAAAGTGTTTGTAACATTTCGTTTTGTATTTAAACAGAAACAAAAAAAAACCATCTGAATTTATGCAAATTAATTTTACGAACGACAAAATAAGCACAACGAAAGCGTGAAACCAAATAAAAGAGACAATATTTTTGTTCAATTTAAAAATAGTATCGACATCGCCGAATTGAAACGCATTCGTGACGATCGCTTGACTTTTTTTCTTTCCTAAAGCAAACCGAAAGAAAAAAAAATCGACTGGAATTACATAGAATAAAACGCGCGCGAGCGAGAGCCAAAGACAGTGCGAGTGTATTTTTGTGAATCGCATAAAAACTTTTCAATGTACGTGCAATAGTTGAAGGCAAACTGAAGTGAACTGAATTGAACTGAGCGTAACCAGAGAGCGCAGTGAATTGTTCTGTATTTTTGTTGTTTTTATTTTTAAATTGCATTCCGAGATTGAAACATTTGTTTTCTTTTTTGTTCGTTGGCCGCTGCTATTTTGGTGATGTGCTAGAGATTAAATCGTATCATTAAAAAGCCTGGGAAATTCAAAAGACTCCAATGAAATTTATGTATTGAAGCGCCATCGATTACGATTACGAGGAACTTGATTCAATCTTAAATTAAACGATTCGTATCAATTCAATTAAATCCAATCAAAACCATTTTAAAATAGAGCAAAGTGACTGAAAATCAACCGGAGAGACCTCAAAGACCATAAAAAAAATTCGCTTAAATTGACAAATAAAAATTAGACACTCATCAACGGAACGAGAGCGAGAAGAAAAAAAAAACAGTTCATCATCAATTATATAAATATAAAGGAAACTATGTAGAGCGATTGGCTCTTTGTTATGGTTATGTGTCGGTTTTGAAACGTTAAAAAAAAGTTTTTATATTTAGCTTGAGCGCCGAAACAAATATCTTGCCGTTGCACTCAATTCATAGAAATCGGTGTACGACAGAAGACAAAAAAAACTGGGTTAATAAAATAAACTACACTTTGGTGGTGTGAACAAGACAACAACTGTTGTTGATTGTTGATTCAATTTTTAATTCAACAACGTCATCGGTATTGTTGTTGGGCACGAAAAAAAGACACTTTTTTTTCGATTGTTCGATCAATTAACGTAATCAAACTTAATAAATAAAACAAACACTAGACGTGACAAATGGATCAGAAGCCACGTTCCCGTGCCAACACTGTCATTGGTCAAATCAAATGGTGGACATCGAATCATCATCTCACAAATAACAACAACAATAATTGCAAATCGTTTGGCAGTTCGGTTGCTGTGCAAAAATTACGCGAATCCAAATGGTTTGGACCGGATGAATCGCGTATATTCTGTGCAGTCATCGAATGCGGTTTTATCGTTGAGACGCGTGAGGGCAAAGAAAACGGCGGATGGTTTGGCGTTGTTAATTGCAAGACATCCAAAGGTAAGGCAAACAAAGAATTTCAAGTCATTTCAGCAGAAAATTCACACATTTTGATAATAATAACAACAACAACGCGTGACACCGATGAAAACAAATCCATTCATCGATTGATATTGCACAATGTGCGAAAAAGTATATAATATATCAACGCCAATTGACATATGTAAAACCTTGCACCATTCGCAACAAATATTAATATTTGCGATAATTCTAGAGCTCGAACGTAGAAAATTCTATATTTTTAAGACAGACACACACATACACAGGGAGAGAAAAAGAGAGATAGAGATAGCGAAAGAGGGTGAGAATCGCTTTGTTTGCGTGAATTAAATGATTGTTTGAGAATTGTCGATTAGAAGTGAGGTCAGCTCGGTCATTAAATAAATCGATTTAATTCATTTGTTAATTTTTTTTTCTTCGCGTTTGAAGTTCAATTGAATGAAAATTCTCTTTTTTTTCTCTAAATCATTGGATTCACCTTCGCTGCAGATTTTTCTCAAGCCTGATGATTGATTATTCCAAGTGTAAGCATAAACTGCGCACAGAGAAATGTCCTTTCCATCTATCATGCAGTAAGGTCATTTTTATACGTTTGAAGTTTATCAAGTGTGTGCCGCAACGTAATTCATGTAAAGAATTATGATTTACAACACATAATTTTCTTGTTCCCTGCAACCAGTTACTGTTGAATAGTAATCTTGACCCATTTGTTGTGCGGCAAAAGTGAAATGCATGAACCTAACAGTACCAAATGCAATGGCGAGCCTCCAAACGGGCGTCGAAGAAAATACACAATACATATTCATCATTTTTGTGTGGGATTACATGTGATGTTGTTCGTATGTATGTGTATGTCTGTGGAACATCTATGTTAAGTGTTATACAATGCCGAAAGAAGGACAGACAAATCGTCTGCGCTGATTATCCACTTGTAAATACTTTTATATACATGTTTCTGATTTTTTTTCTCTTTCCATTTGCGAAATGGATTTTTGAGAGTCAAACAGACCCATCAGCAATGTGCTAAGCTGCTGATGATTGGAGACTGAGAAGATGTGTATCCTTGAACTTTTGAATGCCAACCAATAAATGAAACGACGTCACAAATACTAGAAATCCTTCCGAAAATCGCTCGAAACCGTCACCTCCGTGTTTCGCTTTCCGCTTTTCGACTACTTTCCGCCACCGATACCTATTGCGCGGATTTGGACTCATTGTGTGATTCAGATAACCAAAACAAAAATTATAACCGGGTCTATATGTATATGTATATTATTGCGCGTTACGAAAACACCGCACCGTAGATGGATGAAGAAAAAAATCGATATCACACCAAAAAAAAACCAACCTCAACTCGACGACGCTGAGTACGAACAAATTGTATGAAGTAAAGATTTCGTGCATGTACAATGGCATGTATGCCAAATGCGTTGAGATTTTTTCAGTGCACATAACCAGAGGGATAATGGTGTTTCTTTTTTCTCGCCTCTTCGCTGTGATTCCGTTTTAATTTGCATTCCATTGCGATGTGAAGTCATGATTCTTGATTTTTTTCAACTGTGTAGCTGTATTCGAATCGTGATTCTTTGGTTAATACGCATCGTATACACACATACGTATCTATTTTTAGTTTGATATTTATTTTCGCATTCTAAAAATGTACCGATGCTAATAACTTGCATCTGAATTCAATTTATGCACTGCTCCCATGCGATTATTACATAAGAGTAACCACCAGCACTGAATCAATCAATAAAAATGGACAGAATAATGTTATTTCAAATGTAATCGACGGTAAAAAATAAAATCTACAGAAAAAAAACGGTGTACAAAATAACATTAAATTGATAAACTAATGGCGACTGGGGAATTTAATAAATACCTTAACAAGATGAATTGAGAGAAGCAAAGAAAAAAAGTTCAAACGCAATGTGAGTTTATCAACAAAAACCAAAACAAAGTCGCCGCTATTGAAACAAGTAAATAAATGAGTATGAATATGTGAACAAAGCGAATGGCAATGTATTTTCTACGGTGTAAGCTAAAAATAGAAACAAATTGATTGGTACGTATACATCGCTGATGTGGCGATATTCGTTGGTCGACAATGCGGACGCTAACGCGCTCGCGCTCATCAACAGAAAAAAAATATATCAACAAATAGCGCGACCACTGAGAGGAAGTGAGACAGAGACGCGATTCGGATTACACTTAATCACGCGACAGAGCCCCTATCGGTGTGTTGGCGTTTGAGACTCCAAGCTAAATCCGTATTTGATTAAATATGTGAATCAAATGTAAATATATGAGCGAGAGAGAGAGAGAGAGAGAGAGAGAGTGCCTTGAATCGCCTTGATGTCGACTACGACGATGGCGACGACGATTACAATCCTTGTTTTTCGTATTTATTTGCCGTTTGATTGGCGGTTAGCAATTGCATTATGACAGCTCGTCTAATGCATATTTAAATTTGTGTATTTGCATTATTCCCATAACCACGTAAATATTTTCCCATCGCCACGAATCGCTGGTTTTCAATCTTGGAATATGTGCATTGTGCAAAGTGGTTTTCATGTATACACGATTATTGTTTATAAATTCTTGCATCTCACTCTCAGTCTCTCTGCCTCTGCCTCTGCCTCTGTCTCCCTCTCTCTCTCTACGGTGACAAGCGTATTTCATTGTGAAAATGGGATCTTGCTGCGCGTGCACACAGCGAGCGATGTGAGCGATTTAAAAATAAATTCCGTTCTAACGCTCGGTGTTGAGCGTGTAAATTGGAAATAGCTGGCGCCTGGCATTAATGTCACGGCATTCCACCTTCTGCCACTTTCGTCCTTTCACTTTTTTCATTAAGCACTACAATTTTTCAATTTACGATAGCAACCTGCTCCAATTCTGTTGAGTGGTGTGAGCAACCACGGAGCTGTTTCGAAATGGTTTCATATCGTTCTGCACACACAGCTTTGTGAGTGGGTGACAATGACTCACGGCTCCTAGACAAGCTTTCACTTCATAAATTCAACGGCCTGTTTACTCTGACCTTTCTGCACGCACAATTTAGTGCAGGCAACCAATTAAAACAGAGTTGACCTTTTCACCATCATCTCTGCATCGTGGCCAATTTCTGGCTTGAGAGAAACGAGATAGAGGAAAAAACAACACAACACTTCATTTGCGGAATGTCACATGTGTTGAGCTTTGAGCTAAAAACCACTTGTAGCACAGCCACGACAAACTTTTCTGTGTATATAAATAGAAGAAGAGAAAAAAAATCAAGTCGAAACCAGTCTATTAGCCAATTGGCATGTTTGAGCGCACAACATGTGTACTTTTCTTTGTTGTTGTTGCTGCTGCTGCTGCTGCTGCTGCTCGATTGCAGTTCGATCAATACGTCTCGTGCTTTCATTCCGGCTGTTTGTGTTTCATTTGCTAATTGCTGAACAACTAGTTTCAATTGACGGTGCACGTTACCGGTATTTATTTACACAAAACACTTACATAAAATGACTGCCTAGGTTCGATGAACCGTGTGCCGTGCATTTTGTCGTATATTTTTCTTTGAAATAAACGATTCAAACAAATGGCAAATTGATCAAATGCAATTTAAAGCGAGCGACGATGACGACGATGGCGGCGGCCACACTCACATTCCGGCATTATGATTGAAGCTAGTACTTATTCGGTTAATACCGGTCATTCTCTTTTTTCAGTGCATTGTCCATGTGCGTATGTGTGTGTGTGTGTGTGTGTGTGTGTGTGGACAGAGCAACCTATCAAATCTTGTACGTCGTTTCCATTGTTGGGGCGTCATTTGCCAAACGGAAACGGTAGCAGTTGCTGTGTACAAAAGCCACCAATCACTTTGTTATTTGGAGAAACATGAAGTGGAAATGTGACAAAAACAATGGCGTGAAAGTTGAAATTGAACAAACCGACTCTAGATTCTGGGAAGTTGTCCAAAGCGACAGTTGCCAAGAGGAAAGGCGACGCCTTTTTCTTTCTTTTCCTCTTTCCACACAAAATCGATAAAACGAGAGAAATAAACGATGCAATGTCAACGACGATAACGGAACAAAAGCGAATCCAATTACTTCAAATGCAAGCAATGATAGTTTTTTTTCTTTATTTTTGTTCACTGCTTATCTCGATATTCTGTCAATGTCACAACTCGGCTTTATTTCGCACTAAATGTTTGCACATACAACAACCAGACCAACCTCAATAATGGAAAAAACGACACGCAACTGATTGAAGCAACCGATTGCGATATTGCCGCTCCGATTTGATATTCATCGAATACAATGTATTGATGCATTTAATGTGTTGGCTGCGCTTTTTTTTTTCTTCTTTCATTCGTTTTTCAGTTAATGCATCTGGCTAATATAATTGGAACATTCAACTCGATTGGAGTTGATTGCAAATATAAAGAAGAGAAAAAACAAGCTTGGGAAAATCAACTGCGTTGTATTTGGTGTGGCAGGTGAAAAATGTAATAATCGAATGATGTGCACACATGCAGGTCGACACACAATTGGGAAACGGATTGAAAATTGAGTGTTTGTTGCTATTCGCTCGACATTTTTCCCATGACAAATCGAATATTGTCGGAGTTGTTCGGAGTTCATGCGAAAAATAACTGCTTACAGGAGAGTGTGGCTAGCATCGACAGTAATAAAGTTTCGAATTAGTGTATCGTGCAATGATGTCACATTTCCGAACGACGTTATTCGTCGTTCGTTATATGTGCAATAAAAACCACTACACTTCGTTTGTTGATATGAATTGTGATGCATATGAATCATACATATATTCACTCTTTCATCGAATGGACGCCGATCGAAGAAGAAAAAAAAACAGTTTTATTTTCTGTTTGAAGCATGAACTCGAAGAAAATGATGAAATTATAAATAGTTGCATTTTATGCGATTGTACCTGGGAATCAGATACATATTGCTATATTTCTACCTGGTACTGGATTTCGATGAGTGATTGCATCCAATTTACAAATTGCATTGTTTGCGCGTATAATCTTTGCAATCGTATCAGCTGACTGCGTATGTGTTTTTGTTGTTGTTCATTTTCAGTTTTGAAAATAAACACTTGCATGTATATACTAATATATCCGAGAGCCACTTAGCCGAGAGCCAAGGCATAGAGGCACAGAGTTGTCAGTTTATAATTTAACTGTAAAACTTGTGATAAATTGAATCACCTATTAAAAGTGATTTGCTATGTGCAAAATGATAAATTGAGCTATTTTCATTGAGGCAAGTGAAGAATGTTTTCATGTTCCAGTACTGCGTAGAAAGTTCGTTTCGAGTGCACTCAATATGGCAATAATAAAATGGAATAGTTTCTTCATTCCTTTTTTTCTTATATTTTCAATATTTACACAACTTTTTTTTTTCAAGTTAAATACTTTTTGCACTTTTGAGTGCTCACATTTGGTTCAATGAGTAATTTTTTTTCGTTTCATTTTTACAGACAAAAAGCCGAAGCCAGAGAATATCGATATTTATACATTGAAGACGACATCAGATCGGCGAATCAAGGTGACAAAATTGACATTGGCCGATGTTTGGAAGCAAGGCTGTATCATACGTATCAACAATTTTGGCGATAAAGAAAAAACACCACATTCAGAGAAAGACATAAAAAATCAGGTATGTAAAAATCATTTCCGCCATTCACTTCAATGTATTTCGATTAAAACGGAAAAACCACCTCATTTTGGTGTTTGACAAATTGCAATCGTTTTAAGAGGAATGACAGCCATTTTGTGCACTTTACAATTAAATGTGTTGATTTATATACTTGAGAGTTTGTTCAATAGTTTGTTTTTTTCTTTCTTGCTTCTCTTTGTCTCTTCTTCTAGCTATCATTCGGCATGAAATCCAAGCAACCGTTGTGGCATAATTCACAGCATTTCGCGACATGGTGTCGGTATGGTGATCGACAACAGGACATTCGACGACGGCAGGTAGTTGAAACGCAAAACTATTTCTTTAGCTACTAATTGTGTTTGGTGCTGTGTCTCGCCACGCCTGTCTCGCTCAAAAAGCAAACATGAATACATCGCAATCTAATTTAGCTGTTAATTTGATTTAATTGTAAGAGCCGCATGAATCTGTTTTTGTTATTTTTTTTCTTTCTTTTTTCAATCCAAACAAAAAAGACGGAATTTTTCGTTTATTTCTCTTGATTTTTTTTTTCACATTTGTAATTTTGAACGAAACATACACATATCGAATTGTGCATTAAATTGTTTTCATATATATTAATAATTGTATCGAAACCAGATGAATGTGGTTTCAAGTCGAGAAGTGCGAACAATGATTGCATAAAATTGGAAGAAGTAGAAAGTTGAGCGCACATTGAGTGTGTGTACGCGTACAAGAATTTTTTTGTATATGATTCGGTTACGTTTCGTATTATGAAACATGAACTGGCGTCCGTCGCACTTTTCGACTTGACTTCATTTGAACATTTTTTTTTCATGAATTTTTCTCTCTATTTTCCTTTTGAACTTGTTGCATTTTTTTTCTAACCATTGTTATAGCGCAGAGTGCACACATATTCCTAGTCCACAAGTATAGAGTTCAGTTACATTTTCATGTCACAACTTCGTCTTTTTTTTTCATCAATCCTTATGTAATTTCAAATCTTTCGCTCTCTCTCACACACAACGCCCACAAATTTTTTCGCTCAATTAATTTTTCATTTCTTTTTCTCTCTGGTAGATTTTTGTTTTGTTTATTATTATTGTTTTTTTTTCTTTGTGCAAAAGTTGGAAAAAAAACCATTTTTGTTTTCTCTCGTAAAGAAATCATATGATTTGTGTAATGTTTAATCTCAATTGATGTTATATCATATCAAATGTATATTTCTTGCGTATTGTAAAAGAGAATTGCACCAAGGCGCCGGTTGTGAATAAGCTCTCGGCGAGAGTAGAGAAAGAAAATCATGCATAGAGAATGTTGTGAGAAGAAAATCAAAACGCATGAAGGCAGAGTAAAAAAGACTAATGAACTCGACTCGTACGAGTTGAATATATACGCAAGAGAAGGGAAAAAATAAGAAACAGAATAGGGCAAAAGAAGCACGATGTGCTAATCGAATTTTGTGGGCGTCGGATTTTTTGCTTGTAACAAAAAGTGCAAAATCTTTTTTGAACACTTTGAAACGACAACACGCAAAAAGGTTCTTTCGACTATATTTTCATAGTCACAAACCCCCCGCATGCGCGCAGCAGCAGCTATATCAGTAGCTATAACATTTTTATCACTTTATTAGATTTTAAGCATTCTTTTTCTCTTGTTATTTCATTTCGCACACTGTTTGGTTGTTCGCATCGAAAGCGCAACCCACATAAACATATACACACACATATATAATATGTAACCATTGATTTAATCAAATTGAGAAATGTAGAAAACAATGCAACTGACTTTAATTTTTAGTTTATGATTTATTCGAAACAATAATGATAGAAAAAAATAATACATTTTTACCACTGGATAATTCGTTTTTGCAACCAATAAAAAATAATGTGTGTTTTTAATTTAAAGACTTTTGTTTTTCATTTTGCTCATTTTTTTCCTATTAGTATTTGTTCTTTCTTTTTTTTCTTCTATTTTTTAGTGTTTACCACTCTAAGTTTGTGTGATAAATAAGACTACTATTTGTTTGTGTAGTAAGTATTTGAAATTAAAAAAAAAATTGCATGCATCTAATCGATTTCTCGTGTGATGATTGTTACTAATGAAACAAGAGGCAAACAAAAGAGAGGAAACAATTAAAACCACCGCACAGCGCCGCATACAATATAAACCACACACACACACACACACACACATTCGAGCCATAAAAATGCAGCACACTGACCAAGTAACCGCGTTCGACTCACTCACATTTACCCGTCACTTTCTCATTCAATTATCCATTTTCATCTGTTGGAGACATAATCACACTAGACAATTGTTGCTGCACATGAAACACTATCTGACCTAATAATAAGAGTAAACGCATTAACTAATCTTAGAGGAAAAGAGAGAAACCGACGACGTGCAAAGGGCAGCTGATATACTTAGTTCCTTGGAAATGAAACAAAAAAAGAGAGGAAAAAAACCATACGTGTCAATTGAAACGGAACCTAGATTTTTTTTATAGCCACCATATAAACGTCTTTGAAATGCCATTAAGTGCGGAATGATTCGAGGAAAATAAGAGTGGTATTAAATTTACCGTTTGGCGTCAATAATCTCAAAATAGTCACGGTGATAACGTTTGTATTACAACACAAATATTCACAATCAAAATGGAAACAAAAAAAGTGTTCGTTTTTAATTCTCATTTCTTTGCCCATGTCATTTTTCCGTAAAAAATGAACAAATTTCGACTTCGTTCTATCGTGTTATCTCTCTGCTATGAATAAGTCATATGAAATATGCGTTTGATAACGATATTTTTAACCTCGATTAGCTCGCATTGATAGTATAGTCATTTCTATTTTGTTCGCGCTTTTGCTGCTGCGTCGATGAAGATTTGTCACTTTGTGACATCTTCAACAGGCTTAGCCGTTTATTCCATAAACGCTATCCAAACCTAAACCAAATCTCTTGTCAAACAAATGTGACACACTACAAATAAGAAAACAAGGTGCGACTGTAATTTGAACCAAATCTTGAATAAACTCTACTTTCGAGTAAGATGCACGTGCAACTTTTTATTTCGATCATTCGTGCGCACAGTTTGTTTTTGTTGATACGTTTTTGTTTGAATTGATCGAAATAGAGAGAGAGAGATGAAGTTACGAGCTGTTATCAAAGGTGCAATCGCACGAATAATATAAATATTTGTATGTTGTTTAGCGTAATATGAGAGATGAGAGCAGTGTTCTCGAGAGGAAACAAAAATTATTTTCTCAAGAAATTCGGTGTGAAGGTCGGTGAACAAGCAAGAATATCGCAAGTTTGTGAAATTCGACAAAGCTATCTAGACAGTAGTCGAGTGAGAATCATTTCCATGAAATCACAAATGATTTGATCATAAATACGGTTAATAATAGAAGTCAAATCTCATCTAAAATGCTGAATGTTGATAAGGACCGACACCATTGATTCAAATTGAGCATAGAATTTTGATGTGTTGACCGGCACCAAACCGAATTGAAACCATTTGATGAAATTGATGTAGGTTCAGAATCGTCTTAAACTTTAAAGCCAATGCAAATATTTTGCCCAAGTTTCGGACTTGAACAACAACAACAACAACAACAACAAAGCATTCGCGGTCCCTCCTAATGATGCATTGGTCAAACGAACTTTGTTGTTAGTCAAACAAAACGATTCGGACTAAGCCTTTGTTTGGTGCATAAGCTTATTTGGCTTATAAGCCATGCAGTGTGAAATGTTATTCGCTTTTAACCACAAGCTATTTTTCCCGATCATATGTGCAAATAAAATGTGTTGCGTGAATTGCAATCTTCAATATTTACACGGGCAAAAAAGATGACGTCTACTTGGATTTTATAGTGCTTAGACCGCGTCAATCCCATATTCTTTTATGACTGCCTGTCTACTAAGCCGCGGCGTTTTATGTTCATGCGAATTGCATTTCGGAGCAGATGATTAATGGTTTTGCAAGTGTGTAAGCGAAAGCTCAAGCGTCAATCGGCTTTATCCACTATGAAATGTGCAAAGTAACAAGGATTGGCGCCCGTGTTAGTGCATGTGTGTGTGCCTTTAACTCCAATATGGCCGTGCAAAGTGTTTCAGGTTCAATAAGCTATAACAATTTTATGTCATCGATTTAAATTAAAATCGACCTTCGGTATATGGTACTACTTTGCACATAAACGTAAACATTGTCGTTCAACGGTCAATTCTTGCTTCTTGGCACCAATCCTGTTTCGCTTCATTTTTTCTCTCTCAACAAAACGTAGTTCGTTTTCGAGAGAGATTGAAAAAAAAAATTGCTGTTGAATTGACTACTGTTGAAGATGAGAGTCACAATGACGGATTGCTTGCCAAGAAAGTGTCAGCTTTGGTAATGTGACGTAAAATCCACGAAAAAATAATCAATTTCGCTTGAGTCAATGTCAATCCAACACTTGTTATCCATTTATTCGAAATTCAGATGGTTCGCAACCCTTGGCATAAATCTCTTCTAGAATTTTTTTTTACTGCCACAAGTGGAACATTTTGCGCACAATGCCACATGGATTCGATGAATTTGTACTGAGCTATTGAATCGCTTTAGATAATTGAAACCATTGACTTTTGCCATATGGCGATGGCATAGTTTGATACAAACGTGTCATGTGCTATGAGAGAAAACAACTCGAATTAATGCATGTTTAAATTATTCATCGTAATTGATATTGATTCTTTTTATCGCATGGATGATATCATCCGTTAACGTTTCTTTTCTGTACATAATTTAGACAAAATAAACTTTTACCGTTTGTTTTTTTCTTCTTGTTTTTCATTTATACAAAAGTCGTTTGTTATCCTTTAGTTCAAGCTTAGTTTTTTCCCGCCTTTGGGTTCTCGGAAATTGTTTGCGAACAGAAAAAAGCCATTGTTTTCAATCATTTCTTTTACAACTTTCAGATATCAGACTGTGTGAAATGGGGAAGTGTTGGAATGAATGCCGGACTTATAATGATGATGAATCGCCGCCAACCCCATTCGGCTTCAGCTATGCATTGAAGGGACAACAGAAAAACATAAATAGGATCCTGCGACGAGAAATTACAATTCGTGAATATTTTGTGTGCAAATCAACGAAGTGTTATTTGAGATGTGTGAGTGTGTGAATTTGTGACGTGTGACAAATCAAACATACTTGTTTCAAACACAGCATTTTTTTTAAGGGTGACACACAAAAACACTCACACATAAACCTTATCATTTCCGGAATCAACTGAAACTTTCTACTACACTGAAAAAAAAGAGAGCATAGAATTTGTGATACAGAATTTGAATTTTCTGATATTTTTCTTTTTTGTACAAAAAACCCATTTTGTTACCACATTTTTTTACTAGTTAAGTTTGTAATGAAAATGAACTGCTAAATTTTCACCTTTCGAAGAAAAAAGGCAGAAAAAAGAGAGAGAGATTCAGTGAAAAACTTGCATTTTCGTGAAACACTTGTTTGCGCGTATAAAAATGGGCGCGCGAATTGATAATTTTGTTAGCATTTGAATGAAATGTCTAGAAACATTTCTACATTGGCACAAAAATAGAGAGGCAGAGAGAAAAAAAGGAATAGAAAAGTAAATTCAACATTGCGCAAAACGAACAAAGATTTATCGGATAAGTAGATGAACGTCACTTTTGGGCGTGGGAAAATGTATCCGAATTTATTGACATTTTGTACGAAAGTTCGGAAGTGCACAATTGCGGGGGAGAAAACTTTGGAACATTCAACAATAGGTGCCAAAATCCATAGAAAATCAAGAATTTCCTTTTAATCACAAAAAAGAATCAAGTATTTCCTATAAATTACTCACACAAATTTACAGCTCATATTTGTTTTCTAGCCCCCCATAAAATTTTCTCACATAAAAATAAAACAGATTGTGAAAGAGAAAGGAAAAAAAATACATTTTTGTCTATGTATAGACATTAAGTTGTTGTGATTCGTGCCAGACATTAATGGTGATTGGCAATCGAAGGAAGTAAGGCTGAGAAATATTACGAAGGTGCAACATTATTTTTCATTTCTAATTGGATTGTACTTAAGACATATGCAGTAAAAATAAAACACCGTGTAGAGACTTGTTGCTTTTTCTCACAGCACACAAATTACTGCAGACATTAAACATACACAAAAGAAACTGGAAAAAAACAAGAACAAGAGGTATATTTATAAATCGTTTATAGCAACACAATTCTTGCAAAGGGAAGAGGTAATTTTCACAATGCATTTGGAAGCAGTCGATGAAAAAGAAAAGAGGATCTGCATAGAAGTGTTAGCACACATAAACACCATATTCAATATATTTGTGAAAGCGCTTTTTTGCCAACGGCTATTTATGTACAAAATCGAGACATACGAAAGAAAACGCATATGTAAGACGTACATACGTAAGAAGAAAAATGCTTGAGATAATTGTTACTGAAGACAGTTGTTTGTAAACGTTCTAAAATTATAAATGACATTTTGAATAAATAAAGCATATTGATATTATTAGAAAACGCAAAGCCTTGTCTTTTACTGCCCATTTTTTTCCCGTGTATTTTCTGGCAATTTTCATGATATTTCTTTTATGTCCGATATAAATGTGTAGCAGATTCATTAGATTTGTTGAGTTTTTTTTCTCGTTCAATATTTTTATGTATTTTCAGCAGATTAAAACACAGAATGCAAATAAATTCTGAATGGCGTACGATGACTCCACTTCAACCCTCATTCTTTCTTTACCCACTCTGCCGTTCTGAAAATTCTTCTTCTCGCAAATCCAGAATGCAAAATTATGAGATGAAAATAAATGGAAGCGAAGGTAAACAAAATTCGCACGTACATTTGACGATGATTGAATAAGTCATAAATTTTGCGAACATTAATCGAATATAGCGATGGAATAAATATCCATTGTGAATCTATCATGTAAATATTGATTTCGCATGCACGCGCGAACGCTACCCATTGACCCAATAATAGACAGTTTATAGATGAACAATGCTATTTTTATCCATTTTGCACCGAGCTCTCGCCACCAAAACGAGCAATAAACTGTCAAGCAGTGGACTGGGATTTCAGGTGACGTAAATTAATTTGCAAAACTATTGATTCAAAAGTGGAGCAAAACGTGTAGAGAATGGCAAATGAAGTGGAAAATCCAACCACCTCGATGGATGTTATTGTTGTTGTTGTTCTTGTGAATAAAAATTACTTCAAAAGAAAAAAAAAATCGATGCGAACAAAAAACATGGTCTCAAACTCACCTCACGTAGCAGTCCAAATAAAACGTCGGTGGATAGTGAGCGTTCGTGAGCTTCATCCATTATGACAACGGAATAGTTGTCAAGATCTGGTTCGCGAAGACTCTCACGCAACAAAATACCGTCCGTCATGTATTTGATCACAGTTTTATCCGATGTACAATCTTCAAAACGAATGGCATATCCAACCTCTTCACCTATGCAATAAAAAGAGAGACGAGAACAAAAGCATTGATTAGATTTCGCTTTTTCAATCAAATTAAAGTGTTTACTTACCTAGTTTGGTGCTGAGTTCGTCTGATACACGTTTAGCAACGGACATAGCGGCAACACGACGCGGTTGAGTGCATCCAATCATACCGAATTTACTGTAGCCATCCTCGTGCAAATATTGTGTTAATTGAGTGGTCTTTCCTGAACCGCAAAATTATGAGAGAATATAAATGTTCATTATGGGTTAATAATAATAAATAATCATTTTAATGGGATATTGGTTTCAATTCTTTATTGAATAAGGTGTTTATTTTACCTGAACCAGTTTCTCCGATGATAATCACCACCGAATTCTCTCGAATCACATTCAACAGCTCTTGACGAACGGCAAATGCAGGCAAAAAGCGGCGCTGTTCCAAAATCTTCTTACGTTTGGCGTAGTCACTCTTTTTAACTCCTTCGCCCAAATGCTGTGCAAATTTCTGACCCTCACGGTAATCGGCCTGATCATTTGCGGCATCGAATTTATCATCTTCTTCATCTTTTTGCTTTTCAACGCCCATAATATTACCGAGCTTCGTTCCACCCAGTTCCCAATGCTTCTTTTGGGCTTTACGACGCTCTTTTTGCTCACGATACACACGAACCAATGGCGATCCTTTGCGCGCAAGCAATGCCATATCGGATGTTGGATCTCGAACTGGAATTACTGGCTCTGGTTGCTTGGTGAAGACAATTCTGCCGTCTAAAAATGGTGGCACGATATGATGCACCAACAAATGCACTCGCTCAGTTGCCTCCTCGTCAAAGTCATCGTTCACACTGATTGATTGTACAACACCTGAAGTCAACATACGATTTCGCTCCCACAGCTCATTATCTTTGTTGTTTTGACGCTGCTGAGCCGAAATACGCTTCTTCGTCTTTTGCTCGAGCTGTTCCTCACGTCGACGGAAGTAATCGGCATTTGTATTCCCAAATGGATTTGTGTCATCGTCAAAACCTTCATCCATATTGTACCATTCACGATCCAAACGACGCTGCTCTTCTTCCCAAATGTCACGTTCTTCGCCATCGGCCCACGGTTGTTTCTCACGTTGGCCTAAGAATTGAAAATGAATGATTAATTTGGATGTTTACGAGAAAAAGATTGAAATAGCAAAAAGTTGAAGGTCCAATTTTCAACTCACTTGTATATGGCGTAGCTCCAGATCTCTTTCTATCATTCGCCCAAGCGTTGAACTTGTGTGCTGGCGTCGGTCTTGGTGTGTCATCTTCGATTTTGCCCCTTTTTAACCGTGACATGTTGCTAATATTACTACGTGTTGACCACTCCGATCGTTTGTCGCCATCTTTTGGTGTGGGGAAATCCCAAGCGGAGCGTTTTGATGTTGACCTCTCGTCCTCGTCGTCCCATGATGCAGACGATGTTCCTGCTGTGTATGGTGTTTTAGGTGTTTTTGGTTCATCTCTGAAGCGAGGTGTGTGTAAACTCCTTTCTGAATCCGATGATGTTCGTCGATCACGAGTGGAGAACCCTGAATCTCTTGTGCCTCGCTCGCTTCTATCGCGTCTTCTGTCATAGTCTCGATCCTTTTCCCTGCGTCGATCTGAATCCCTGTCTCTATCTCTATCTCTGTGTCTGTCTCTTCTGTCATAATTCCGTTCGTGTTCGTCATCCTTATGTCGGCTCCTTTTTTCATCTTTCGTCGACACATAAACACCTCTTCGATCTTTTTCAATGTGTTCAGCCAATCGATTACGAGCTTTATCGGACACACCGCCACCATGCGACGGCGTCTCATCTTTCAATTCACGATACTGTCGGTTTAACTTATGTACACTCTCATGATCGGGTGTTTTCACGGCATTGTGATCCGGTGTAGCTGACACATCATCATCGTATTCACTGTCTTTGAATGAAATTAAACGCTTTTGATCTTCACGTTCTTTTCGTTTTTGTGCCGCCAAACGATCCAAACCAAGCAGTGATGGCTTCGGAACTTTGAAAGTTGAATCGGTATCTTTCTTTTTTAACACTAAACCACCGGTTGTTGGTGCTGATGCTTCCAAACGATGCACCGTCGTATCATCCTCTTCACTCATTGCGACTATTCACATTAATTAAACAACAAATTCATTAAACACTTGAAATTTTAATGGAATTGTATCTCAGTACCTTAGTATTTATAAAATGTTCACATGAAACGACTTGAGAACGATTACAAAATTCAAGGTTAGATTATTATTTAGCTTTATTTCGTCGTGGATGACAGCTACCTCTTTGACAGTTCAACTAATCAAGAGTACGTCTCACGCAGTCGAGCCGATGATGCAGTCAAGCCGATGACGCAGTCAAGCCGAAAACGTGAGATGATTTTTTTTTAAAGAATTGTGGTTTGCCGCGAATCTGGAAGAGAATGAAAACAACGACAAAGAAGAAATGAAAGTTTCACAAGAAGAAATGGACAAACGTGGAGAATACTTAATTTACTTCCAGTTCTCTATAAATAAAATGCCATGAACAGATTTGAAGTCATTCATTTGTGGAATATCGTGTTATGTATTTTGTGCTCTCTGTCAAGTCTTGAGTCGATGGTCAACAATGAAATCGACACAAATATTATTGGTTTTGGCATTTTGCTGCGGTTTTGCTTGTGAGTTTTATTTAAAAAAAAAATGATAAAAATTTAAATTTTAGAATTCGAACCATTTAATTTCGAATAATTTTTATCATTTCATTCTGTTCTAATCAAATTGTTGATCTGTTTCAGTGGCAAAAACTTGTTCAAAAAATCATTCGCATCGCTCGACATCGACACAAACAACGCAAACTCCAAATTCAACCGTTGAAAATGTTGACGATTTGAAAATTCAATTTTACCACCTGAATAGCAGCGAATATGATTCTATTGAAAAACAAATTTCCCTTCAGCAACAACGTGGTCCCTGCGGTTGTCTTGATTTAAATTGTGGCTGCTGTGCTGGCATGGAATTCCAAAAATTCAAAAGAAAATGTAAATTATAATATTTCCATGAAAAAAATATATATTCCGTTTAATTTTCAAATTCGTATCATATTCATAGAAGAATCCATTGATCTATTTCTCTATTCGCGAATTTCTTGCTGTCAACAAAATATCAAACCGATGTTGCTATTTGAATTTTTATTTCTATTTTGCATACAAAGACTATAAAAAGAGAAATTTCACCGATTTTTTTTTTCTATTTATGTGTTTTTACAGTTTGTACCAATTTCACATATGACCCAAATGAATTTCAAGTGCAGTTAAATGTGATGAATAACGAACAAGTTATTTATCAAAATATGTTCTCGGCAAAAAATCCACCGCCAATGTGTGTCCCAGTTCCATATACTCCAGCTCAAATGTGTATAAAGCTGTTCAATATTTTCACGCCAGGACGGAATTTGCACATGTGCATGGATATCGAGGCTAAAGTGCAGGAAAAACCGTATTTGGTATGAGTTTTTAAATTAAGCTTGGCTTTCTACCAATCATTTTTTTTTTGATTATATTGATTCCAGCCAATCTTTTTCTCAGATTGAATTTCGGAATAACCAGAATATTTGCAAAAAACGAATTTCCAATTGATTTTTACGTTTCTCTTTACACAGGTTCTGCATTTCGACTGTATGCGAATGGGTCAAGATGGGATCAAATATCCATTGAAACCAGAAGAAAATGGTGGCGAAGTAGGCACTGGAGGTGGCGGTGGCGGAGGAGGTGGTGGTTTATTTGGAACCGGCTTATTTCAAAATGGAATATTTGGTAATCGTCCGACACGACCTCCTTCTGGTTCAACTGAAGTGCCTCAAATCGATACAGACGTTTTCGATCCAATTACTGAAATCAAACTCAAACCCTGAATAACCATACACATCTTTTATCCATCCAGCTATTGTGCTAGTAATTTATTTTATTTATTGAAACAAACTACATGTTAAAAAAATCAGTGTAAAGCTAAACAAAATACAATCTGTTTTTTGGTATTTAATCATTGGTTCGTCGCTTCTTTTCTGTTGAAATACATTCACACAATTTATTGGCTCTTCTCTTCTTGTTTCTTCTTCTCTTCGAATTTCTGGTTGAGTTTCAACGACTTGCGTTTGATCTTTTGCATCAGATTCAATGTAAGTGAATTGGTGAGGTCGGGTAAATAGGTATGGAATGTTCTCAATACCAGTTGCATAAGAGCGTGTGGCCAGTATCCGGTGGTGTGCTTTGCATAACCAATGGTTTGAAGAGCGTGTTCTACAAATTTATCCGAACTTGGGGCCAACAAGCTTGTGCGTCGTAATTTGGTCATGTTGGTGGCAACGAAACCGGGCAAAACTGACTGGACAACGATTCCTTGCCTGCCATATTCAGTGTTCAGATCTTCAGAGAGTTTGTCAACGAATGCCTTTCAAATAGAAAATATGCCGTTATTAATGAATTCTGCACAAGTCTTCTCCAAATAGAATGGTTAAAATTACCTTTGATGCACTGTAAACGGCCAAGAGTGGTTGTGGAATTGTACCAGACATTGAAGCAATGTTAAGAATGATTCCCTTTTGGTTGATCAACATTTGGGGCAAGACAATTTTCGTCATATTCACAACTGAAGTGATGTTACAGCGAATAATTTGCTCAAAAGTTACATCACGGTTGGCTACTTCCAAGAAAAATTCGGGGTAGGCATAGCTCACACCAACATTATTGACCAAAATGCCAATGTTGAAGCCCTTGATTTCAGCGGCAATTTTGTCATAAATTGATGCATCACCAGAGAAATCGACGGCAACCAATTTGGTTTGGACTTTGTACTCATTTTCTGTTGGAAGGAAGAAAATAATGATTAAAAATAAAAATAGAATGAAATCAAAATTGCTGCAACAGCATTTTTAATGTATAAAATTGATAATTTCCACATGAAATCATGATATAACACCCCAGATGATAAGGAAAAAACGAAAACATATTCCATTTGGAAAGATTATTCCGAGCAAAAATCAAAAGCCAATGGGCATCAACTCACCGATTTCCTTTGCAACCGTTTCCAATTTGGATTGAGTTCGGCTGATCAGAATGATATTGAATCCTTGTTTGGCCAACAGTTTAGCGTATGATTTTCCGATACCGTCTGTAGCTCCGGTGACCACTGAAAAAAAAACGCAAAATTCCATGAATCAAAACATTAGAACAATTGGCTCTGCGGTCAATGTCATTGACGCTAAGCATAATTGACAAGTCAGATACTCTTTAAACGATACGTAATCAATATTAAAAATGACCTGTGACGGATCACATTGCACATAAATCACAACAAAAAGCCATTTCGTCAAGTCGTTTATCGTAATGGTAATGGGAATGAGAATTTGTGTATAGGAAAATAGAAACGCTTGCTGATTATGCACCTCAAGTGTTTTCGATGTACTGACAAAAACTGATTTTCAATTAACAGAATGAAGTTATTTTTATTTCGCTCCTAAAACTCAATCATAAGCAAAAAATAATTGCTTTTTTGATGCATTTTGCTACCTTAAAATGGCCATGACAATCGACACTTTACTAAAACCTCAATAATTTTGTTTCAAATGTGAAAATGTGGTGATGATACAGAAAACGAATTTCATATTAATATAGAATTGTGTAAACAACGCCGCTTCAGTTTACATTTGGTCGAATTCAAAATCATTGAATAATTTAGAATAATTGAACTTTTCCGTAATATCGAAAATAAAAGAGTCATAGCAATCGATTGTAATGGCGCTGGTAGGTACATCATGAAATGCGTCGCCATACATACAAATGGCAAATTGTTGGAAAGGTGAGCGTGACGATTAAAATAGGTCGACGGGGAAAAAAAATCACAGATCAAAGAGCATATTCAAATCGGGTTAATTTTGATCTTATCAAGTCTGAAAATAGGTTTTTAATCGATCGTGTTCTCGGCTTCTGTCAATAATTAGTAACAGAATACAGAATTTCAATTCCAATCGATTGGGATCAACGAGATAAGAGTATCTGTTGATAAGCGAAATTTTGCTAACATCAGCTCTATACGTGATTCAAAGTGAAAATATTTCCCATTGAAAAATTTCGAATTTTTTACGACTGCAATGATTTTTGTTCGATATAATCAGGATTTAGTTGTAATTTTAGAATGTTCTTTATCGATTTTATGCTCGACATATATGTTTGTACTTACATGCCCATTCACCGTAATCACGTAATTTGAGCTTTGGTCCCAGGAGATATGGGCCGATCACAGTTTCGTAGAGCCATGGTATAACTTTGGCAAAAAATTGAATAGCAACGATGACGGCTGAAATTGTACTCAAACAACCGAAGGCACAAACCATTTTTTTTTCTGGACGAAATGATTTTCACATGAAAATTGGGCTTTTCTTTTCACTCGCGTTTTTTTCAACGAAACGTTTACGGAAAACACTTTCGTTCACCCTTTACACTTTTCGATGACTGAATGAATGGCAATTTCCAATTCCAATAGTATACGATTGAAATTGTGATTTGTGCGCGGTAAGCATTTATCGGTTTGACCGAGAGTTTAATACGAAGTCAACAGAAAATATTGTTGTATGTTGATTTCTTTTATTTTATGCACTCGATGTGTATTTATTCGGAATATAATTAATATTCGTCGCTCGTTTTTTTCACTGCTCAGCGCGACTCAGAACGATGAAGTCCAAACTATTTGCATAGCAAGCATTACTTGCACCAATACACCAATCACACGCACACACATGTGAACGCTTATGTTGAACTCCGTCAATGAGAGGAGCAATTTGAATATGGATTTGGAATCGGTTTTATGTGTACGGAATATACAAATATTCGTTTGCCGAACCGAATACAGTATTCTAACAAGCGCTTGACAACGGACTCATCAACACACATATATGCTCACATATTGCTCCCTTTTCAGTAATATGTCATTACGTCGGTTCAATGTGTGTTGATGTGTACGCGTATCCATATCGTTCCCGATTCTGCGCAATACAGGCGACAACACTATCGCACATCGCATACTTCATTACAACATTCGGTTCAATACACTGTGTTTGATTCATGTCATTGTTCGGCTACATGCATGACGATAAAAGCCGGGTGTTCATTTCTAAATGCGTTAATCATACTCAATTGAATGATAGAAGATTTGTTCCGGTCAATTTATTTAAATCATATGCCAACGTTGCATTGACATTTGCATTTGAAAGAATTGAGTGCAGAACGAAGAATAGAAAAACATGAAAAAATTAACGATTCTCTTCAAAATTTCAAATTCCTCACAACTCCAACGGGAATAATCTTGATTTTACATCTTCAACAGGAATGTTGACAGTCAAACCCAATGATAATTTATCAGTGATAAATTCCATATTCATTGTTAATGCAAAAGGAATTTATCCCGTTATTCAGTTCTTGTGATGGAAATAGCGTTTTTAGCTTGACAACTATCGGCTAATATCCTTCAGACCCTTTGAACGCACTCTCGAACTGTCAAATCACTTTCAACTCAACTGTCACTTATTCAAATGACAAACGAAAATATCAACAAACGCGAGCTTCTGACTTGTTTCTTTTCTGTTTGAGGTAGACCCAAAAATAATTCTGATGGAAAACGTGAAATTATCAGCCGGCAAAC